TATTCCCCGCGAGCCGGGTAGATGCAGGGAGACGTCCGCTCAATTACCCACCCGAACCAGTTTTGTCCGCCTCACGCACTGTCCGCCTCAAGCACGTCCGGGGGAAACACGGCACCTGCGCGAATGGTGTTCCCTCAGCCAATAGAATGCTCTCATTTTGACCGTATTAAAAATACTGCAGCTGAAATAAAAATTCAGCGTTAGGGTCGGACTACCCAAGCGTATGTAACGTCGCCGACCGTCTGTTTTTTTGCAGAGCCAATAGTTTTATATGATGTGGACTACACGAGCGTTTTGTCTGCCTGGTGAGGACGCGAAATTCAGGCGTTCGGCAGATCTAACGCCTCTGGATGCGTAAAATACGCGGGCAGATCGTCGGCGCACCGGACTACACTAGCGGCAGTTCACATTTCTCCTGCGCGTTACATCCCTCCCCTCACTTGGGCGAGTCAAATTCAGCATCTACACTACTTGTTGTAATTGGATATGAGTCGTCTTAATTATTTTAAAATGTTTTTGTAATTGTTTTTTGTGCCTTATTTGTATTTGTTTTGCTGAAAACGTTTGTCTGGGTACATTCTATAGAAATAACAGACAACTGGATTTATTACACTCTTATCTCAACACCATATCACCTAATTTAAAATTTACAATGAAAGTGGAAGAATCAAATAAGATTATTTTTTTTGGATTTGACCTTAGAGAAAGTAGATAACAGATTACGTTGTCTTGCTCAACGATGAAATCTCTGAGGACCCTGCCAGGGTTGCAAACCTATTTGCCAGCTTCTTCTCTTCAATCTTCAAAACTCCCAAAAACGAACCTCCTACTTTTGATAGTAAGACTGAAGAATATCTTCTGCTTGGCCCTTTTTTATTTAACATCTTCATAAATGACATCGCAGATATTCTGGACGTTAGGTTTCTCCTCTTTGCAGATGACCTGAAACTCTTTTGTGAGATTTCCTCAAAGGATGACAACGCTCGCCTTCAGAGAAACCTTGACAATGTTATTCATTGGTGTCGAATCAACTCTATGGACCTGAATGAGAATAAGTGTGTGGTCATGCAGTTCACACGCTCTTCACAGATGAACTGTAGATGATGTTGATGTGTTGTTTGAAGATGTGGTTGCATACAATGACCTGATGATGTTCTAAGGAACGAAACTAGTTGTCATACTAGCAACTGTGGTTGGATAAGGTAATTCTTCCATTTTATGAACTGTTTCAATAACCATATTGGTCTTCAAGTTCTGCAGTCTGTCAAAGAGGCCGCGACTTGGGGGGTTTCTTCACATCCAACCTTCACCCTGCCGCTCACATATCTCGCATATACTCCAAGGCCTACTCCGTGCTCGGTTTCACCTTCAGAGCCACCAGAGGACCATTTTCTCTTACTACCATTAAAACTCTCTACATGACTCTCGTCAGCTCAATTCTTGAATTCAACTCAACTGTGTGGTCCCCTTACCAACTGGGATTGGTTAATGAACTAGAAAAAGTCCAAAACCGTTTTCTCAGATTGATCGGAGTCAAGATGGGTCTTCGCTACACTGAAGTTGAAATCAACGAGATTGGTCAGCTTTTTGGCCTCCCGCCGTTGGTTCTTCGAAGAGAGTTGATGGACGCAGTATTCCTCTTCAAGCTATGGCTCATTGGACTGTCCTGAGCTGCTTGGAAAGATCGACTTCCACGTCCCTCCGTCATTCCAAACATCAACAATTGTTTAAAAGAGATCACTACTCCACCTCTTACATTCAGCACAGTCCAGTACCTCGCCTGATGCGCACAGGGAACAGCATCTGCGGAGACGTCAACTTCTTTGCCCGCAGTGTCTCCTCCTTCAAGTCCGAAACGAGTGCCGTACTCAGAAGAATGCACATGTGGTGAAATCTTGTTAATAATGTCACTCATCTGTTTCACTTTCTGTTTTACTGTTAAATGTTCTATTTATTTTGTTTTTGTTGTGAAATAGTCTATTTTATAATGGTTTTGTTGTAAATGATCTATATATTTGTCTTGCCAAGGCCCCACTAGAAAAAAACTAGTTTTTCTAGTGGGGCCTTGGTCTTGCTCAAAATGATTTGTTATGTAGTTTTTGTTGTTAATAGTCTATTTAAAATTGTTTTTGTTGTTAAATTGTCTATTTGTTTTTCGTGCATCATGCCTGTATAGCTGTCACGTCCTGTAAATCATATTTATTCATCAAAACTTTGTTGTTATCGTATTTCATATTACTGTATCATATTTCATATTATTTATTATCATTTCATATTTGTTAATATTTGATCGCACTATAATCTATTTCACTTAAGTCACATTTAATTTTTATCAATCTCAAATCAACTCTCTTGTAAAATGGCGTTTTTTGCCGTGCATAAATAAATAAATAAGATTTCAGCATATACAGGAAGCCAACCACTTCAAACCAAACCATTCATAGCACCTTTTACCATCCACCCTCACATACAAGTTTGCAGCATAACAGAATGGTGTATAGGCTCCCTATGTCACCCACTAACTATCAAAAAGAGCTCAATATCATTAGGCACATAGCAATAACTAATATGGGTATGAAACAAACATGGTTGACAGAATAATTAGCAAACAAAGGAATAAAAATAAAAATAAAAATGGTAATGAAGTACCGCGAGATAAGAAATATGTATGCAAATATGTATGCGTATAGAATGTTATTTATTTATTTGTTTATTCAAGGTAACACCATTTATACAATAGTAGTTAGCATAATCAATTACAAGATGGCATAATTTACAACGACACTACATTACTAATACAATTAATATCAAACAAAACTGAACTTGAAAAAAACTTTGGGTAAGTATGATATTCAATGAAAACAACAGACAACAGGCAATGCAGACAAAAAAACAATCAATAACAGGCAATGAAAGACTAAAAATAACAGGCTATAAATACGGCAAGCAATAACAGGCAATGAAAGGCTATAATGACAGGTTATAACTAACAGGCTATAATACAAGCTATAATACGGCAAGCAATAACAGGCAACAAAATACATAAAAAAACAGACAATAACAATACAGAAGCAATAGAACAACAGGCAATAAAATATAGAGGCAATAGAATAACAGGCAATAAAAAACGCTCAACAGACAATAACATGCAATAAATAAATACGGACAATAATACAGACAGTGAATGCAGTTAACGGTGGTGTCCTTTCAGATTTATGTAGATTTTTTTGGTGGTCACAACTGAGGTGTTCCAAAGGTCAACGTGAGGGAACAGGAGGTTCCCAATCCTATGGAGACGGGGGATCACACTGTTGTGCTCATAGTTGTTGGCATAGGCTTGAATAGCGAAGAGGTTCCTTGACCGAGTTCCTCCTGGAACTCGAAAGTTGATCCAACCGAGTAGCTGAGGGCATACAACATCACCATTTAAAAGATTTACGAGAAGAGAAACATCAGCTAATTCTCTTCTCAAATGTAGATATTGTAGTCCCAATTGAATTTCAATGTCGCTGATGGGAATTGTTTCATAGTTATAACCCATCTTGAGTCCAACAACTCGAAGAAACCTTCTTTGGATTTTCTGTAGGCGGTCGATTTGTCCAATTGCATAGGGAGCCCACATAATGCTGCAATATTCAAGTACTGAGCGAACAAGGCAGATGAAGAGATACCTCAGCGCTGTGATGCTGAGACCATGTCTAGAGGTGCGAATAATGAAGCCCAGTGCCCTTGATGCCTTGCCACAAACCAATTCCATATGGTCAAGAAATGTGAGGTTTGATGAGAACACCACCCCGAGGTCACGAACTGAGGTCCTCCTAGGAATATCACTGCCATCGATGGTATAGTTGAAGATAATATGTCTCTTGCTACGGCTAAAGGTGATTGCAATAAATTTCTTGATGTTGAGACTCATATCGGAGGCACACCAGTCGCATATCCTCCTGAGGCAGTTCTGGAGTGTTGTACAATCTTCAATGGAAGAAATGGCCGTAAAAATCTTAATATCATCAGCAAATAACAGTTTATCAACATCCATGAGTTCTATGATGTCATTAAGATATAATGAGAACAGAAATGGACCCATGTGTGAGCCTTGAGGGACGCCAGATGTTGCAGTGAAGGGTTTAGACATTGATTGTTAAAACTTTACAATAAGTTCCCGGTTATCCAAGTATGAGCGGAACCATTTCAAGAGTTGTCCAGTGACTCCATAACTTGCCATTTTGCTACTTGCCTTTTTGGAAAGTAGTATCTGGTGGTTAACACGATCAAAAGCCTTCTGGAAATCCAAGTAAAAGCTGTCGACCTGAAGTCCCATCGGCACATGGAAACTAGGAAATTCTGGTAGATTACTAGGTTGGACGAGGTTGACCTGCCAGTCGAGAACCCATGCTGGTGAGTTGAGAGGAGGTTGTCAAAAAGGGGCTTTATTTGGTCTAAAACGAGACTCTAAAATACCTTGCCCAGGGTGGGTTGAATGACAATCGGCCTGAAGTCACTTACACCGGAAGAGTTTTGGACTTTGGGAATGGGGACAAAAAAGCTGGTTTTTAATGTATCTGGAAAGATTCCTTCTTGAAGTAAAAGATTGAAGACATGCGTCAATTTGAGGAGCCAGTAGCACATTACAGTACTTAAGTACAGATGGAGGTATTAGGTCAGGCCCCGTTCCCTTGTAAGGATCGAGAGATGCCAGCTTCTTTTGAACGTCATTACAACTTAGTCTGCAGGAGTTCAAATTCAGTTGAGTTTTGAAATCGTAAACTGGTTTAGCCAAGGGATGAAGCTTGGCTGCTTGTGTGTGTAAACTAAAAGACATGTACAACTCTAAATGTGTGACAAATCATTTCTATAAAGGCAAGTCTTTTAAGAGCACTTTTTCTTCTTTTTGTCCAAAGGAAAATGCAAGGTTAGACCAAAAGACAAAGGTTTACAATATGTTTTCTTAATGAACATCACAAATATTAGGATTTCAAAAAAAGACTCACACTCATGTTTAAACATTTTTTTATTTTCTAATCTCTTAAAAATCAACATTTTAGAGTCTATTAAAATATAATAACTGTAACAATATAAAAGTTCTCACAAAATCTATTATTGTTTGGTATTACTCTGGGCAGTTAGAATATAGACTTTAGAATAGAATTTAGAATTTATTCTCCTATTTACAAGATGATAATGAGTTGAGTCACAGGACTAATTGTTTTACATATCACAATTTGTATTCTGGTAACATCAATGGCTGTTAAAACTCGGCTTATAAATAGGTAATATCTAATGAGCTCCTCACAGCACTCTTTGAGTATAAAATAAAACAGAAGAAGGATAGGTATATATTATAAAAGTTAAAACTAACGAGTATACACCGTATATATACATTCAAAAGATTACATTTAGAAACATAAAATTTCTTCATACAACTATTTTAAATATTGATTTCATTAAATTAAAAAGTTCTGTTAATAGTTTTAACTGAAACAGCTCTTAACAAGCATGAGTATTTTTTTCTGCAGTCAATTGAAGATATTTCACAGTAGATATATTTTAAAAGAGACGGAAGCTTTTAAAACACCAAGGGTTTAAATTCAGTGCTTTTGCAAACTAATTATCTATTTATAACGACATTTTTTTACAGTTAAAAATATTAAAGACTTTAACAGTCTATATCATATATGGTCATCTATGGATTTAGAATATTTATCAACAAAAGAAGACATTTTTCTTAAGCAATTACGGTATTTGATCAATTAGGCAGGTTTTAAGTAAATGATAACACATGCAATATACTGTTTTAAGAGAATCTAAGTCAACCAAAAGTAACAAGAAAAGTTTCAATTTCGAACACAGGCAAGACCCATGATCACTGGCAGGAAAAAATACAGTAGGCAGACTAAATACTTTTCCCTTGGTTATAGTTATCATTTTTTAAAAATATATTCAACAAGATAGTATCCAACTGTAACTACAAAAATATGGAGCTATTCATAATTAATTTTAAAATGTTCCAGGTGAAATGTTGTTCAATAAAAATCACAAGCTAGATTTTGATCTGTCCAGTTACTATCATGGTTAAAACTTACATAAACTTAAAAAACGGAAAGGGAAAGATGGTTAACATTATTCTATTAAACCTCCAAATGCGTAACATCAGAATGAAATGGAATGTTTAGAGAGGATGGGCAGCAGTTGTAGATTACATGGCCATGTCTCATGAAGAAGTAGTTATTTTTCTGTACTTCACCTTAGTTAATTGACTATTGCACTTCCTCTTTTACTAACAATATTTGTTCACAAACAAGTACAGGTTCATATAAAACTAGTCTATTAGCTCCTGTCTCTCAATGACTTAAAATTATACAGGGGAGCAGAGTACTAAAAGGAACATTCTATTTTACAGTTCAGACTTTATTATTCTATCAGGGTTCCCCAATAAAACTAACTATACTTAATGAAAAAAAGTTGTTTTCATGTTCTTTAATTCCTTAATTTTTTTATTTACAAGAATAATTATTAATCCAGGGGGTGAAAGTTTCTATAAATCCCCCATAAGATAATAAATTATAAAACTGAACAATTTAACCAGTTATTTGTTAATTAAAAGAGTTTGTAGATTTAACAAACGTGTCCATCCAAGAGATCTATTTATGCATCAGGAAGACTTTTACCTCATGAAAATAGAAAAGATCTTTTAAGTTTCATGTAAACTTTTTTAAACAATTTTTAATATTTAGGATAATAACTTTTGTAAAATTGATTGGCATTAAACTTCATTTATAAAGTCACACTTGCTCATTAATTAACAAACAAAGGGTGCATGTGTGATGTTAACGCTGTTACTATGTTCAATGCAAACTACGGCTTTCACCTGCACAAACAAAACTTGTCTTTTCATTGGCTCATTATTAAGACAGCTTTGTTTAACAATGTAGAAACCTCACAGTAAAAAGATGTTGAATTTGGTAGGTAGCCTAACAAAGCATTACAGAACAAGGCTTTTAGCAATCGTTTACCATCAACAATGTTCTTTTACATGATTTATCATCAGCTATGTTAATATATTTTTCAAAAAGTTACAATAACACTTCAGATAGTATACAGTTTTAAAATACTTATAATTGAGTGTAAATTGTTGTTAAATAAATAAATAACAATAAAATTTTATGCTGGAATTCAAACAATAAGCAAAAATGAAAAATTACAACATCAAATTTGCCAAGAAAGCATTTTGCTCTTCAAAAAAATTCTACAAAAATCTTATCTTATGACAGTTGTTATATTGTCGCCTCATAACAAATAGTCTGGTTATGATTAAAAAATCAGACAAATCCTTATTTTTATGACTTGTTTGACTTTTGGAAAAAACGACCAAATAAAGGAAAAACTTAATGGGTAAGACACAATAACAACTCAGAAATCTCTTCAAAGAGGAATAAATATTGGCAGGAACCAAATGTAGAAGGCTAAGATAAGCTGACCAGCTCATTTAAACAGAAGAATAAACCACTACAACAGACCACACACCACACAGAGGAATCAAAAATGAAGGCGACTGTGTGGTACATTAAAAAGCGGTGTGAACATGAAGTAGAAAAGTTACCTGGCAAGAAAGTATCAACATACAGGTGACAGGTAAAGTACCATCTGGATAAGCATGGTGATAGGTGTACATAAGATATCCTACCCAAACACCTCCCCCTTTTTGATTGAGCACTTCATACATTTTCTGCTCCCCTGACTCGATACTATCTAACTAAGCCTAAGTATGCTATGGAAAATATTTTTTTACAAATTGACCATTGATAGTTATTACTTCCATCCATGATCAACATTAAAACCCAAAAGTTGCACCCCGACATGTTTCCAAATCATATTTTAAAAATTGTCTGGTTCGATAGAATAAAATGCATTATGATAATTCTTGTCAGCGATGAGCACTCACGAATATCGACCACACTTAGACAATGTAATCAGGATCAATTGAGGGTGTTTGGCTTGAGTTTGGTCATAATAAACACCTAATCTTAACAACCCTATTTTAAAATGAAGTGCCTAAAACTGACAAGTATACACCTTTTCCATCATTTTACTTACAATATCTACTGTAAAATTCAGCTGCCATCACCTTGTGAAATGGGTGCAACTTTCACGTTTTGTTTATGGCTCCTTAATAAATAAATTACATTACATTACAAATATTGTACAGATTCAAGGCTCGCTTCTGGTTAATCTGTTGGAACTTCAGACGCATGTTGGGGCCGAGACGGGTGTGAACAGCTTGATGAGTTTGCAACCTCATCCAAAATTGCAACTTCTGTACTTCCTTTTCCTGTTGAAATACAGTTAGAAATCATAAACGTTAATTTATGACAGAAAAGGAAAATTGAGATAGAACTATATATTTGTATGTAGTCATACTACATAAATTCACTTTCTCCCCCAATAATATGGGTACTATAGAAAAAATATAAAATAAGATAATTGGCATACTTTTATTGTTCAGTGTTATTATAACTTTTATATGGAAGACTGTGAATAATTTAATTGAGAAATCTCTTTCCAGCCCAACAATCAAGATCGTTAGCAATTCTGATTACAAAGCCAGTACTAACGTACTACTGAAGTATAACCTAAAATCAGCTTTTGTAGGGAAGGGATGTTATCAACATGTTCTTGGTAACAAATTATATCGGCCTGTTATTGGAAAAACATTTTATTGACCTGTTGTTGAAAAAGAATGTTTCGGAATGTTAAAGTATGTTTGTCACTGGTTTATTATTTTAAAGAAATGTCAATGACATCTTGTTGAAAATAAATATTTCAGTTTTATTATTTTTTTCCAGGATAATTTAATAAGATCCTGGGCCACTAAGAATGAATTTACTTCAGCCAGCTGTTGGAAAAGTATCAGTCTTTTAATACAAAGGAATGTTATCGACTTGTTATTGGATAATGGATGCGAATAGTAACGGCTCTCTGATGGGAAGGAATGTTCTTGGGTAATAGGTAATTTATAACCTGAGTTCAGTTTTAACACCTGAACACGAAATCGATCTTAATTACGATTAGAACTTAATACTTTGGGATTAAAGGTGACTGCTCTGTTCAGTTACAACAAATAAAGATTATGGAATTTTCTAAATGTCTGTATAATGTGTACTTATAAAGTCCCCGACCACTCATGAGTTCTCTTGTTGTCTCCAGTTGAAAATGGATCAAAACTGACACTAAGTTCAGCTAGACCTATCGACCCAAAGCAAGTCAGATAAAAATTTATTTATGAAAACTATTTTCTTAACTTACCTTCCCCAATAAGGCAATGCTGACAAGGATAGTTTGCCCGAAGACTCATCAAATTCCTTTCACTAATTTTTGGTCCGAACACAACGTAGCCAATGGCATATCCAGACAGCACAGCCAGTGTAAGGTAGCCGTTGAACGACATCACGGCAAGCATCAACACGAAGCTCATTATTGAATGAAGCATAAACAAGCAAGACCCAATTAGGCGCTTGTATGTCCTGAAAAAATATTGCAAACATTCAAATAAAAAATCTGTAGGCCTAATAGGTAAACCTTCGATAGTTCGACACTCGATAGTTCAACACTCCTTGTAGTTCGACACGGGCTGAGCTATTTTGTCAAGTGATATTTAATGGTTACTATTGTGTGATGTTAGCTGACTTGAACATTAATTTGTCATTTGTTGTTGACTTGAGACTTAACTAATGAACAGTCAAATTGTTAAGTATTTTAGTATTTAATAAATTTTGGTGATTTCTATATACCATAAGACTTGTGTTTTTACTTTCCTGTCTTTTTAAACTCCAATTACTCCCATAGTTCGAAATTTTAATAGTTCGACATCCCTTAAGTCCACAAAGTGTCGAACTATCGAGGTTCTTATGTGTTTTAAAAATTTTGTAAAGTACCTAAAATGTTTTATGTTTTGGGTTTATTTATTTATTTCATACGGAATCACCTTTTTACAAAAAATATTATGCAAAGCAATAAATAAGTTCTTCTAAAAAGCTCAAATGTTTAACTCTGCTAAAGGCAGCAAATATGTTGTGAATAAATATTGGTTTACTAAGGTAGCTTTGGTCTTTTGGTTAGTGATAAAAAGGCTTCCCTGATTGAAATATTGGAAATAGTCTTAGAATAAATGAATGAAAAGACAAATAAAGGTGTGTTGAGATAAGCTTACAACCGCTAAATTAACACCCAGGCCTAGGTATTATTTTTAAGTTTATACTCCTTTTTTAAAACAAAAAAGTAAATCGGTCCCAGGTCCAGCTCGTACCATGAGTACTACGATTCGCTAAAACAGCCCACTAAGAACAAACTACAACACTGCGAGTCTCAGCACACTGTGCAAATGCCCACACTAGCTTGTTTCTAACCTCAAACTTTTATGCCAATATCTTGACATGATGTCCGTTGTTTATTTTTGTTTAAAAATCATGTTTAAAAACTTTCTGAAGCACAAAGATGAGTTAGCAAAAGAAGGAACAAAATACCCCCGCCGCAGCAAACCAGCAGACTAAGCGAATTTCCATTAGCCTGATTGGATTTACACTAAAATGCCTTCTTAAAAATATCATATTTATTCCCTATTTAAAAAGAAATTAGTTTAACGAGTACTTAGGTTTGCTGCAACTGGAAGGGTAAAAAAGTATTTTTTTTATGTTAAAAGTTCAGTAAGAAATGAATGTATTTTCCAAATTCGATCAAAATATGTTCATAAACAAGAATAAATTAAAGGTTTACACGTTTATACCAAATTTCATCAAAATTGGATAATTTTTGCTTGTGTTATTGTGCTAACGAACACATATATATATATATAAATCTATATATCTATATCAATAAAAGAGGAACTATGTATGTATATATGTATGTACCTTATGGACTCTAAAACCGCTCGACAGATTGTAATGAAATTTTCAGGCATCATTAGACATTATTTAAGGATGGTTTGTGTGAAGTTTGGAGCAGATCTGTCAAAAGGGCTCCGCCCCAGAGGGTTTTAAGGGGTCCAATGTCAGACTTTTGGAACTACAATGTTTACAAATAAATATAATTTAAAAGCAGATGTTTACTTTCACCAGCTGTTGGTTTAAATAATCACAACATTCTGTATTAGTCATGATTTGGAATAGTGCCACAATATTTCCACAGAATGCAGCACAAAAAACTATTTTACTTTTAGATAAGTCCAAATATATTAAACCCGAATCGCAGAAAGTCCGATTAATCCAAAACCAAAAAATATATTTTTTATATTTTTTTATAAAAAAATTTTTTGAAATTTTTTTATTTAACTTTTAACACAGTTAGCTGTACCTCGTCAAAATATTCTGTAGCGGCCGGGCGAGATAGACTTTTTTTGTAGAGTATTTAGTAACTATTTCACCATTTTTGTTATTAACATTTTTCATTTTTGCCCACCAAATCACAAATGGATTTTATTAAGTGACTAGCTGACCCGGCGAACTTCGTATCGCCTAAGTTATAGGTTTCCCCTAAGACGGACCGACCCGGCAGACGTTGTCTTGCCTTTGACTATTTATAATTTAAGTACCGTTACGTTTAATTTTCAAGATGATCTCGTTCGCATCGCTCAATCACGTCCTGGTTGAAGTTCGTTCGCTACGCTCACTCACCTTTGGGTTGGAGCTCGTTTGCTACGCTCACTCACCTTTAGGTTGGAGCTCGTTCGCTGCGCTCACTTGCCTTCAGGTTAGCTCGTTCGCTACGCTAACTCGCCTCCAGGTTGAAGTTTGTTCGCTACGCTCACTCACCTTTGGGTTGGAGCTCGTTCGCTACGCTCACTCACCTTTAGGTTGGAGCTCGTTCGCTGCGCTCACTTGCCTTCAGGTTAGCTCGTTCGCTACGCTAACTCGCCTCCAGGTTGAAGTTCGTTCGCTACGCTCACTCACCTTTTGGTTGCAAATTAGCTGTTGTCATAACTGTAAAAGAAATAATAGTGCTGCACCCTGTTGGTAATCCTTGTAACTTTAATGCTATTGCACATCATAGAACAGAACCAACTTGTTTAATTGAAACAGCTGTTAAGATTCATTAATTCCATTTCTCATAAGGTTAACATGGGAAACTCCAGAGCCACTGGGGCGGAGCCCTTTTAAGAATTTCGAAACGGGAAATAGTTTACGTCCGATTCGCATACCTACAGAATTTACACACCAAATTTCATAACGATCGGTGAAGTCGTTCCGGAGGAGTTTGCAGACAAACACTGTGACACGAGAATTTTATATATTAGATAATGCTGCAGCCACTAGCTCTAGCCTTAAGTAATGTGAAAAACAATCCCGGGCTCGTGCCTGTGTCCTAAGACAAAAAAAATTTAAAAAAAAACTTTTAATCCGAAATATTTGGTAATCTGAAATGGGCCCGGTCCCAACCATTTCGGACTAACGGGACTCTAATGTACATGGTGTTTTTGGCTTCTAGGGACCTCAAAACTCAAAACAAAAAAGTAAATGGGTCCCAGATCCAGGTCTTACCATGAGTACTACGGTAATAGCTTATTCCCTATATCGGAAATTCGCTAAAACCTATTTACTAACTTATGAATTGCTCTGTAAAATTTCAAAATAGTATTCATAGTCAAAAAACTATTCAGTTGTATTTAACCAAATTTAAATCTGAATATTCTCTTCCAAACACTAACAACATTCCCATCCCCAAACACTCCACTTCATTCTTCCAGCATAATTTTTAGTACAACACTACAAAGCTGTACAACAGCCTCCCTCTGGCGTTGAAGACCGAGCAGGATCACCGGACTTTTAAGATGGCTGTGAAGAAACTGTTCTTAAATAAGATTTACTACATCGTCCGGGATTTTTTGGCTGGTAGTCACAACCCGTAAATAGTCTTACCAATGCTATCACCTGAGAAGTTGTGTATTTTAGTTTTTAGTTTACTTTGGCATGGCTATCGCTGATCATTTTGGTTAGTTTGACGGAATAAATTACTTATGACCCAAATAAAATCAGTTTAAATTTGTCCTTAAAAAACTTCCTAAAATTAGCAATATGTGTTGTCGACTCTCTTACTACATCTAATATCATCTTATACTATTAGTCCTTACAGTAAAAAATCAAAATAGCTTCCAGTGAAAAAATAGTAGGTACCGTATTCATTATCAAACTATTCAGTTGTATTAAAAAAAAATTAAATCCGAGATAACTTAGATCAAACCATATAGCCTATAGATCAACTAAACAAAATATAATGGTCAACTTTACCATCGACAACTGTAATAATTTTATCCTCATAACTCCAAAAGATCGTAAAGTCGTAAAAAACAATGTTAAAAAAACTTAGTAAAAATCTTTTTTGAAGTAACAATATAGAAGTTGTTCTAATAAATTACTTAATATTTTTTACATTCAGAATTCATTAGTAGGTAATTTCATATGTTTTCCTTACAATCCCATATTGACCTTGACAGAACTTATCAGTGTAATATTGAATTACAGCCTGCAGAAGTTGTCAACCATTCAGCTATCATTGTTTTAAACTTAATGCTAGACTGAGAAAACAGCAAAATGTGCTGATTAAACCTGTGTTCAAGGTCAAATGTAGCAGAGGATAAACATTTGATTATATGTCAAATTCACATGGTGCATCCAAAAGTTCAAAAACAGATTATTATTGAATTTTTAAATTAGAATATTCTGTGTTTGAAATGTCTTGAATCATATTTTTGTAAATTATCTAGTTATTTGACATATTTTTATTGTATTTTATTATTTTAAGTAAGTTACTTGTTGAAGTAATTTTAATTTAATTTAACTGATGAATATTAAAATATTATTTATTTATTTATTTTAAGAGGGCGGCATCCATAAATTCTTACAGGGGGTGTATGGGCTAGCAGCCACTGCATACAAAATGTAAATCCATTACGCTATGTGCCAATAAATCCTAGGGTAGCCTATAAATGAAATCCAATTTTAATAAATGTTTTTTTTTTAATAGCCATTGTGGCCTATTTTCACTGAAAGACAATCATATTCCATTTTAATTTTTTTAACTATTCATTAACTTAATTTACATGTTTGTTAATGGAACTTTTGAAACTTTGCCTCTTTTAATAGAAACCAGTTCAAATCCCTCAAATTTTTTGTCCAAACCTCTGAAATTTTTACCCCTTAAATTGATATGCCTGTATGTTAATTCTAATTTTAATAGAAAAGTTAAAGAATATTGGCAACATCTTTAAATAGGTTTAATACATTTCTAGTAAATAGGTATCAGTATGTAGAAGTAAAACATTTGTCACTGAATAACAAATTAACGAAATATATAGCTTCAGACCAGGAACTAGTAAAATATAGTGTCGCACAGGGATCAATATTAGGACCTTTGCTTTTTATAATACTCAAGGATATAAAATAAGGTTCAGTCTTATAAGAACAAATATTAGCTTTATATATATGCTGATGATTCCAATTTAAAAATAACATCAAACTCAATAGAATAAATGGAAGTACAATTTTTGTAGAGGTAGAAAATTTATATGATTACAGTACACTCCCTCTTATCCGGACACCTTTTAACCGGACATCGGTTTAACCAGACTACACTCGGCGGAAATTATATCTCTTTAACCAGACAATTTTTATCAGCACATCGGAATAACCGGACTAGATGATCGGCAGGAAGTGGGTGGTACTGAAACAACTGCTCTCATGGGAAAGATTTGAAACCAGTGATCAAGTGTGTAAATACAATGCTCTCCTAAATTTAAATCAAATACTGTAAACAGTATGCATTTAAATGGTCCGTTTTAACGAGTTTTTGGGGACGTCGGTTTAACCAGAAAAACCGTTATCCGGACTGGCCTCGGTCCCAAGGAGTCCGGATAGGAGAGAGTCTACTGTACTTTAAAAAATCATAATTTGTTACTAAACACACTAAAAACTAACTTCATGCAATTTAAAACTGCCCAAAATAAAAATAAATGAGAATTTAACTAACTATTATGTCAGATTCACAGATGATTGAGAAGACAAGTAGCCTACATGCATCCTTGGTTTAACCCTTTGTGGTCGAATGGCGAGTATAGGTTGCCGCCCGCCATTTTCCCAACTGCTCAAAAGTGGCAACCTATACCTACTCACAAAAAAAAAAAAAAATTAAAATACAAATTTCTTGACTCCTCGAATGGTGATCTATACCACATACTTACCACAAAAAAAAAAGGGAAACAAAATTTACCTCAAGGATTAACAGTGGATGCAAATTTAAATTGGAATACTCATGTTAATAGGGTGTTGAGATAAGTTAATTCTGGTATATATGCTCTTAGGAAAATGTTGTTATACTGTGGATCGGAAACATTATGTCATAATTATTTTTCATATATTCACTCAAACACAAGTTTTGGATTGTGTCTTTTTGGAGCAAAACGGTTGGACAGTACCTTGAAACAACAATAAAGAGCCATAAAAATGATTCTTAAACTGAATTATGATCAATCAGCCAAATAGGAACACTTTGTAAATAAAAAAAATCCCCTCAGTTTATGGACAATACATCTATGACTACATACTAATTTCTAAAAATGAGGCAGTAAGTTCTAAATATTCCATATGCTACAAGTACAATACAAGACATAAAAATGAAATAATCCCAACTCATCATGGATTACAATTTTACGGGAAAAAACCGACATATTCGGGAAAGAATTTTTTTATGTACTGACCAAAAAGTCTAAAAAATATATAGCTAGTCAAATTTAAAAACAAATTTAAAGAATTCATAATAAACAAACCAATTTATTCTTTGGATGAGTTTTTCCACCTATGTTCACAAAAAAACTAAAAGTAGCCTATATTTGAGGACGAATTGTGTTGAATAGTTAAGGTTTCAATACTAGGTTAGGTATTTTTAATGTAATTGTTTGACACTATTTATATATGTAGGCCTACCAATGTGCATGAAATAAATAAGAACTTTTGATTTGATTTGATTAGACATGTCCATCTTGCACCGAAGCACGAGACACTAACCGCTAGTTTAGCAAATCACTCCCTTTTAAGTAGTCCCAGCTCCCCAGAGCCCGAGGACGCCATGATAAACCCTTTAAAATTGACCTACCTTTTTCTCCTGATGCCTTTTGGTACCTCCCCAATCAAAGTGGTGCTATCATGAGGATTACTTTGTTGATTCAGTTGAGATATTGAGTTTGTTTGGTTCTTGTTGTCAGCTAGTGTAATTTTTAATCCTTCATAGGCGACCCCAAGCACAATAAGAATCAAGCAAACAATGAGAAATTCTGAAACAAAAGAAAGTTGTATCAGGTCAGTATGTCATCTATATATATAAAATGCAAAGCCCTCACTGACTCACTCACTCATCACTAATTCTCCCAAACTTCCCATTTACCTAAAGAGGGCTGAAATTTGGTACACTGATTCTTTAGGCATTAAATAGGAAAACTAAGTTGTTTTTATTCTGATCAGACTCTCGGGCTCCGCCCCAGTGGCTCTGGAGTTTCCCATGTTAAAATTATGAGTACTCATATTTAAATGGAATTAATGAATCTTAACAGCTGTTTCAATTAAACAAGTTGGTTCTGTTCTATGATGTTCAATAGCATTAAAGTTACAAGGATTACCAACAGGGTGCAGCACTATTTTTTTTTTATTTATGACAACAGCTAATTTGCAACCAAAAGGTGAGTGAGCGTAGCGAACAAACTTCAACCTGGAGCCGAGTTAGCGTAGCGAACGAGCTAACCTGAAGACAAGTGAGCGCAGCGAACGAGCTCCAACCTAAAGGTGAGTGAGCGTAGCGAACGAACTTCAATCAGGACGTGATTGAGCCATGCGAACAAGCTCACTTATGAAGTTAAACGGGGCGAAGCCCGCGGGTACAGCTAGTTTGTTCATATTCAATAGTCATTTTGTGTTAACTTATTGACAGTCAAGCTTGGACTCAGCTGGGCTATGAGTGTACCAGAATTGTTTGTAGGTACACTAAATCAAACGAATGTAAAACATGTAGGCATATGCATTTTTTTTTCGTTTCCTCGTTGATTAACTAACTATTCCAAAAAGATAAATAATATGGATGTAACATTAATGGGTACACTTCCGCAGAGAAGCTACGATATATTATCGTATGAATAATGAGAAATATCGAAATAGGGATAATACTGAACGTCTACTACGTATGTTATATTGCATTTTTTACCTTATCTACCAAAATTAGGCTATTTTAAGAACTTTTTCCCTCTATAGCACTTTTTTGGCAAACACCTACCGGTATTTCACCCCGAAAAACATGAAAAGCATTATAAGTCACTAAATATCGGCACATTTGACCGGTAAGTGTCAATAACATAACCTAACTAAACCTTGGTTTACCCAAAATCGGCAATTTTGGGCACTTTGCTAACCTACTTAAGCATTGTGAATATTCACCAAATTTCTAAGCATTGGGTTAGGTTGGATTTAGTTAGGTGGTAAATATATTTAACTTGGTTTACTCGCAATCATTCATTTTCAGGGTGAAATAGTCGTTTCCCCCAAAAGTTCCAAAGGAAAAAATGCTTTAAGGTCCCGCATCCACACTTGACAAACAATGTTCGCTAACCCCTAGCGAAAGTTCAATAATGTTCGTTATGTGTGGACGCATCGACGTTCAGGTCGAAATTTTTGTTCAGCCAAAATGTTTGCTCTATGAGCGCACTTTTCTCCAGTTCAATATTAATAACGCAATGATTTTAATTTTACTGTATGGTATAGGTAAAAAAACAATAGAAATAAATTAACGAAGCGTTTTATGACTTCTAGTTTCCACTTAAATTAAATATTTACCTAAGATTAAAAATTGAAGAAATGGTTTGTAGCCTAGGTTTTTAGTTCATATTTCTTAATATTTGTACCATTAATTTATCTTTTGGTTATTGTTTGTTTTGTTACTTTTCATATAATAATGTTTTTCACTTAAGCTTATGGTTTTTATTGATAGTTTTAACTTATTTATTAAATCTATACTTACATATTTAATACGCAAGCAGGTTTTTTGTGACAATTAAAACTTACTTCTCTGAAACTACTGACTGAACCGATTGACATGTTTTTGTTGTCAATGGAAAGAGCGTAAAGCTAATCTGTGCAGGAAACTTTCTTTTTAGGGAAATAATTCGAGAGTGAGGCACTGGGGCCCATTCAAGTTTCGTATTTCTCCATAAGATTAACATGGGAAACAAACATTGTTATGAAACTCCAGCTGTTGTCAGATATTAACCCCGGGCACATATTATAGGCTATACCAAAATGTTCGACTAGGTGTGTAGATTTGCAAACTGACCTTAGATTTTTTTATAAGTCACTTGGGCTCTCCCCAGTTGCTTTTTAAGTTCCCATGTTATCCTTATGAAGAACATATTTGTTTACATTAGGCTATGGTCAGCTGGATAATTTAATTGCTGTTAATATTTTAGTCGCAATTTAAGGAATCGTGTGCTACAAACATTTACTGACAAGGTTGGAATGAAATATTTACTTATTTGAATTTGGGTTGGTGTAAATATTACAATGAAAAAAAGCGAGAAAGCTTGGACAGTTTGATATAGGCCTACTAAAAAGAAAACTGAATTAAATGTAACACTGTGCTGCATTTCTTGAGCAATCATTGAAAGAGCCTATTTACAAACTATGGAAACATAGGAAAGTCATAGAACCACACCAAGTAGAAGAAATAGAAATAATGTTTTTTCAAGCATTTATAATCTTACTTAAATTTCAATTAAATGACGACCATACAAAGTAGGTATTTTAAGCCAAGTATGAATGGAGATGAGTGTAGGATGAGTGGCGCGATCTTGTCTTGTTAGTGACTAGGCTGACTTATTCCTTAGACACAGCAGCTGTTAATTAATAGCCCATACTGTACCGGTACTGCTAATGGCATCTAAGGGACCTACAGTTTATCGCTAGTGGAATCCGAACCACAATTTGCCTTGGTATATCTACAAGAATTGGTTTAATTTTCAGGATAGTACTACGGATAGTTGTAGTACTCACTCGTGCGGACGTTAATCCACACCAGGGAGTATCACATCCACAGTGCATGCCTATGGACAACCTAATGTGGGTATGAGTGGTAAATATTTGTAGAAAACACTAAATAAATCAGCTTTTGAAAAAGATTGATATTTTCAAGAAATGTTGATTATATCAATATGTTATGTACATCGTGAGGATTCTCATAATCTTTGAGGCGACTCTTTTAAAGTCATCTGAAGTTATGACTGATATTCATTTTAAAATAACGCCTGTATTACTTCGCAATTGCTCGAATTCGAGGAACAGGTACCTACACTACAGTAACTTAGTATCAATAAAAACGTAAACAAACCAATTTGAATTCAATGGTTACAATAGATTATACAAAATCGATGTAAACTGAACAAGTTTCTATATAGCCTATATCGTTATACATCCGATAATATATCATAGGTTAGGTTCTCTGCGGAAGTCTACCCACATAGGCCTAAATAAACAACCCGATTAAGCTTTACTAGGGTAGGCCTATAACCTACACTTTACTTTCCTAACCTAACCGCAAAACACTTCAGTTAATGCAGCAACAAATCCGCATAAAACCCCAACATGCCTTCCCCACATGCCTAAGTTAAAAAAGGGTCAATGTCCAATCTGAATTTCATATAGGCTACTTAGGCCTAACCCTTGGTTTTGGCATAGATAAATAGGCTAACTTAAAACATAGGCTTCTTCCAATAATTATATCCAGCGCCTACACTGCAAAGGTTTGTGACTACGAATTAGTTATTTTAAGCAAATCCAACAATGTCTAATGTAGGCCTGGTTAAGTTAGCGTATAGGCCTATCTTTACCCTTAAACAATCTCTCAAACAAATCTATCTTTTAACTTGTCCTTCATATTTCTAGGTTGTACCTAAATGATTACAAAATTGTTACATGCAACACGTTAAGTTGCTTACCTGCAATATTGTCGGTATTTAAACCATGAATGAAAAAGTCTTGAAGTTTGTAGTCAAAATAAAATGACATATGCATTTTGACAAATAACTTAATGATCACATTCGCCAATACAAAAACAAGTCTGATACTGATAACCCCAAGCTAAGTTTACTACAACACTTACAGCTCAAATAGGCTGATGATTAATAAAATAACACTAGACCATTCCCAAAATCTCACACTTTTAGTTCATGCTTGGTGACGGTTTGTTGTTGAGTTGACAGACAAGAGACAGGACATGTCAATCAATTGACGTGGGTAGGATAATCAGCTGGCTAACTAAACTGCACTAGAACTACTCGAACTCAACTGGGCTGGAACTTCCCGGAATTTACAAACTGGATCAGATCCCTATTAGACCTGTCTGCACTCTGCAGGAAGGAGGAAGGACAAATCCTAATCAACAAGAAAACAGCTGTTTACATTACAATTAAACAGCAAACAGCCAGTCTACGTACAGTACAAGGGGAAATGTAACTAAAAGCGATTGAAAGGGGATGCGAATGAGAGAGAACTGATAACTGGGAGGAATCATGGTGGAAGGAAAAAACATAGGTCATAGGTGTGCTATTCCCACATATTCTGACGTCACTCGGATTGCAAACAAAAGATCACCTGGGGCCTATTTCATAATAAAGTACAAACTAATATTATTAGTAAATCAGCTGATCGCCTAATGCAAATCTAATGGAAATTACAAGTTACAAGTTGTAACTTGTAGTTTATTATGAAATGGGCCCCTGATTGTAACTGTCAAATTAGTATGTATTTTTTTATTTGATTGTTATTGTTTTTATAATACTGTAATAAAAACAATAACAACCAAATCAAAACAAATACATATACTAATTTGACAGTTACAATCAGGTGATCTTTTGTTTGCAATCCGTGGGAGTATATAATATTATCATTTGAAATAGTTATTTGTGCAACTAGTGAGCAACTGACTCACTTGAGAGAAATACTTACTCACACGAGCCGTAGGCGAGTGAGGAATGGTTTCTCGAGTGAGGCAATTGCACTTTGCACTCGAGTTGCACATTATATTAAATTGTTCCTACAGATACCATAAAACAAATAAATTGGTAAAGAGACGTAACATATTTTTACACAGAAATGAACTTTCAATATGACAATTAATGATACAACAGTACAATGCTGCCAACGTATTTCGCGCGCATACGACCTTGTCTGCATGTTACGCGCTCACTATTTCGTGCCTTCACGTTGCAAATCTGGAGTGAGACAATGTTAACATTGTCTCACTGATGAGCGAATTGGCCACTTTGCTTTCTCAAATCAGTGAGAGAACCTGTACATTGTTAACTGTAGGAAAAGTATTGTTTCCGTCAACATTCTCGAGTTAAGAGTGGACAGTGGATATATCCGTTTAGGGTCCCCTCAAAAAAAAAGTTGTTTTCGAAGTGATGTCGATGTCTGCCTGTGTGTGTGTGTGTTTTACAGTATGTGTGAAAATGTTCAGACCACACCCGTGTTATGAAATTTCTGGAGTAGGTACTAAATCCATAGTATTTCCGAAATACTTGTTTACAGTATACAGATTTGTTCGTTCTAGCATTTTTCTAGTTACTTGACATGATTTTTTCGCAAGATCTATCACTGGAGAGATTCTTGCTCAAGTCATTTATTTAAATTATGCCTTTTACTAATCGTTCATAATTCTGAACACATTTTAAAATGAAATAAAGTAAAAAGAATATGAAACAGGTCCCAGGCGTATTTTAAATTTTTTTTTATTTTTTTTTTTAATTGTGCTTTTTCTATAAAATCTAGAAAATAACGTAAAAGTCACATTTTCTAAAACTGGCTGGGCAATTTTGATGAAAATTAAATGTTAAAGTCCTTTAAATTCTGAACAAACTTTCAATTCCGCACATTGCTGTAAAATGAAACGGTTCAAAAGTTGATAGTGAACTTACTTTTATTTTTCCATTTAAAAACCATAAAAAATATCCTGGAGAATTTTATTGGACGTTGATTTTTTTTAAAGACGTTCACTTCATTTCAATGGAAATTTTACAAAAATGAGTATAGTACCAGTACAATCAGAATTCAACAACTATTATAAAATAACGGAAGTTCAGATGTAAGAAACCCGGGTTTGATTAAAACCAGTATGTTATGGATTATGGTGGAAGGCATTTTCCTTTCACCATGGTTATTGATTTAATTTTTTTGTCCATGGTTATGATCCTTATAATTCTTAACAAAATAGTGTCATAACCCCCATAACCCCATTGCTGTAACAATTAATTGCGGTTTGGTTCAAAAGTATTTGCAATGTTTGTGATTTCCCCTATAAAATACAGTATAATAGTAATTTTATAAAATACCATCAAATATAATAGTAAATTATATAAAATATAATATAATTTTATTTTTACCCTCGCACCAATGAAAATAAACGGTATCAGCATTCTGACACATACTTTCTCCCATAAGCTTGTCAACAACCTTTATCATGGGTAAGAGGTGAGAGTAAATATGATATTTTATAGTTAAAAATCACAAAAGTTGCAATAACTTTTGAGCCATAATTTTTACATCAATTGGGTGTTGTACTATTTTTTTTTATTATAAGGACCATAACATATTAATTTGGATATAAGCCAGCTTTCCTCCAAAAATCAGATTTTCTGTTATATGTTTTTTTTATGGGAAAATGACATAATTTACAATAAATTTTGAACCGAAATTTTTAGGGAAATAGGATTTGTACCATTCTGTTCAGAATTTAAAGGACTATAACATACTAAATATTTTTCAAGGTCGTTCTGGCCATTTTCGAGAAAATCCGATTTTCCCGTTTGTTTATGGGGTTTAGTGGGAAAATTCCCATTAAAAGTCAAAATTTCAAAAAAGTGAAAAAACCTTCAACGTTTTAAGGATCAACATTTTAAGGATCCTTTTTAAGGATTCAACATGCTAAGTTGAATCAAAACCTGCTTTTTCTAAAATCCTATTTTTCGTGTTTTTGTGGGTTTTTCACGAGAAAATAAAATAATTTACAATAAATTTTGAACAGTAATTTTTACAGAAATTGGAGTCATACCATTTTGTTCAGAATTTAAAGGGCTACAACTCCTACATTTTTTATCAAAATCGTTTGGGCCATTTTTGAGAAAATCTGATTTTCCCGTGTTTTATGGGAAAATTTACATTAAAAATCAAAATTTATAAAAAATGAAAAAATACTCCTGGAGATACCATGGTTTAACCTACATACCAAATTTCATCGTAATCGGACCACAGGTGTAGTCCCTAGCTCTGTACACTTCCAGCTTCCAGACACACAGACATCACTTCGAAAACCACTTTTTTGGGTCCAGGGGGACCCAAAACGGATATATCCACTCAAAACTCAAACTCGAAAATTTTGACGAAAACAATACTTTCTCCATATACTAACTATGGTATAGGGGAGAAAGTAAACGTTGTTGACAAGCTAATGGGAGAAAGTATGTCAGATTGCCGATACCGTTTATTTAATCTAAGAAAGTACTTTATTTACAACCACAGATGTAAAACTAAACAACCAAAGTCGCATTACGAACGGAATGACTTACGAAATATATCCTATAAATTAAGATTTTTCAATACCCCCTCCCCCACACTTTGCACCCATTCTTTACAATCCTCTCTTCAACACTCTATGGACCCAAAAACAAAATACCTGGAACCTGCTGAACTAACTGAATGACTAATACGCTAATACCATAGAATATAGATAAAACCATAGCATACTCCCTTCTAAAAAAGAAAGGACATCAACATGAACATTTTCCCAAAACTATTTTTAGCATTTTCTGAAATGTATGGCTCAAAACAAACAACTAATTTAAGATTTATCATTTGTATATGTACAGTTACATAGTTAACCCGTGTAAAAAAAGAAAAAGTTAAAACCCAACCCAACAACTCAAGTGTAAAAAAAAAATAATGTCAAAACAAAAGAACTACAGACAGACGGACAGAAGGAAAGAGGTGTTGTTGTTGTTTCAGAAATATCCGAATATCGCTGACCATGAAAGTAATTGAATTAATTTAATTAGATTTATTTTTCTTAACTTAGGCTATAGGAAATTATTTCTTATTAACTACTACCTTTTAAAATGTCTTAACATTAAATGTCACATCAAACATGACATCTTCAAGCTGCAACCGTAAGAACAAATTATTAAAAGTTGTTATCCTGGGCGATGGAGGTGTTGGAAAGTCATGTATAATGAACAGATTTGTTAGTAACAGTTTTGATAGTCACTCTTTCCATACAGTCGGGGTTGAATTTTTTAATAAGGACATTGAAGTAGATGGAGAAAATTATACTCTTCAGGTAAGTTTGATTTATGATGGATCCTAATTAGGCTAGCTCATTTGTTTACAATACTGTTGTCTTTTTTCAGTCTGTAACTTAATCACTATAAATAGTCTGAAGACTATGCCTTGCTTACTTTTAATAAGACCCGGATAGCTTTTCTTCTTAGACTAGGCTTTTGACCTAGTGAAATGTAAGATAAGGTCAAACTAAGAATTTATTTAGACCATTAACCGAGAGGTACCCAACTGCTTTCGACAGGTGCTGTCACTGCACTTCAAGTTGTGTCAATCCTAGTGCACACATCGTTTTGCCTCAAGCCTTTAGCCCGAAAGACGAAAATAGACAAGGCAGTACAAAGCGCCATGCGGCGCTGCTTTGCCTTGCCTTGCAGTGCCCGATTATATGTGCTCCATGTAACTCCATTTGAAATACAGTATTAGAAACCTAGTCGCATAAGGCAAAACGTCGTGCTGTGCCGCCTCTGGTACATGCACCAGGCCTTATAATAAGAAAACATTATTGACTACAGAATTTGAGAATTACACGAAATATTTTTATAGTCAAGGATCATTCTTTAATCAATAATGTTCTTCTCATCAACTATATTATTCTTAGGCCTATCACTTCAACTTACCGTACCGGTACCAGACTAGCAGCATTATCAGCACAATATTGGTATTCTAGTTGTAGTGAATGAAGTTAGGCCTATTGACGATGACAGAATCAGAGTTAGTTAATAATAAAGTTGACACTTCCAGCTGCTAGCCGTTGAAAACACTCAGCTTATCCTACTTTACCCATAGTTCATTCCACTTGTACCTAAATGTCATCTGTGCTACATTGTTTATTCAAATGTCTTACATTTGAATGGTGATATCTTCAGTAATATTCATTTGCAGTTTTTTTTTCAATTAGACTCTTAGGCCTAAAGTCAGGACCACGTAAGTTTGCAGTTGGTGGCAGCCAATCACAAGACAAGGCCAGTGCGACGTTGCCACATCGCCCGTTGACAACACTAGGCCTAATTAAAATATACTAAGCAATATTTTCAAATCAGCTGGTATTATTAGATTTGGCAACACCGCACGGTTCTAATTGGTTCATTCAAAACCATATGGTAAATAGGCTCCTCCCTCAACTGCAAACTTACGTGGTCTGACTCTTGGTTAAAATTCTGATGGCATTGAAATTTCTTTTGTTTTAGCTATGGGACACGGCCGGTCAGGAACGATTCAAAAGTTTAAGAACCCCTTTTTATCGAGGAACAGATATTTGTATGTTGTCTTATTCAATTGATGACCAGAAAAGTTTTGAGAATTTAACAATGTGGAGAGACGAATTTATTTTCTATTCAGGAGTGCAAGATGCTCAGCAATACCCGTTCTTGGTTGTTGGAAACAAGGTACGCAAGATAGTTAATAGGTATACTACTATAATCTAATAAATGGTTGTCTAATAATCTTGAATAAGTTTTAACAAATTAGAACACTTATCAACAATTGCACGATTAGCAAAATTTATGAATGGAATATTAATATTTTTGAAACATACTCCTCACCCACACTGGAGATTTGTTTTCCTTATGGTCTTCTGGTTTTAGCGAATTTCCCATAGGGATTAAGCTATTACCGCAGGTCTCATGGTAAGATCTAGACCCGGGACCGATTTACTTTTTTGTTTTAAAGTCTCCAGAGGACAAAAACACCATACGTACAATTTCATATATAGGCCTATGTATAAAAAAATTTAAAACATAGTTAATAAAACGTAGTTAAAAGCATAATTAACATTTATTATATTAGTAGCCCTAAACATGCAAGAAAATAATACACATACTAGGTGAAACCCGTCAAATTCGACGGTTACTCTTGTGGTTTTACGTAATTTCAGCTAACTGCGATAGAAAGAGTGAAGTTCTTAGTTAAATGAAGGGAGGATAAAACTAATTATTAGTACGACGATTGTGTACCTTAAAAAACGTGGTTGATGAATTCGTTGAATACCGGTACATTATTTTCTGTCCTTTCATCGGCTTTAGGTTGCCCAAAAGGTTTTTTATGAGTCTTACAATTTTTTCTTCTTCATGTTTCTGTCATCTGACAGAAAGAGTTAATCTATAATATTAAAACGTGACAGGGTTTTTTTATTTCACGATTCTGAATCAACCACTTGACGTATTTTCATGATTTCTGTGTTGAAAGAAAGATAATTTTGAGAACTAGGGAATGTCGAAGCCATAATTTTAGTTTAGGGTCCCAGTTTTTTAGAAATTAAGTTTTAATTTTTAAAAAGTCTAGCAGCCGACGCTAAAATTCTAAACTAGCTTTTGGTATGATATAATTTGCATAACATAACAGCTGTAAACATTCAGCGTTTGTGACACAAATTCAGCATTTGGATAAAAATGAAAAGACATAGGCCTACTAAGGGTTGACATTTATACTAGGCCTATGTGTGATGCTGATCATTGATACGTTCAATTCTTCGGTAAGAGGATGACAGATTAATTAAATATAAATAGTAAAATACTAGGATGTTCAAATTATTTTGTAAAGCAATCTTTGATTTGTTTTAGTGCAATATCATTTGTTTTAACTAACAGCTGGGTTAAATATAAGAATATTCTATAGAACTATTAGGTTATTTTATTAACTCTGATTTGGTCATTGATTATAGGAAATAAGTAAGATTAGTAGATATAATTAGACCACAGAGATAAGTAAAACCATTGCTGTATACAAATCGAGGCTCTGTACACGAGTTCTATTTAGTTAGTGGCCCAGAATTAGAGTGCCTCATTTTCAGTCAACTTCAGCACACTCAAATGTCGGCAACAAGTTACACTCATGAAACAGGGATCCAATCCAACGAAAGGATCAGAAGTATTGCACTGTTCAAAGTCAATTACATAACCGCATGATTAAAGTTACAGTAGTATCCTTGGATAAATAGTGGTTTAAAAAACGATACTAAGTTCAAAGAGCTGATTCAAATGGTTTGTTTTATCTGGTATGTTTTATTTACACAGGCCTAGCTCAACTTACAGTTGGTTGTTATGTCAATAAAATCAAAACCCTTTAATTGACATCAGTGCACTCAAACATTTCTAGCATCAATCATACTACAAAACCAATAAGTTAATTATTTTTAGGCAATGGTAAAAATAACATGTTTTTATTAGCCTATTCATAGCTTTTCATAGAGCTTGTGATTGACTTGACGTTTGCTAGTTCCCTCGAGCCAGAGTCCCCTCTAAATGTAATTCTTAGTTACTGTAGCATAACAGCAGTGACAAGTACAGTGGCAATTAACAATTAAGCAAATCTCAGTGTTTTGAAATGAAAATAAAAATGAATTTGGGCCTATTGAAATGATTTTTTGGATTTCGGCTTAGTTTAGCCGTAATCCGCCATTTTGTTTTTTGGGGAAAATATTTATTATTTCAAAATCCCTTTGAGATATTTTTACAAAACTTGGCAAAATTGTTTACACTATAGTAAGTAACATTTCTAAAAAAAAATATTATTTTAACTTTCCAAATTTCAAAATGGCGGTCGTTTGAATTTTTTTAATGCCAAATTTCATGAAAACCGGTACCTAAATCAAAATTTTGTAAGAGACAAAAGTTTTAGTATTTATTATGACAAATCCAACAAAACAAAAATGAATAAAATCGGTTCATAAATAAAGAAGCTGTGTTTGTTTTAGTAATTTAGACTGAAATTATTTAATACGTTACATAAATTATTACATTACATTTAATACATTTTAATATTAATAATTTCAGTCTAAATTACTAAAATAAACACAGCTTCTTTATTTATGAACCGATTTTATTCATTTTTGTTTTGTTGGATTTGTCATAATAAATACTAAAACTTGGTCTCTTACAAAATTTTGATTTAGGTACCGGTTTTCATGAAATTTGGCATTAAAAATTCAAACGGCCGCCATTTGGAAATTTGGAAAGTTAAAATAATAATTTTTTTTATAAATGTTATACTATAGTACTATAGTAGTACTATAGTATTGTTTACTATAGTGTAAACAATTTTGCCAAGTTTCGTAAAAATATCTCAAAGGGATTTTGAAATAATAAATATTTTCCCCAAAAAACAAAATGGCGGATTACGGCTAAAGTAAGCCGAAATCCAACAAATTTTATTCTTCATTTTTGACTTATTTTTGCATGTAGAATTAGGTCCTGTATAGCCCATCACACTTTTTTGTGACACCCTGTATACTAAAAAACTTTTGCAAAACTTATGACAGCTAGCCTGACCATACTACCATTGACTAAAAATAAAGTCAATGATACTACTGTACCGAATTGCATGCTGTTGGTACCAAATGAAAGATATTTTCCTGTAGATGTGCAGAATATAAACAGAAAATTAAAACAAATGAAAGAAATTACAATCACGTAGGTTTTATTTACAGCCTGGGGTGAAAATAGAGAAGTTTGCACAATACATACTTTTGGTCGAGTTTTCGACCATGGGGCGAGCTCTAGTTCTGAACTAAAAAGTTTCTTGACAGCTGGCTGTTTATGTCGTTTCCTAACCTCAAAACATCACTTGAAACACCTGATCACTTGAAACACCTGATCACTGAAATGACATAAACATGTCAACAAAACAGTGGATACCGTACCTAATATTGCTCGCACCAGTAACTCGCGAGAAAATGAGTCATCACGCCACTTCAATGTCCACTGATTCAAACGAGTCCATGGCTGTTTTCGGGGATGGGAGCTTGGTTGGTGTGTGATATTACTGGAGTGTGTGGAAAGATTTGATGATTACAGTACGTCTAATTTTCAACCTCCGACTTTCAACTGGTATAAAGTTTTTTTTTTTTTATTTCAGCTAAATATATTTTTGAAATTTCAAACTAAAAAAAATTCTTCTAAAATTTGCCGCCCTTACAAATCTGCCGCCCTGGGCAGCAGCCCCTTCAGCCCCCCCACCTAAATCCGCCACTGTTTACAGCCAGCCTTCTAGTCTATTTAACATGTCTGAAATCCTCTTTCAAGCATAATAAACTTAGAATCGCTGAAAATGAACATAAAACAAATAATATTTTTTTTTTTAATAATTATTATTTTTACCAGGTGGATCTCGGAGAGGAGAGTCGGAAAGTTAACGAGGGTGAAGTGGAAGCTTGGTGTGAAGCTAAGGGTAAGCTGCCACACATCGAGACTAGCGCGAAGGACGCCATCAACGTAGACAAAGCGTTTGCCTTGGCTGTGGAACGATGGAACAAACTCGAAGAGTTCATAGAACGATCAAATGATTACAAAGCCGACATGGTTGATCTGAGAAGGCATCGTGGAACCAAAGAGAATACCAAATCAGGCTGTTGTTCTTAAATTTGTATCCATACAGTATTCATACAATCTTAAATATATTTATATATATGTATATAAAATATTTAAATATTTTTATCGTATTTACTTATACTGTAAGTAAAAAATATTTTTATATGACTTTTGAGGGACCACTATATGTAAACATATCACCAGTATTAGTTACCAATGATGTATAAATCATACAATCATATAAAGTAAACAATTTTATTGATTGTTCAGACTATAATGTTGCAATAAATTTACAAGTTTCATGTTTAGACTGAGTTTTTTTATCTGTTCTTGAAAATTGAACTTAAAACAATGTTTTTTCTCCCTCCAGTTCTTATGAATGCAAGATCATCCAACCATTCTTGAGATCAATATGCATCGCAATCATTTACAATAATGCTCCCTAAAGAAAAAAGTAGAATCATAGATAAAACATACTCCCTTAGTAGATTTCTCATCCTTATGGAACAGCTGAAGACAATTTTATTGTTAGTTCATGTACGGTTTATGTAGAGGTCGTGTTTTGTTTACAATTTGTTTCCTGTTATTACAGACATTTAAAACCTCGTTTAACCAAATAATACGATCTAATCATAAACAATAACTTGTCCCCTAGCTATATAACCAAACAGTAAAGCACAAATCAAGAAATTAACCCTAAAATAATGGAAACAAAGTTTCATCGACACTAGTGCCTTTGTGTCACGTACATGAACTAGACACGAAAAACGTGCTTCAAAATTTACAATGGGATGAGAAGTCTACTTGTGTTGGTTAGTCTATGGTAGAATGTATTTAATACACAGTTGCAACACTGTTTTCTCAGTAATTACTGGACCGATCTACAAGATTTATGTCTCAAATTAAAGGGGATAGTGTGTAGATTTGCCGAACTTCCTTAGAATTTACGTTTTTTCTAAGGGCTACGACCTACAGCCCTTTAAAGGTCGAGTCAATACAATTCTTATTGAAGAGTATAATATAATACACAGTTTATAAACTATTCGTCAGCTGTTTAATGTTTGTCAGACATTTGTTATTATTTTTATAACCTCACTTTCAGTATGCAATTATTAAACTTAGAGTTTCTGTTTATAAACACACGATTTTGATCAAGGAAAGTGTATTTGTTAACTTATTTTTGAAATGTTTTAGTTTTCCTGCAAAGTGATCTGAAGGAAAGTGGTAATTGAGTTTAAGTTTGAGTATGGAATGTGAACTAATACCCATAGTAGGGAACGGAAACTTATTGTTTTGATCAATATAATTTATTCTCTACGGCCACCAGAATAATCATGGGGAAATCCGCTTGCAAGTTGTACATATAATTGCTAATGAGTGGGAAACATACAAACATTTTATAGTAGGTGACGAATCTTACTCAAGATCAGTGTTAGACGTTCAGTGGTACCAAACTTTACCTTCTCGAGATGGCGAGTACGCTGGGATACGTGGAACTACAATATATCAGTGAATTTTTTTCAAGTACACAGGGAAGTTGCTTGAGAAACTGTGACTTACCATTCGGTTCCATGGCGAAGAAGTATGTGACTTGATGTGTTAATGGCAGTGTTGACTTGAGTCATTATAGCGTTATAAAACTTTATCATTAACCCCAGGGTGTGAAAAGTACAAAAAGAAAAAGAAAAGGTAATCATCAACCGGGCGTAAAGAGACATACCGAACGAAAAAAAAATGTAGAGAACCATCGAACTAAAAAGGTAAAGAGCAGTGTTGGTGTTAACCCTCCGAGTGTCACGCGTCATAAAAACGACGCACAACACACTTTGTGTAGGGTCACGCGTCGCTTTTAAGACGCACAAACATCGTTTACGGCGAAGGCTCTATGACTGACTGAATCGGATTGAACTGGATCGAGTTAGGTATCGTTCTTTCCGTAATATTCTAAGCTTTCTCCAGAGGTCTGTCTCTAAGCGCTATTCATTTTAGTTCCGAAAATATTGTAGCAGACAGCTGACGTGCGTGTATTTGTAAACAGCTAGGTTCCCCCGGACCGATGACTGATGTGTTTTATTACGTTTATCATTGTTTTAGTGTTAAAAATCAAAAGTAGTGATATACGTGGTGCATTATAAGAAGATTTAAGTGGTTTTGAAGTGCTGGTTGATGATCCTGAAGATGTAGGTAGTGATATTGATGTAAATTATCAGCCAGATTCCTAGCTATGGTTAGGCTATGCATTCTTAGCTAAACGCTATGTACTGAAATCCGTTTTTCGCTCATAACTTATTTATTTGATAACTTACCTCGCTATATGATTATATATTTGTAATCCTCATTAAATTTAGAACAAAGTGGCTATTTTCAAATATTTATAGGCTTATAATTTATACAATTTCATTGAGCGCGAACTTTTTTTTTTTTGAAAATTTTTGAAATTATATTTTTTTTACCTAAAAATTTTTTTTTTGAAAAAATGTTCCTTATGTTTTATATATAATATGGAAGCCCATGATTTTCCAAACAAAATGGTACATAGAACATTAGAATTAACATTGTTTTAAGCTTCTCAGATCCGTTTTAATAAAACCTTGCAAAGGGGCCAAAAATAGGTGGACATTAAGGCCTAAACTATGGACACTCGGAGGGTTAAATGTGCTCTGGAAGTCCCTACAAAAAATACCAACTCTTTTGAATTGGGGTCGTTAGATTGGATTTGTCACTACTTCAAATCTATGAATTTCGAGTCAGAACAGACTAACTGGGACACAGAAATGTTTTAGTTTTCCTGCAAAGTGATCTGAAGGAAAGTGGTAATTGAGTTTAAGTTTGAGTATGGAATGTGAAATAATACCCATAGTAGGGGACGGAAACTTATTGTTTTGATCAATATAATTTATTCTCTATAGCCACCAGAACAATCATAGGGAAATCCGCTTGCAAGTTGTACAGATAATTGCTAATGATTGGTAAACATACAAACATTTTATTGTAAGTGATTAATCTTACTCAAGATCAGTGTTCGACGTCCAAATTTTACCTTCTCGAGATGGCGAGTACACTGGGATATATGGAACTACAATTTATCAGTGAACTATACCCTAACTATATTTTTTCGAGCAGGCCTACACAGGGAAGTTGCTTGAGAAACTGTGACTTACGATTTCGGTTCTGGCGAAGAAGTATCTGACTTGATGTTTAATGGCAATGTTGACTCGGGTCATTATAGCGTTATAAAATTTTATCATTAACCCCAGGATGTGAAAAGTACAAAAAGAAAAAGAAAAGGTAATCATTAACCGGGCGCAAAGAGACATACAGAACGAAAAAAACATGTAGAGAACCATCGAACTAAAAAGGTAAAGAGCAGTGATGGTGTTAAATGTGCTCTGGAAGTCCCTTCTAAAGAATACCAATTTTTTTGAATTGGGGTTGTTAGATTGGATTTGTCAGTACTGCAAATCTATGAATTTCGAGTCAGAACAGACTAACTGGGACACAAATATTTTTTCCTTATGTTGTCACAAGGGGAAGGTAAAATGAACTCCTTATTAACATTTTGTGTTTATGGAAAATCTTATCAACAGCGACTATAAAAAAAGTATTAAGGGGCAAAAGAGACGAAAAACTATTTGAGTAAAATATAATACAAATCTGCATTTGAAATGGCCAGTTCTAAGTCTCACTTGAATCAACATCATTCTGGTAGTGGTAGTCTACATAGTTTTAAAATCCACGACTCCTTTTCCATCAAATTGGACCGTTAATATCCTCTAACATTGAACAAAGTATGCCCAACTTTATATATAAGACGTAAACACAGCTTTTACTCACAGTATGGGTCAAAGATTCGTGAAATGCAACCAACTGCTGATGCGTGATTTACATGTAGGCTAAGTGACTATCTTTAATCCATACAACAAATGTAATGAAAAAAAAACGACGAATATAGGAATATACTTGAGCAAATGATCTAAATAGCATAAATAGCTGCTTATTAGGTTATCAGCATTGCCCAGTTCATATACTATTTATTTTTCAAATGAAACTCGAATTAATATAAAACATTCATTTGGTTAAAATAATATATCGGTTTGATTAACATAAAGTAGTTTATACAGACAAACAATCAGTTCTATTTCATGTAAAAAATTAAACAACCCCTAAATAAAATACAAAGATAAACAGTATTTGTTAATTATTATTTCTTTTATTGCTGACAATATCCCGTGGCGGAGCACGGGCGGTTAACTAGTACAATTGAAAGAGCAGCTAAAATACTACTTTTCTACATAAAGAATTATATAGGATGGAGGGGACACAGCTAACACACCTGAAGAAAGGTTGCAGACGAGTCACAGCATAAAATAGAGCAGTTGTGCTGTGACTTGTCTGCAACCTTTCTTCAGTGTTAGCTGTGTCCTCTCCATTCTATATACCCTAGCTAAATGCTTTTTCCTAAAAACTTCTACTTTTCTACATTGTCACTGAACAAGGTGTCACATTTATTATACCAGTGGACAAGCTTAGAAGTTTATTTTTTGTAGAATTACACCGTCTGTTAGCTGAGCCCACCCTGACACGCAATTGGATTTCCACATCATCATCAACTTTATCTCTTGAACATTAATTATAGTAGAAAACTCGAACCTTTAGATTAACTCAAGCCTTGACAATACCACTGTTTGAGTAGTTTTAACACATCCAACCATTATAAAGCAAACTAGCCTATTTGAAACACCGGAATGAGCTCTATCTAATATGACAAGTTTGTAAAAACACTTTCAGTGTAAAAAATACCAGATATTATCCAAATTCCAAATTTTACACCATGAATATGCCTTGAAAGAGAAATAGTTAGTTTCTTGATTACTTTAGGTATAGTGTTTTTTTTTTGTATTTTTTTTTCTTATGCACCATATAACTGTATGTCAAGTCAAGATATAAAAATAATAGCATAGTTTTTTTCTACAAGCAAGTAGTTTACAATGTTTTATAATTTATATGTTACGATATATGTTTGTTTGTATGGATTTTCCAGATATTTATGGTGATTTACTCAATTTGTGACTCTATTTATTATATTTTCTTTCTCAAATATGTCATAGATAAATGGTAATAAGACTGCAGTATGGAATAGATATAGCAAGACATTTTCAAATCCAACGGTAGAGGTCATAGTCATAATTCTTTATTTACAACTGATCTTCAAGAACTGTAAATGAGTCAATGTTACAAATAAGTAATGAGTTCATGTGTTTAATGTGTTCTTCTTTGCTTCTTCATAATATTCCATGATGGTGTAAAATGGTCTCAGAAGCAGCCACTTATGTAGAGCCGACTTAAGATCTTCTTACTTTACCTCGAAGAGTCTTCATTGTTTTTGGTAGTGTTGCATAATCTACGACCTGCGTTTGAAGACTTCTTCTCAAGCTGAGTTGTTTGGTGATTGGGCAGGGGCGGAGCCCAGAGGTCAGAGGGTAAAATCCTTTCTTAGTGAGCATCTACTACCCAAAAGGAAGATGCCTGCCAAGTTTCAGGTTCCTAAGTCTTATGGTTTCTGAGATTTCGTAATGAGTGAGTGAATGAGTCAGTGGTATTTGAGCTTTATATATATATATAGAAGATAGACCGTAAGCTGTGCTGCGGTTACCATAGGTTCTGGCACACACAGCTAGGAGCGCCATGTAGTCACGGCCTAATCACTAACAACACGGCGCTCCCAGCGGTGTGTGCCAGAACCTATGGTAACCACTGCACGGCTGACAGTACATTTATTCTTTTTGTCTATGGTCTAAGGAATATGTCTGACTTGGTAACTAACAAGACTACAAGATTGCGCCACTCATCCTACACTCATCTCCATTCATACTAGGCTTAAAATACCTACTTTGTATGGTTGCCATTTCATTGAAAAGTATTAAAATTATTTAAGTATATACCGAACTGGCTAAAAACAGGGTTTATACAATTAAAGTCAAGTTGAGTACAAATATTGTTTTGCTAATTTATTAAATAAATTACACTCTTCAAATATATACATTGACACTACTTGTTTAACCCTCTATCTGGCGCTGGTCGATTTTCGACCACTAAAACGTGAGTTCTCAGTGGCGCTGGTCTATTATAGACCAAGATGACATGGGTTGGGTTTTTCTATTATTAAAATATGAAAACAGTTTTAAAACGCAATAAATCTTATACCATTAGAAAGATGAGATTCTGAGGATTCATTTTCATGCATAAAACATTATTGAGTGAGTATTATGTAGCGAGAAACGGTAGTTTGAAAAACTAGAGAGTTCAAAATAGATTTTGGCGGTGGAAAGTTTTGGTCACCTGACTACAAAAACAGCTGTTTTTGGTGATTGTCAATTAAATTGTATACAATATTAGTACATATTCTGAAACTACAATAAATTCCATACAATTCCATGTGAATCTATATGGTTGATTGTAAAATTTTTTTTTTTTTTTATGTCATAAATACCTATTATGTTTTTGTAAAAAAATCTTCAAAATTTTACATTCCGACGTAAATTTCTCCGACATTTTAGAATTCAACTAAATATAACTATATATTTTCAGAAAGATCTTTTTATTACCTATTGTACAGTATCATTTTATTTTTTGTTGATGCATTCTATTATTTCCTACGTGACAAAAAGAAATTTTGTAGTTTTTCAAAAAAGAAAATATGTATGAAGAATTTATTTTTTTATAATTTTATTTTTATGAGTATTTAAAAAACATTGATATTTCTACGTAGGGAATCATATTTCACACAAACTTTACAGTTAAATAAAATGTGTAAAAAATTATTTTGTGGTTTTCTTGTGGGTTGCTTTTGAAATTTCTAATTTGCATAATCCAAAAATTTGCAAACCTTTTGCTACTACGCCTAAACGCATTGCTATGAAAAGAATATTTTTATATCATTATATTCTAAATTCATCCCTGAAATAGAATATATATATATGTGTGTACTTATATTCACAAATAAATGTTCTGTGGCAAAATATATGATACCACTACAAAAGCGCCAAAATATACCCGCCACTGGTGAATAAAATGACCGCCAGATCTAGGGTTAAATGAAGTGTTGTACAAGTGGGTTATGTTATATTACATATCATTACTTTTGATTAAAGCTTTATAACGTTACATAGAACCAAATTCTTCATTGAATCTTATCACCTCTTTTCTTCAATAGATGATTTTCACTGGACTAGCACTCCTTAGCTCCCTGTCTGTCCAAAAGAATATTTCAACTTCAGCCTAAAAAGTCAAGATAAATAAATGTTTTATCAGCAAACACTATTTTTAGTTATTCAATTTAATTTAGAATGTTAGACAATAGACTTGAAAAAGGAATGACAAACAGTAAAAATTAATTTTTTGATATAATGTCACACAAATTAAAATTTGGTTTTTAAAAATAAATCTATGAAAATCAACTTTTAGTAAAATTATGTATAAACCTTGTGTATGTATTTAGCTTAAATTTGAACATAAACGAAACACTTAACAGTAGAACCCCTCATATCCGACCTCGGAATAACCGACTTCTCGGGATATCTGACCTTGACCTAGTGTCCACTGTCAACTTGTTTCCTGTCTGGGCACGATAACGCAGAGCTTGATCAGTTAACCGAAAGGCCGATCACAGATGTTGCCGTAATCGCGGCAGACGATCACCACTGTCACCAATCAGCGGGTGTTGCTGCCATCGAAGAGACTTCAAGCTACACTCATGGGTTTTGTCGCAGGAGACGATTACTGATGTCCCACAGAATGCAAGTTACACTCACGGCTGTTGCTGTGATTGCGGGAGACGATTACCGAAGTCACAGAGACTGCAAGTTATGCTCACGGCTGCTGCCGCAGTCACAGGAAACGATTACTGAAGACGCGGAGGCTAAAAGCTACGCTCCTGGAGTCCTGGGTGATGTCGCAGTTGCGGGAGACGATTACTGATGTCGCGGAGACTGCAAGCTACACTTATGGGTGTTGTCGTGGTCATGGGAGACGATTACTGATGTCGCAAAGACTGGCCATTCCGACCTTGCCCCGGTCACGTCGTGGTCGGATATGAGGGGTTCTACCGTATTAGATAACCAATTTATTCCAGTGATCATTTAATGTTTTCATCCAAAACCTCTCCAGCAGTCGTATAGTAATTTTTGTCTCCTGCGCTCAAGAAAGCATTGTCCTCGTTTTTGGTATCACCATAAAATGTTATATATATCCCTATATGTTAAAAAATCTCTCAAATGATATTTTATTAGTGTTTGGATATAAAAAAAAAACTTGTATTTCTTGTATTTACCTCAAACATAACCAATTATGTTGGTACCACTCTCTCTGAACTTCGGAGAATACTCTTTGACGATCAAAGGAAGTTGGTGAGAAGGAGTGTTCAGGTGTTTTACAAACGACTTTTCACAAACTGGCACCAATGAGTCCAATATGAATGAGGCATTTTTCACTATCAGTGGTCGCTGAAATATAATGCAAAAATTGTGGTACCTATATTATTTTTTTATTAAGTAAAATTGAAGTAGTAACACACAATTATTTAAGAAACTGTTTATTTACACTCAGTGTTTCACTCAGCACCTGCAAATTCTTCAACATTAACATGTTGAAAGACTAACCAAATTTCAATTTGTACAGGTATACAAATAAACAAAAATCAACTCATTTTGAGGTTAAGGTACACTGCTGTTATAGCAGGCTAGGATCCAACTGGTGGAAAACTGTAGAACTCAGTCTGTGTCAATAGTTACTCAGTAACTTAACTTGTCTTTAAAAATTTGACCTAGCTCTAGTTGAAGACATTAAGACCGATGAGCCACACAAACCTCATAACCAGAGCGCTGTAGCCAGAGCCAGTAGCCTAATTAACCATAGTGTGGTGGCTTAGCAAAATGATCGTGACCTGATGGATTAAAGCTGCAGCTTTTGCACATTTCTTCCATACCCTAAATACAAACAATTTATGGGGGGGTGCCCGATTTTTAGGTCCGCCATCTTGAAATACGACGCCATCTTTGTTTTCTTTAGAGGAATTGAACTATTCATTGAAAATGGCCTAATATCACCCAAAAAGACACTTTTACGACATTTTTATACAACATGTTTTGTTCACAATTAAATTTGCTATAAAATGAGATAAAAACCACTTCAATAACTTAAATAGTCTTGAAGATATAAACTGTTAAAGTTGAAAATTTGATATATTCCTCTACGCTACATGTAGTTTTTGCTATATTTCACCCAAAAGGTCAACGGTACATATCTGTTATTATGATATATTTTATTCGTAATTAAATTTGCTACAAAATAAGATGAAAATCTCTAAATTAACTTAAATAGTTTGGAAGATAGAAACCGTTAAAGTTATAAATTTCTTTTATTTCTGTATGCAATAGGTCAGTGTTTCTTAAAAGTCCCCGCGCTTTGTTTTTTCTGCACGTATGGCGTCAGAAGACTGCAACTTCACACATCAATACTGGACCTAAAATAGTACTTTTTTAAGTACTTCTTGACTTTTTTCTCCCAAGGGGGGTCGGCCCACAAGGAGTAAGTTAAAAATCTTAAGTAAAAGCATAGGCCATGATGCATATCAAATTAAAGAGATTTACCTGTAGAACACGTTACCACAAACTGCACTTTAAAAGGACAAGTGGGTCAAAAGTTATACAGTTTTATAGTTTCGCATATTTATTTATAAGTAACGGTCAACACCATTTCATCTCATCTTGATGAAGCTCGGAAAGTTCCCTCGGGGTCTTAAAAATGGTAATGTGCTACCAATTTTCTAGAAAGGTGACACATCTGTCAAAAATCATCGTCCAGTGGTGGTACAACCTGCATTGGCTAATATATTTCCAGCAATTCTACTTCATGGACTCTCTTTTTCTGTGAAAAATATCATCGTGCCCTGTCAACATGGCTTCAAGAAAGGGTGATCTACCTCGACCAATTTGGTTCTGTACCAGGATGACATTATGCAAGCCTTTTCTCGTAACCATAAGGACGATTCTGTCAATTTGGACCTATCCAAGGCTTTCAACCGTGTAAGTCACACTTATCTCGTGACAAAGCTTGGTGGATTAGGGATCACTGAATAGTACTTGTATGATTTGAGGACTATTTGTGGAATCACTTTTTAACAATGAAATTTGCTGGAGCGAAGTCTTGTAAGTTTGAAGCTTCTTCTAGTGTACCTCAAGGATCTCTACTGGGACCAATTTTATTTTCAATATTCATTAATATATGGCTGACGTTGTCAAAGATTCTTGACAACCGGCTTCATTCGCGCATATTCCTCTGACAAGACCACCATTTTGAGAGGGGTGCCTCAGGGCTCTGTTTTAGGACCTACCCTATTCCTGCTCTTCATTAACACCCTTCCATCTTGCAAATCAACCGCCAAACCAGCACTATTTTCTGATGACACCTCACTCTCCATTTCCAGCCGCAACATCGAAAGCTTGGAGCTAACTACCTTTCGGGAAGCCAGTAACTTAAACGACTGGTTTGATTCCTTTCTCCGTCAACGCCGAAAAAAACCCAACTTTTGCACTTTTCTATTTCAAAGAGACTCTCTAATGGATTCAGCCTACTTCTGGACGACACAACAGTTCATCCAACTAACAGTGTTAGGTTTCTGGGACTGACACTAGATAAACATATTGATTTCTCAGATCACATTAAGCAGGTTTCAAGAAAAGTCGGTTCTGGAATTTTTGTTCTACGTAGTTTAAAGAACACATCTACCTCCGAAGTTCTAATATCCGTATATTACGGACTAATATATCCTCATTTAGCGTATGCTATAGCCTATTCCTATAGCGTACGCTATACCTATATGGGACTATGACATTTTAAAAACTGAAGTTCTATTTAAATTCCAAAAGTCGGCTGTACGAACAGTTTTATCTCTGCCCAAACGCAAATCATGTAGAAAGTTCTTTTCAGAATCAAAATGCCTCCAGCAGGACATCAATGGAATTACAATGTCTTTTATGCAAAATGGAATGCTTTTGAATGAATTCAAGTGCATGATAGTTTCATTCAACATGACCTCAACACCCTCTCTATTTTTAACTATTCAATAAATGGGAACGCACTTGTTAGATCCACCTCTGTCAACGACCTTGGAGTATCATTTACATCATCTCTCAACCCTGATGATCAAGATAACAGGTTAACAAGGAAAGCAAACTCAGCCCTTGGTTTCATTCTGAGATTATCCAGAAATGGGTTCTCTCTGTGTGGGCTGTGCCCCCCTTGTTGGAATATTTTTCTGCTGTATGGTCCCCATTTATACAGTTGGTCTTTCACAGGACATCGAAAGAGTGCAGCTCTTTTTTTAGAATCGTAGAACTTCGTCTGGGATACCCATTCAGGAATGTACCCATTTGAGGATCTTCGACAGCATCTTCGGCTAAACCACTTGAGTTCTCGAAGGCGTATTGCTGACCTGGTTTTCTGAGGAAGATTCTCATTGCAGAACTTGACTCTCCTGAGCTGCTGAGCAGGGTAAATTTTCGCTGCTCCAGACCATACTGATCCCAGGACCTATTTGAAAGGGGATATCATTCTACAGCATATGCCTACAACAGCATGCTACCAAGACTACATCGTTTGGGAAACAGTATTCCTAAAAATCTCAACTTTTTCTCCTCAAGTTTTATTACTTTTAGGAAATAGCTGCTTGCTTGTTATTCATAATCCTTGGTGCATTATACAGTAAAGTGGTCCTATGATTTAGTTTGTTATTGCATTTCTTGTTTTGTTGATACATTTTGATAGAATTTCTAAATATTATCACTTTAAACCGATCAATTTATGGAATTCCAGATTTATTTACATCTTTTTTATTCAATTCTTGTTAAGTTTGTTATACATTTATTCTTGTTGATCAATGCTTTGCTTGTTATCCTTGCTGTTAAGTTCCGTTACGTTTTTTATATGTTATGCAATGAGATGAAATGGTGTTGATCGTTGATTAATAAATAAATATGCGAAACTATAAAACTGTATAACTTTTGACCCACTTGTCCTTTTAAAGTGCAATTTGTGGTAACGTGTTCTACAGGTAAATCTCTTTAATTTGATATGCATCATGGCCTATGCTTTTACTTAAGATTTTTAACTTACTCCTTGTGGGCCGACCCCCCTTGGGAGAAAAAAGTCAAGAAGTACTTAAAAAAGTACTATTTTAGGTCCAGTATTGATGTGTGAAGTTGCAGTCTTCTGACGCAATACGTGCAGAAAAAACAAAGCGCGGGGACTTTTAAGAAACACTGACCTATTGCATACAGAAATAAAAGAAATTTATAACTTTAACGGTTTCTATCTTCCGAACTATTTAAGTTAATTTAGAGATTTTCATCTCATTTTGTAGCAAATTTAATTACGAATAAAATATATCATAATAACAGATATGTACCGTTGACCTTTTGGGTGATATATAGCAAAAACTACATGTAGCGTAGAGGAATATATCAAATTTTCAACTTTAACAGTTTATATCTTCAAGACTATTTAAGTTATTGAAGTGGTTTTTATCTCATTTTATAGCAAATTTAATTGTGAACAAAACATGTTGTATAAAAAATTGCGTAAAAGCGTCCTTTTGGGTGATATTAGGCCATTTTCAATGAATAGTTCAATTCCTCTAAAGAAAACAAAGATGGCATCGTATTTCAAGATGGCGGACCTAAAAATCGGGCACCCCCCCATAAATTGTTTGTATTTAGGGTATGGAAGAAATGTGCAAAAGATGCAGCTTTAATCCATCATGTCACAATCCTTGCCGATATTGTCTCTAAGCCACCACACTACCAGCAGTCTAGTAAATCAGCATTATTACCATGATTTTTTAAATCATGTATTTTCTTAAGTTGATTTTATGAATCAAAATGTTACGGTGTTCTTAATATGTAAAACATTAAAACATATATAAGAAAAACAAAAGGAAAATTCAGTATAGTATGTCTCTGTTTTAATTGTTTACACTTTTTCTCCATGTCCAGGACTTTTTGAACTCGGCACCCATCTGGTCCACATCACGCCAAGTTTTTAGGATTGAACAACAACCTCCAAAAATATTTAAATGTACTTTTTAAGTTTTTACTTCTACTACTTCATCAACTAATATTAGTCAACACTTAAATTACTAAATCATCTATATATTAATTTGAAACTGTTTTTCTTTGTGACAGCTAATTTGAGAGAACGGCTGGGTGTAGAAACTCGGTAGGGGTATCTAAAGAAAGGTCTTGGTCTGTAGATGAGCCATCAAAAGAGAAACGTGGTAAATTCCCTTGGGGCTCTGCCCCAGTGGCCTTTAAATTTCCATCCCATGTTATTCTTATGGAGGAAAACGGGGTTTTGTCACAGCTAATTACTGAGAACGGCTGGGCGTAGAAACTTGGTAGGGGTCTCTAAAGAAAGGTCTTAGTCTGTAAATGAGCCATCAAAAGAGAAACAAGGTAAATTCCCTTGGGGCTCTGCCCCAGAGGCCTTTAAAGTTCCCTCTTCAGATTTGTTTACATTACGACCATATGCATACATTTACACTACTTTTTAATGAAACAGCTGTTAATATTGTGATTTACTAAATTTGTCAAAATGAAGTTGGTTTTTTCTGATTTTAAAATCGATTTTCTTCTAAATCGTGCCATGTTTTGCAATATCATGTTCTATTACCAAATCAGTGGAAAATCCTAATATCACAGTAGCTCTTAAAATTATTTCTTATGGAGTTAACATCTAGGTATTGTATGGGTTGGTTTCTGCCTTTTTTACCACTTCTTGGAGATTGAACGTAGACGATATTCTTTGGCGTATTGCATCTGTAGTAGACGATACTTGGTTGGTGTAATTTTAAAATTACAATGGAAAAAGTGAGAAATACTGGACAATTTGATATACTAAAAATAAAACTGAATTAACACTGTGCTACATTTCTTGAGCAATAATTGAAAGAGCCGATTTGCAAACAATGGAAACAGGAAAGTCATAGAACACAACCAAGTACAGTACAAGAAATAGAAATAATGTTTTTTTTTTATTTATAATCGTTATTATATACAACCTAATGCGGCTATGAGTGGGAAAAATTGGTAGAAAACACTAAAAAACAAGGCCAGCTTTTGAAAAAAGATAAGCTATTTACAAAAAATATCTAAACTGCTGTGTACATCTTGAGTATTTCCATAATCTTTAAATCGACTCTTATAAAGTCATCGGAAATTATGACTGTTATTCGTTTTAAAATAACGCCTGTAATGCTTCGCAATTGCTCGAATTCGAGCAACAGGTACACTAGTTATAATCAATATAAAATGCTGTCATACCTGCTGGGACAGTTTGTCAGCCTTGTATGAGGTGAGGAGGTGTTTCAGTTGCGCACTGAGAACGTCATACAACACTTTGTCTACAGTATAGGCCATGTCACAGTTAGCCAGGCGTAGGCTATCATTGACCAATGACAGGTAGAGCTTGGTGAAGGACACGGTGTTGGCTGTCAATTCCACCCAGCTGTCTCCTGCAATAAAAAGGTCCAATTTATTTTAGTGTAGGTTGACAGAGTTGCTACTATACAGTCTTGAGTCATAAAAATGTCTAGGTTAGGCCAAGCCAACAGTTGGTCTGAGAGATAAGTTAAGGAAATAATTTTTGGACCAAACTTGGGTCGGGTAATTTTGGGAAGTGAGCGGCATGATTTTCAAACCTAGCCTAAGAGTTGGAAAATTGAGCGGAGCCCAAGCTTTTTATTCTTCCAATGTTATCGGGATTGCAGAAAGCGTCAGCAAAGATTTATCGGGATTGCAGAAAGCGTCAGCAAAGATTTGAGACTATACAAAGTTAACTATTTTGCTTTGATTGCATTACAATACTTTATAAGCCCCTAATTTATGGCATGTTTGGTGAAACTTTGTGATCGCGTACCTGTGACTCCAGTGACCAGAGACATAGCTACTTTACAATATCGTACCTGTGACATACTTGGTGAGAGTGAGTCCCTGATCACTCAGCTCTGTGGACAGTTTGTGTAGGGCTGAGGGTGTGTTGAGGTTCAGTGGACGCCAGTTGTCCTCGACACAACGCAGCTTCACCGCCTCCGTCAACTTGTCTCTCGCCTCCGTCAGACACCTGGTGATGGGCGGACTCAGCTGACCATCCAGCTGGTAACACAGGTCCATGCCTAGCTCTCCAAGCTACACATTCAACAGTGATACATTGAAAGAGTTTATTTAGAGAGATTATTATGAGCCAATGATACAATTTCATCAAATATCTTCACTTATTTCAAGTTTTATTTTTGTCTTCTTTTTGTGCATTGTGCACAACATAGATTTAGTAAAAACACTTTCACCAAAAATGCACAATCACAGTCTTTAGGGTAGAACCATGTCACATAACTAACATGGCGTGCTAACGTTTTGGTCTCGTTGCAGAAGGTGGCTGGCAGTGCTTCATTAGTCAATAGTGCTCTGAAATTTACAACCTGGAGGAGAAAATATCTGCAACAAGGCTGAGTTGTCTGTTTGGTATATTGGTGAATGTCAAACTGCCCTACCCTTATATAGTGTTAAGTTTGACCTTGGAAGTATTGCATATAGTGCTAATGAAGGTAGTTAAGTTACAATACCCAACAACATAAGACCTAACCAACATAAAAAAAGAGAAAAAAAGAAGAGCCCACTTTTTCATCCCCCTAACGACAAACATATTGACTGGTACAGTGGCGTCATCCTGTAATCCAGCTGGTTGGAAGTCACGAATTGGTAGAATCTGTGAATTGTGATACTCCCTAGTGACGGTGTGGATTAACATCTGCACTAGTGAGCACTATGACTATCCACAGTCCTATCTTGATAATTAGACCAATTTGTAAAAAGTGGTTCAGATTCCACTATAAACTGTAGGTCCCTTAGTTGCCATTGGTCGTATGTGCTATTAATTAACAGTCCTGTCTAAGGAACATAGTCAGTAACTCATACTACACTCATCTCCATTCATACTTGACTTAAAATCTACTTTTTCAGACTCAGACAGTACAAATTTTACCTGTTGACATTGAGATCGTACAGACACAACACATTCCGCCAGAGATGTGAGTGAAGCTTGTGGCATGAACACTTGCTTGATGAAGTGTGAAGTGAAATGGGACAATTCTTGGCTAGCCCAAACAACAAACACTGGAAATACCAAACATACTAATTTAGGCCTACTACACAAAATAAACTATAGATAGGATAGCAGGCCTACCAGAAAGGGAAGGAGTCTAAACTAAAGTTTTGCGTTTCTTGTATCCGTTAGGGTTTTCATATTTATTTAGGTAATCAAATCAAATCAAATCAATTTATTGTTGTAGACATTTCACAATGCATTAACAATGTCACAAAATACATAATGCTGTTATTAAATACAGCAAATGAATACTTACTTGTAATCAATCAATATAATAAGACAGTACAATAAAAAATTATATATATACATATAAAATACAGGCACAATTAAATAGAAATATTTTGACATGTAAAAAAATCCTCCACTGTATACGGGCATTTTTGTAATAAATATGTTTTCATTTTTGATTTGAAAGTGTTCAAGGACAACTCCCGAGACTCCACTGATAAATTATTAAACAATTTAGCTGCCATGAATTGAATGTTTGTTTGACTCTTTGAGTATTTACAAAGCACTGTTTGTAAGTTGTCTTTAAATCTGGTTTCATAATTATGTTTATTTGAATTTTCTGAAAAAATTTCCAAATGATTTTTTACATACAACAAAACTTGAAGAATATATATTGCAGGTAAAGTTAAAATTTTGAAATGTTTAAATATAGGTTTACAGTGAGTTCTAGAGCGTACACCACTTACAAGCCTTATCGCCCTTTTTTGCAATTTAAATAACTTTTTGGAATATGATTGGTAACCCCACACCAATATTCCATAACTCAATAAACTATGTATCTGTGCATAATACACTATTATCATAACATCTTGTGTTACACAACCTTTTAATCTTCTTAAACAGTAGGACACCTTTCGACAGCTTGGTTGAGGTTATGTCAATGTGACCCTTCCAATCTAGTTTTGAATTTCCTTCCAATCTAGTTTTGAATTTAAATTAATTCCAAGAAATTTTAAAGGTTTTATCTCATTTAATAGGGGCTGCCTATTTGAGAAACAAATTTCCAAATCTTGCAATTTATTTAGATTTAGGCATAATCTATTTGCATTACACCACTGATAAATCAGATCAGATCTGTAGCATTTTCAGGATGTGATTCATTTGATCTCTAGATTCAGAACAAACATTCAAGCCTAGGTCATCAGCGTAAAGAAAACTATTAATATTTTCACCTAACAAATTGTATGGCAGATCATTGATGTAGATATTAAACAGTAGTGGCCCTAAAGATGAACCCTGAGGAACACCAACGTCTATAATTTTTCCTAGAGATAGCTCATTTTTGAAACTAACAAATTGTTCTCTATTTTTTAAATACGAATTGATAAGTTTAATTGAATTGTCTTGAAAACCATAAAATTTTAATTTGTGTATTAATATGTTGTGATTAACAGTGTCAAATGCTTTTGACATGTCAAAAGAGCGAAAACAAACCAGTCTTTTGTTCTCTATATTTTTAATCACATCTATGACTAAACTAACAACAGCATCATTTGTGCTCTTCCCAGAGCGAAACCCAAACTGCCTATCAGTAAACATGTTATTACTTTCAAAGTATTCATACACCTGGTTATACATTAGTAATTCAAACAACTTTGATATGGTTGGTACAACTGATATTGGTCTGAAGCTTTCGTAACTATTATTATTTTTCTTGGGAACTGGAACCACTTTAATTTTTTTAAGTACTGTTGGGTATACACCCTTTTCTATCATCCTATTAAATATTGTGGTCAATACTTCACAAATACTAAAAGAAGCGTGTTTAAGAATAATTGAATTCAATCCATAGATATCCAAACATTTACTTGTACATACGCTAAGATAAGTTTAAGTTTTTTAAAATATGTCAATACTGTAGAAGAAACTAAAAAATATCAGTTTGAGTAATACTGCGGGAAATACAGGTTGAGCTCATACCTGATGCTAGGGATGGTGAATTAGGGAAAGCACGACCATAAAACTCCTTTGTCATGTCCGTCAGATTTGTGAAGAATATTCCCCCAAGTCTCTTGACATAAGTGATTGTGGCTCCTTCCCTCTTTACCCTTTTCAGCTGAGCTTTCAGGATGCTTGTACAGAGTTGCAGAAACAAATCACAAGCCTGAAACAAGTTTTCAGAGGTCAGAAATTTGTCTTTTGATTTTTATTTTTCTATGTATCTGTATTGTATGAATATCAAATCATGTGGAAAAATTGTATTTTTTCACATTGAAATATAAATTCTAAATTGAAACATTACTGTTGGCTACCTTAACCCTTTGAGGTCGAATTTAAAAAAAATGTTTTGTGAGTATAGGTTACCATTTGAGCAGTCGGGAAAATGGGGCCCGGCGACCTATACTCGCCATTCGGCCGCAAAAGGTAAAAAAAAATAACTTTTCCAAGCATTTACCTTTTAGAAATTAAGTTTAGAACTCAAATAATATTTGAGGCCTGCACAGAATATCTGTAGAAAACAAAAGAAAAATAACTAAGTACACTAATTAAGTAGGTTTTTTTTGAGTTTGTGTAGCACTGAGTGATGCTAATTTTACCTCTTTAGATTTTATCTTCAAGACAAAAGTTCAATACTAACACTTGATTGGCCTTGGCAATCAATTTGAGCATTTTGAAGACGATTTACACACAGAAAATTCAATACAATTGACATAGGCTAATTACATTAAATTGCTGACCCCATATTAGGGTTGAAACCGCACGCAACCATACCGCACGGACGGTATGGTTATCTTGAGTGTGGGGGGTTCTTCCCGGAACCTCAATTGAGTCAAGGGTGTCGCCACCTCTGGTGGATAGGTTCATCCGGGTGGGTCCCACTTCTATACCTGCCTCCTTTTGGGAAACCCTGATGGCCTGGCAGTGATGTTGGGTCTGACGGGCAAACGAAGTAGATCGGGTGCTGGGTCCGAGCCCGCCAGGGGTATCTGGGGATCTATCGCTCTGGATATCTCTGGTTCCCAGCAATGGGTCAGGCCTCGATCGGGCAGCGGTGTAAATGGGAGGTTGGGGTTCCCCCCCGTCAGCGTGCTGATGGTCCCCTTCCTCCTGGCTATTGATGGCGGGTTCTGCCTGTCAGGGATGAGATAGGTCCCGAGTGTTGCTTGCACTAAATGCGTCGGGGCGCTCTACTATGGACCTCTAGGTTCCGACCTAGTGGAACCCAGGTGGAGTGACGCTTAAACAAGCAGCCGGAATCCCTGGTTAGGATTGAGGGGCAACCCTCTTTCCGAAGGGTCTGCTTCGGCAGCCGGCGAGCCTGATGACCTTAAGTCATCCGCCCATGATGTGCTAAAGGTTGATGCGTAAGCTTCGGCCTACATCATGGGGCCCGGGTATGTCCTGTAGGATAGGTACCGGGTAAGCAGTCAGGGGGCTTCGGCTCTCATGACAACAAATAATAATAATAATAATAATAATGACCCCATATTAGTAGTCCTCCAGAAGTAACCTTTCCTGGAGGTGAAAACGGGCAAGTACCCGCAGCTCACGGGGACACTCAAGGGCAACGTAACTTTCCGCAGTGTGAGGGCAACGGTTTGTAGGTACTTATGCAAACCTATCCCTGTCTCTGAGCACGGACGGTATGGTTATCTTGAGTGTGGGGGGTTCTTCCCGGAACCTCAATTGAGTCAAGGGTGTCGCCACCTCTGGTGGATAGGTTCATCCGGGTGGGTCCCACTTCTATACCTGCCTCCTTTTGGGAAACCCTGATGGCCTGGCAGTGATGTTGGGTCTGACAGGCAAACGAAGTAGATCGGGTGCTGGGTCCGAGCCCGCCAGGGGTATCTGGGGATCTATCGCTCTGGATATCTCTGGTTCCCAGCAATGGGTCAGGCCTCGATCGGGCAGCGGTGTAAATGGGAGGTTGGGGTTCCCCCTGTCAGCGTGCTGATGGTCCCCTTCCTCCTGGCTATTGATGGCGGGTTCTGCCTGTCAGGGATGAGATAGGTCCCGAGTGTTGCTTGCACTAAATGCGTCGGGGCGCTCTACTATGGACCTCTAGGTTCCGACCTAGTGGAACCCAGGTGGAGTGACGCTTAAACAAGCAGCCGGAATCCCTGGTTAGGATTGAGGGGCAACCCTCTTTCCGAAGGGTCTGCTTCGGCAGCCGGCGAGCCTGATGACCTTAAGTCATCCGCCCATGATGTGCTAAAGGTTGATGCGTAAGCTTCGGCCTACATCATGGGGCCCGGGTATGTCCTGAAGGATAGGTACCGGGTAAGTAGTCAGGGGGCTTCGGCTCTCATGACAACAAATGTAAATGTAAATGTAAATGTAAATGTAATGACCCCATATTATCTAAGGAAATAGCCGTGGCTGTGAAACACTAAGGATTCAAAAAAATTCTTACTACTAAATCAGCCAAAAGCCAGAACACATTACCTTTCATGGTCATTTGTATCAGATTTACGATGCATACATTAGTTAGTTACGTATAGAAAATAAATAGTTTGAATGAGTTATAAATGTAACTTTGTAAAACCAAGGGTGAAACCAAAAATTAATACTAGGCAAAAAGAAGAACAAAAGTGCAGGCCTAAGACTTTTTTATTTTAAAATCACATACTTGTGTTGATCTTCCAAGTAGGTTGAGTAGGCGCACAGACCTCCTAGCCGCTCGTAAACCACCCTGGAAACTCTTTTCTGATGTCACAGTCAACTCAGCTGTCAAAGCGTTGATGAGACTAGTGATTCGTTGGTCTAACTTTCGTCTAAAATATTTCACATTCTTATAGAACTTTGATTGCAAAAGCTTGGACTTTTTAAAGTGTAAGTTCAAAAATATCATCAAAACTGTAAATAAGAATTTATTTTCAACATAATTTAATAAGTCCACTGAAACTGTATATTCACTATTCATTTAGTCAAGTGTAAATATTAATTATACGAGACATTTTCTCAGTACCTATCAAAAAGTGCTGCATCAATGAATTTAAAATAAGTTACTTTTATTTACGAATACTTGAAAAGAACCGTTATGGATCATGAAACAAATGACGTGATTTTATTCATGATTATTATTTTTTGGCTTGAAAATAAACATTATTTAGCATTGCTTGAATGGAACTGCCAAAACATTATTATGTTAATGCTGTTGCTGTTAGTACAGGATTTGGGCCAACAACGTCATTTGTTTATGTTTATGATCCATACCGGGTTTTATTCTAGTATTCTTGCTTTTATTCTAAGCCAGTAGCATTTCCACTAGTCTAGCAAAACTCTTAGCAGGAAAATTTATTTAGATCTTGTGGGTGACAAGTAATTAATTGTTTGTACTGTGTTATAAAAATATATAATTGTTGTCATTAACCGGATGTAAAACTTTTTTGATGACTACAGTCCCTTGAAACAATATGTAACAGCACAGAAAACATATTACTATAACCCAGAATGCCAACCGCGTGGTAAAAAGCATTAAGCGGTTTGAGAGAGCTTTGCCTGTCAATCCGTAGGCAGCGCCACCAGCGTTGCCATGCAATAGCATTTCTGTGGTGGTGTTTTCTGTGGTAACAGCTGTACAATACAGTAGACTATAATGAGTGGCTGAGTGATTATATACGATCAACATTGTGGATAATGGAAACCTAACTTTAATAATCACTTTTCAATAGGGATGGACGAGATTGGATTTTTAGTTCGAGACGAGACGAGACGAGATTTTTTATTTCTCATAAAATTTCGAGACGAGATCGAGACGGGATTTCCCTTCTCATACACAACGGGAAATGCACGTTCAAAATTTTTACCTGATTTTGTAACATTGTTAGATGACTGTTTAAATACAAAAATAATGATAATAGGCAAGAATATTTACAATCTTTTATTAAAAAACATCAGCATAACATTTTTTTATTAATCACGCCTAACTTATTAAAAATGCCTACGATTAGGAAACATAGTGATATCAGTTAGGATAGAGTTCAACTTATCCTAAAATAAAATAAATCATAAAATAAAAGCAATATTAATTTTTATAAAATTGTTACTTGTTTTGACTTTTTATAGTAATAAAACATTCCTCACACTGCTTACACTTAACAAAACTTCTCAAATGTTATTAAAGTAATATTATTAAAATAATTAAAGTAATATTGACATTTAAAGAATTAATTAAATAAGAACGCCTTCGCAAAGGAAACGCAACTACAACACGCTCCTGTATTGCGGGTATTGCATTGACTTTCTGCAGGCGTTTTTAATTATTTTTTTTATTTATTTTTTTTAAATTCTCGTCTCGATAAAAATCTCGGCCAAAAAGAAATCTCGTCTCGTGTAACGAGATTTAAAATTTCCCGAAAATTTCCCGAAATTTCGAGACTTGACCATCCCTACTTTTCAATGAAATGGCGACCATACAAAGTAGGTATTTTAAGCCAAGTATGAATGGAGATGAGTGGCGCGATCTTGTAGTCTTGTTAGTGACTAAGGCCGACATATTCCTTAGACACAGCTGTTAATTAATAGCCCATACAACTAATGACAACTAAGGGACCTACAGTTTATAGTGGAATCCAAAACACATTTATGCTTTGGTATTAACGAATTGGTCTAATTATCAGAATAGTACTGCGGATAGTCGTAGTACTCACAAGTGCGGACGTTAATCCACACCAGGGAGTATCGTATCCACAGTGCATGCCTATAAATATCCACAATTTGTGACCTCCTAGTAGCTGGATTACAGGATGTCGCCACCGTCCCTGTATAAAATTCCTAATATTCCAAAAAAATAACCTAAAATTCCCAGGAAATAGCTAACATTGGCTTGGAATGTATAGTTAAGATTCAATACAGGTTTTAGTAATAATAACACATTTCAAATTCAGTACCTATGTGTAAATATTACTGGATAAGGTTAAAAACCATCAATGTGACATTAAGCGCATGTGTCTAAGGAGAACAAGAAAGAATTGGAGGACCCTTAGAGAGTTTGATGTTGGGGCTGGAGTAACGCCATTTCATTAATTATTTAAAGAGAATTGTTTATTTTTTATGTAAACTGATTGATTTATATTAAATTTCTGTTAATATTTCAAATTCAGTATCCTCATACATCCTTTTAATATTAACTATGTTTCACACACTTGTATTTAGAAAATTAATAATATAAGCTCTTCCACCTATATGCATGCAGTGCCCAATTTGCGGAGGAACAGAGTTTCTGTACCTCTCTTCGGGAAGATAAAAATATTGGCATAAATAGATACAAATCACATTCAATAGGTAACAGTTCCGGAACCTCATTTTTTTAAATCCAGCACTCCCTACATGTATAATATAGGCCTAGTAAAAACAAAAATTGGACCACACAAAATGTAACTTAACATAACTAGCTGTTACCTCGTTTGACTCCATATAAGTATTAATAAAACTATTGATTGGTTGAGTTAAGCTGAAATAAACAAATCAGAATACAGTAATACAAAAAAATAATCACACCTGATTTTAATAAGGAGCTAAAGTATTTTCAACATTAGGTATATGGAAAGTTCCCTTTAGAAAGGAATTACGACCTTAAAGGTCAATTTATGAAATAATGAATAGTTATACGCAAGGTTTCTCGTCATGATGAACACTTTAAATATATGGTTTATGGGGGTGTGACTTTTAGTTTTCTCAAAAGTTCAAGGGTACTTTGGGATTTATATATGGATATGGTTGTAATGGGTGACTCGCATTGGTAGTTGGAGAAGTAAACAGCAGCTCGCAAGATGATGGGTCTCCTCACACTAAACATCTTGCTCGTCACTGTGTAGCTTACATTTAACTTGGATCAAAATTTTGTTTGCAATCGTTGTTAATCCGCAGCGAAGTTAATCCACTCATAGATAATCGTGAGTCAACTGTTACTTAAACACTGGTATTGTATGAACAGTATGTCTACTAAGAATGGTGGGAGTAATTGTTAAGGAAAAACCAACCTTATTTCTAAATTAGTAGGCACATTGGGAGCTTTCTCAAGGCACTCTTTAGTTTTCTCGATCAAAGCGTGAGCTTCCTCAAAGTGTCTTTGGGCTATCAGCACATCTAGGTCTTCAGAAACTTCGCTCAACCATTCATGCTCATCTGAATTGTCTTCATCAGGATCACCAAAAGCTGTAAAAAAAACTGCAATATTATTATACAGTAGGAAAAGGTAGGCTATATGAAGAATGATGAAAACCAGCTGGTCCTGAAAAGCTCTCTGAATTGTTTGTCTAAAGTATATTGGTTGTACACTGGGTTCTAACAAATAAACTTATCAGCAAAAACGTTGGCTTGCTAGTGTCTGCTAGCTTCTATTGCACCTCATTTCAATATATAGCTCAAATATAGGAATTAAAAAAAGTGGTATGTTTTAAATTTCCGTATATGAACCAATGTCATCACGTGCATCCCCCTCAGTTTGGCCCACCTCAAATACTTTATAAATCTGGGGCTGATCTAGTGGTTAGAGCGCGGGACTTCGATTCCAGAGGTACCGGGTTCATATCCTGCCAAATCACCAATGGATTTTATCCATGTGATAATGCCGCAACTCCTAGCTAGGTCTAGCCTGAAGTAATGTGAAAAACTATTCCGGGCTTGTGCCTAGCGTCCTAGGACAAAAAAAAAACTTTATCAATCTTGGTGCAGTACCACTACCACAGCATAATATGGATTGAAAACGTGTCTAGTTAAAAGCTGGGTAAAAAAAAACAAAAAAAAAACAACAAAGATTTTCACTGAGATATAAATAGAGTACCTTTTTTGTTGTTATGATAGGCACTACATTTACAACATCATGACATTGACATAGATAAATTTAACTTGCTGAAGAGAAGCTTAACTGTTATTGGCTCGGTCGTTAATCATCAGTTATGAGTAATGCTAGTGTCTCTGTCTCAATGTCCTTAAACGGCACTAGGTCCAAATATGAAAGGCAAAGAACTGAATGACTCTTGAAGTAACTAGTTATGCAGTTCATTACCAGGATCGCTTGCATTTCGTTCGTAATTAACATCTTTGGGGTAATGTGAACCTTGCATAAAAATATTTTTGGATTCGATAATGTATCCAGACGGTTGGGTCATCAGATGCAGAGTTTTTTTGGGACTTATTAGTGGGGAACTTAACTCAAATAAATATTTTATCAATATTATCTTAACAGGCTCAAACTTACGGTTGGAAGCTGAGTCTACTGAATCAACATGAACCAAGGAGTGTTGGTCAGATATTGAAACTGCTTCTCGTTTTGGATGTTCTTGGTTTGCTTTTGCTTTCTTGGCCTTCTCGAACTGATCCAACCATTCTTTCTAAAAACAAATAAAAACAAACTTGAGGAAAAATGCAACTTTGCTAATTTCATAATGTCTTATTGACTATCATACTCAGAACAGAAGATTATACACTATTGTACTTTTCAATATACAATTTGTGTCTATGGAATAAAGATGATTTGATTTGATTTGATTTGATTTATACTTGTTGTAAATGGACTTAAATTATGTAGAATGATAAAGAGAAAGGTGTTTTAGGTACAAATTTTACTCAATACAAAACCACAACATAGCTTTCCACACAACACATCTGGTATCCATGACAACTAACTTATACATAGAACACATGTGATACCAAAATGAACTATTCACACAAATCATATTTCAACAATACTGTATATGTGTGGCATTCCCATCCCAGTCTCAAGAACAAGTATTAATAATTTAGGTTTATTATGGTTGCTCGTTCTTAAAGTATGTGTGAAATGTAGCCCAATGTACATTTCTTCAAATGTTTGGTGACATCAGGAGCAAAGTTTATATATTTATTTAAACAATTTCTTGATAAAACTACACTAAGTATATTCATTTAGTTAGCAGCAGGAATTAATATTGGAACCAAAATAAATGTGCTAGCGTTTGCTGAGGATGTGGCACTTCTTGCAGAAAACAGAAAGGATCTAGAGAGCTTAACAAAAGTTTTAATAAAAGAAGCCAACCATGTTGGGCTAACAATAAACCATCAAAAAACTAAGAATATGAAAGTGGCTAGAACCGAAGGAGTAGTCAGGAAAGAGAATTTTAAAATGATCTCCTTCTTTAAATGATCTCCAATCTTTAAAGTGGATGATTTGGAGTTTGAGCATGTGGATGAGTTTGTATACCTCGGCATAACAATAAACCATGATAACAAAAGAGGAAAAAGAAATTCAAAATAGAGTAATTGTAGCCTCAGCAACCTACTAGTCCCTAGTCAATATGCTTAAGTCAAAAACTCTGTCCAAAAATACCAAAATTAAAATCTACCACTCGATCATTCTTCCAGTACTACAATATGGATTAGAAACATGGGCACTAACAAAAGAATGGGAAAAGAAACTTATTATTTTTGAAAACAAGATTCTAAGAAAAAAATATGGACCAATTCAAGATGAAGAAGGCTGGAGAATTAGGAAGAATAAAGAATTGAGAGATGTGTATCACCATCCAGATGTAGTAGCAAGGATAAAAAGCAGGAGATTGAGATGGGCTGGACATGTGTGGAGGAGAGAGAACTGATCATTAATAAAAGCTGTGGACCAGAACAAACCAGAAGGCAGAAGACCACTCGGCAGGCCGAGACTGCGATGAGTCAGGTGCTGCAGGATGTGGCTGTGTTGGGCACTACTCCTGAGGCAGCGGAGAATAGAGAAGAGTGGAGAAGCATCGTTGGCGAGGCCAAAAACCTTCTGAGGTTTCAATGGCTAAGGAGGTAAGTAAGGTAAGTATCTATACTTATTTAATACGCAAGCAGGATTTTTGTGACAATTACTCCTCCGAAACTACTGAACCGATTGACATGTTTTTGGTGTCATTGGAAAGAGCGTAACGTGAAGTTTTGCAGGAAACTTTCTTTTTGGGGAAATAATCAGAGTGAGGCCTGGGGGCCCTTTAAAGTTTCGTATTTCTCCATAAGATTAACATGGGAAACAAATATTGTTATGAAACTACAGCTGTTGTCAGAAATGCTGTTCTGCTATTTAATTTAATTTGTTTGCAAGGAAAATTGTTTCTTGGTACCATGTGGTCAATGAATTATACTTTAAATGCATATATTTTAAATGCTATACACTATATAAAATGATAGTACTTTAATTAAGAGATCTTAATTTAAATAATCAATAAGCAGGATTGAGCTTTTGCCTATATGTTTCCTGGTAAGTGTGTTGTAACTGTTTCTCATAGTATATTATAGTATCTTAAAGTAAAACCGAATTATACTTTTAAAACTGCATTCTCACCCCGTAGCGAAGCACGGGCAGAGCAACTAGTATTCATTTAAATTCAGTCAGCGAATGATTTAAGTGTGGGCATCGGAACCTGTGCCCAGACTGGAGACGTTACACCTTCACTTATGTTCCATGGACCTTTTTTTTTAAGGATCCCGTAAAATACAGGGTGTTTGCTAAAGAATGCCAGGATTTTAAATGGTAATTGCTTGAGTACTATTCAAGGTAAATAAATGTGTTAACGTCAAATTGAAGCTAAAATAATAAGTTTTGTTTCCCGTGTAGCAAGGGAGGAAACTTCCAAACTTTGACCTTGGCATGCGCAAATCAGGTGCGGGGTGATAGGCCACCACTCACACGCCTGGCGCCAGTCGTCAGTGCGATGCTTACGGCACAACAGAAGGCACATAGTGTAATCTGTGGTTCACAGAGTTTATATCGATTGCTTAATTAGTCTAAATTTTAATCTACTTTATAACAAAATTTGACGCGGCTTTAATGAGTTTCGTGGCACCGTAGTGTTTTGAAAAGCATTCACCTGGCCGGCTATAAATAAGCGAGGACATAGTTGAAGAAATCTGACAATTCTGCATCAGAAGCTCGAAAATGCGATTGCCCGACGAAGTCTTCAGTTGAACATAATTAAATCGACACTTCATGATGTTATCTGTAAAAGATAGAGTCTTTGTGCCTAAAAAATTCAGTTAAGCATCAGATAAACCCACCGATCGCCCTAAGCGTACAGACTTGGCCAGTTTTACGTTCAAATAAGATTGATGAAAATCTGAATTTTATCAAATTATTTCAAATTGTATCAAAGTATGTAAATCTTTGTTCATTTCCCTTCAATTTGACGTTAAAATCATTTGATTATATTGAACTGTCCCCGAGCAATGGTTGTTTAAAATCCCAGTGTTTTTATACAAACAATCTGTAGGCCTACTTTTGCAAATTTTTTTTTTCCTAGGACGCTAGGCACAAGCCAGGGATTGTTTTCACATTACTTCAGGCTAGACCTAGGGGTTGCGGCATTATCACTTAGATAAAATCCATTGGTGACTTGGTGGGGATCGAACCCAGGACCACAGGGACTGGAGTCCCGCGTTCTAACCCCTACGCCAGTTCGCTCCCCCTACTTTTACAAATAAGGTAGCCAAAACCACCATATTTCATTTCCTAAATCATTAACAATCCTCTAACGTACAAGCTAATAACCTTCCTTGAGGGCTTCAGCTTAGATGAAGATTATATCCTACCTTGGCATTGAGGCTGGAGCATTGGAAAACCCTGGAGTCGGGGAAGGCCAGCAGTTTGAAGGCGTACCTCACGTTGCCGAGGTCTCGCACATTCACCACCGCCAGGCTATCCAGCTCGTACTGCGCCTGGAACTTGTATTTTGCTGGGCCTCGCCTGGAAAACAAATTCTGAGTTTCAATCTAAAACCATTCAGAAAGTCTTTCACAAACTTTGACCTAAATTACAAGAAAAATGTGTCACAGAAACTTGATTGGGTCATTTGGAAAATATTAGCTTTCGCAATGACTTAGATTGTTGCTTTATACCCTATACCCTTTCTTATAAGTATTTTTCACCATGTATCTGGCTATAATAATGAATCTATGCTATAGTTTAATATATTTTAGCTTAACTTCTTCATTTAAAGTTATTATTAAATAACCTTACTTTGGAGAGAAATTCATATGCTAACTTTAGGGGGAAATTCAGAAGCTAACTTGGTGATTAAAACTAATGAATAAAAAACTCAAAAGACTGTATATTCCTTGACTAGTAGGAATGCTTATCTAGATGAATTTGTTAAATGCAAAAAATTACTAGGTGTGCAAACCGATTGTAAATTAATTTGGAACAATCATATAGATTTAGTCTGTAGTTAATAAATATTCAAAAGACATATATAACACCAACCGTAAAGCAGCAGTCTACCTGTTAGATATCCAGGTGGCGATGAGCAGTATGTCGGTGAGAAGGTAGGCATGTACTCTATGCAATGGAACACTCTCCACAGGATCTAACTCTAACAGATCTCCTTCATGACACAGTCCACGGTCCTTGTAGTCTAACAGGCTCTGTAATAGAACATCCTTCTAAACAACAGCATTGATATTCAAACATTTGCAAAGCAACATCACCAACAACAAAACGTGAGCGAAAATATTTGTCTACAGAGACGTACATGTTAGCGCAACTTTTGGGGTGGCTATCACTGAGTGAAGGCTGTGTGAGACAGTGGTGAAATTATTTTAAAAATTACCGAACCAACTTTTGCATTGAGGACAGCGGTAGTAGGTTTATCTAGACTAATAGACTGAGGTACTGTTGGAAAAATCTATGACAAAATCAGCAACAATTGCCGTTCCACAATCAAGGAACTCGCAGAATATTTTCCCTAAATTTAAAGGCATTTGGTTAGTGAAATTGGTTTGGAAAAACTTGATGAACAAAAATGTTGTGCTTCAGAGGTTTTTAAGATTTTAACGGATGATTAAAAAACAGCCTTGCTGCAGCACTGACATTGCAGGAGTTTTAAACAATTTGATGCCAACACATCACTGTCTAACTTGGCCTTCACTCATCACTGCTTTGCCATAAACGTCACAAAGCTGGCAATAAATTTCAATCGGCTAGTGGTTTTTCAATAACAAAATTCTGATCCCAGAGTGCATCTGGCAAGATAGTGCAATTACATCACCCATTTTAAAACTCCACTGCAGAAAATATGTACGAGTAATATGATGCTCAGGCTACTTATGCTGGATGCGTACAGAGTGTAGAAACGCTTTGATACTACAATGGCTGATGCAAAACATCTGTTACTTTCTGGATGGCCTTTGTGCTAAACCTGATCCACAATATTTAAAAATAATGAAAACTCACAGCACATCCTTCGACTTTCTCCGCAATCGCTGTTAGCAGGTTGACTCTCCGGTCTTCTGTTTTCACTTCCTGCTGTGGGCTCTCCAACGGAGCGGCCGGTGCGACAGAGGAGCTGGCCAGGGTTGACAACAAAGTCCGCTGCTCAGTCAACATATGTGACAGCTGGTACATCTCACTTTCCAGGTCTACCAGGTTTGTCAAGGTTACAATGAGCCATCATTTCAAGGCAAATGTAAAATTTAATTTCAAAATTTATAGTACCGGTAAGCGAATTTGTAGAACTGAATGTGTTTCCAAATTGTATTTATCACGATTGGTTCATTTTAGAAAAATAGCTACAATATTTATTTATTTATATGTTGATGTTCTCTAAAGTTATAGAGAACGGTTACGGTAATTAAAACTAACTAATTGGGATGAAGCCCCGTTTGGGTTAGTGAAACTTTGGATAAGGCACTTTTATCTGCTAATGACATACATTACTTTTATGAGGCAAAGGTAAGAGTTTACATAATATCCTAGTACACTGCAATTTAAACATCACTGTGTGTAGGTGACAATGATCGGAGGTAAAATCAATATGGTGGACGAGTAGTAGCAGAAGAGCAGTGATCTTGAACTTGGATACTACTTTTTTCTCTACTTTTCGAAGTCCAGAAATATTTTACTATTTTTTCTGCTTCTTTTTGGGTTAGGTTGATTTTAGGATTAGCATGGTTTCAACTATTGGGACTCCAAGGTGTAAAATATTTAAATAGTACGGTACAGCTTCTTTTCTAATGAATAAATCTTAAAATAACATTACAATAGATGTGGCAATGTCAAAGGATACGTGCAATCTCTTTTGCAGTTTCGATAAACTGCATATAATTGTGGTACACATTCTTCTTTAAAGCCGCACTGCTGTCCTCGGCTAGTGTTTGGATCTTTGATCGAAATTGTTGAAGTTCTTGTCCCCCCACACAGACTTGAGATATTTCCTTCACATCTAGAAAAAAAAACATACTCACCAATTTAATGTTCCTACACAAATGCAGTTAAACTAAAATAAATATAACTATGGTCAGCATCGAGTACCCGGATATAGCAGGGTTGCCACTCGTCTCGATTCTGTCGGGACAGTCTTGCCTTGGTCCCATAAGCCCATGTTTATGTATGTGTTAATCTAGGGGGGAGGGGGGCCCATCCTGATTTTCCCTAACCAAAGGTGGCAACTCTGACCCATAGTTTTAGCCTACTTAGTTTCCAATAAACATTGTCCCTGATTATAAATGAGAAAAACATTGTTAGAAACAGTTCTGTATTAAGTAGACCCAACTATATGAGCATGTTCTAAAATTTTTAGAACATGCTCATATTGTTAATAAAAAAAACTGTGGGAAGTCAAAAAAAAGCCTATAATTATCAGAAATGCATGAGAAGGCTTCATAAAAAAAAAAACATATTTCTGTGACATTGGAAACAGATTGAAAACTTACATTTATCTGGATTGAAACCAACTGACTCAAATTTCTTAACGTTTACTTCTGCCATTATACTGCAAGATGGAGGTCAACAGATGCTCTATGAATAGTCCAACCTAAAATCATAAAATGATTGGATTATGTTAAACATTTCAATAAACATTATTTAAGATTCAATAAAAGATTGAACATTATAAAAGATTCAATAAAAATCATCAGGCCTACAATAAACATGACAAATACTAAACCGACAGGGTTCGTACTTTACACAAATATAGATTACGCACCCACTTAACACATAGGCCTATTTACGTCCTTAAACTGCCCTCGGGCTCCGTCCCAGTGGCTCTGGAGTTTCCCATGTTAACCTTATGAGTTTTCATATTTAAAAGGAATTAAAGAATTTCGTCAGCTGTTTCAACTACACGTGTTGGTTCTATTCTATTCAATAGCATTAAAAACTTTAAGGTTTGCCAAAAGGGTGCAGCACTAAGGTATTATTTTGTTCGCATTTATGACAACAGCTAATTTTAACCAAGCAGCAACAAAAATCTGTGTTACCCTACACTAACTTATGAGAACTTTACTTTTTCTATTGTTTAGGTGCAGTGGTGGTAGAACGTTAACTTAATTAATTAAGGCTATGGTAGATGTGCTATAAAATGGCATAGGCCTACCGAAAGTTAAGAACGATACCATGTTAACTTAAATGGAGAATAAATATGTCTTGTTTATGGAAATATTTTAGTAAAAATCCAATCAGACAAATAACAATTCGCGGGTAGACTTCCGTATCTGTTGACACAACAACCGAGTTAAAATATTGATCAGTATATTGATTATTCGCTATATCGTTTTAGTTAGGTTAGTACCTAGTGTAACCTAACTAGGCTAACTTAACCAAACGATATATCGAATGAAACAATCAAATTATCAATATTTTCATTCGGTTGTTTGTGCCAACAGATACGGAAGTCTACCTAAATTTGATATTTCTGTAGGTTTACTGCGGTGGGGGGTATTGTGTTTTATATCTTACAACAGTAAGTTAAGTTGATTTTATATTATGGAACCAGAAGACCTAAATTAATGTTTCGACTAAAACCCCTGACACCAATCCTTAAATATTTATGCTGATTCAAATGTAGCTAAAAGAATTAATTCTAAATAATATCAGATCATAATAATAACTTAACCAATGTAATGCTGAAGTAAAGCTAACCAAAAAATAACTAACTTACTGAATTGCTAAAAACCAAGATTTCTAATCCAGATAATGGGGATTGTAGTACCTACCTGAAAATAATATTTAAAAACACGTAGGCCTAGACATTTTCAAAAGAAATTTAAAAAGTAACATTACAAGTTGGCAATAGAAGTCAATCAAATAAATAGTTAAAACAACAGTATGATTGGTACTTGGTAGGCTGGTAGGCCTTTGACAAAGAATAATCACAACGAAATGAAATGACAATGACAGTGAAGTGAGTGAATCGAATGAAATAATAACCAAGTGTCAAAAATCAGTACTACATGGTACTACCAAACTTGAGACTTGAACTTGAACACTATAAACTTCCCAGAAATAAGTTGAAATACATTGTTTATATAACTACTATTTGATCAAGAATTAGGATTGTCCTAGGATACAACAAGGAACAAGAACAAGAATACTGGCAATGGGCAATACTCATAGATATATAATAACTTACTTATATATCTATCTATGGCAATACTGCGTGGTGATAGCTCCAGTTATAATTTTAGCTCAGTGGGTGATACTGATAAGTCTCAAAGCATAGACAATATCTGTGCTCAAAGTCTCAGCCTCAGCTCCAGCTGGCAACCAACCCTACCACCAATGCCAGAAAAAAATAGGAAGAAACATAACCATAACATAACGACGATAACCTCTTTCTTTTCTCTACCCCTGCTTTGCTTTGGCTTTCTGCTAGTGTTTCTGCTTCTTCAACACTTTAACAAATCAAGTAGTTTATTAATTTAAACCGGTAGGATTCAATTGCCACTAATAAAAATGAAACGACGTGTTATGAATACAAATCATAACATAAAGGGTGAAATTTTACCTGAAGGTAAGCACTTATTGTTTTCTATTACATAACCTGAATTTTCAGTAGATTTTCCAAATTTTTATAAAAAGAATCGTAGAAACTAGAATTCTCAAGTTTCATAATGTGTATAAGTTAGTGAATTAATTAATATTTCGATTTAAGTATAGGGGTACAGTTTCTTAACTGGGCTACGCTAATATCGATTGAAACTATCGTTTCAATTAGTAAACCTTCATGCGATTTTTTCACCATCAGCAAGTTTGGTTGGTTAGGTTAGGTTATGATAGTTTAATTTTATAATAGATATATTTTAAAATAAACTTATCGATTATTAATCAATATTTTCAATTCGATAGTTAACTCAATCGGTATTAGCGTAGCCCAGTTATGAAACTACCCAAGTATAGTACGTCACATCTATGCAGCTTTACCATCACTTAAATTTTGAATTTTTTTACCTTAGCCTTCCTAGCTTAGGCCTAAGTTAACTTAGTTCATTGGTAAAGGTAGGCCTAATTGCATCAAGTAGGCCCACGCCTACTATTAAGTTAGCTGTTGATTGACGTTGAAACTGTGAGCACATTTAACTTAGTTTTTACATGAACTTAACTTAAGTTAGGCCTATGTCTAAAACTATTGACTAAACTTATGGGAAATTGTTTTTAGGTACAGTTCCGCAGAGATCCTGTGATATATTTAACTTATCGGACGAATAATGATAAATATCAACATTTATCCAACTTGATACCGACTAGCCTAAACAACATTTTTATTTTTTCCCAATTAATGTAAATACCGTAGGCCTATCAATTGTTAACATTAAATTTGATTACATTTCTTTTTTATTGATATTTTATAAATAAAACTACTTAGCCTATTACCCTAATAAAAACTTATCCAACCAAAAACAAAACATATATTTTATGAAAATTAACAAAACAAATTACAACAACAACAGTATCTAATTGATGTTAAAGAAACAAAGAAATATAGGCTAGTCTAAAAAAAACCTACAAACAAGGCTATATTAAGTCAATTTAATATCTATCGATACTGTTGGATATGGTAATCACATAGAAATCGAAAATTCATGGTTTATTCCATCTTGGGTAGGCCTATATTCTATTTATAAACAAATGAAAAAACAAATGATAAAATAAAGAAAAAGCCCCGTTAATGTTTTGTTATTGTTTTTTTAATATATTTTATAAGAAAATGTAAGTAATTTGATGCGATAACTTATTAATGAGTGAAAATTTAAAAACGTACGTTTTCAGGAAAAGCACTTTGCAAATTTTTCTCCCCTTTTTTCAAAACTTTTATTAATTTTTTTATTTCATTAACATTTGAAGTTTCATAAAATGTCCATGGTAACGCAATATCTTTGGTAGTTATTTTTTAAAAGAGCGTCTTTAGTGGAAAAACACAAAATCCTGTCACGACCATAACGGACGTTTAAATGAATATTAAAAATGGTTAATATTATTTTTATAACTATGTTTTGCTATAAACTAATTTACTTTTATGACCATTATACAATAAAAAGGTCACTAAGCTTTTGGTATATTTGGTCTTTCCAGAAAAAAATAAAAAAACTCAAAAAATTGAAAAAAAGCCAATAAAATCTTTTTAAGTTTGTATAACTACGAAAAAACTTACCTGAGACCCAAAAAATCGTTATGTTTGTATAGAGGTGTGCTTTTTTTATGTATAAAACATTGAAATATGACGATATTTTAATTTTTGAAATTGTTATGATAGAAATCATAAACGTGATGGTCAGGGACAAGCGGTACGGTCGTGAATTGTCTGGAATAATTTAAATCTTTCTAAGCAATCCTTCAATTGTACTCTTAGTTATAATAAAAATATGTGTTTCAAATTAACTAAACTGTTCAATTTACAATTATATTAAATTTATTGTCACGACCAAACACACTATAATCCATAAGGCTGGATTGGTCATGAAAAAACCCGCGATGGTCGTGAAACTTTGGTCGTGAAATTACGTGTTATTTGGCCCTGTTCTGGCGGTAGCCCTGCACCTCATGTTCGAGGATACAAAGTGGACTTCTAGGTTAATCTAGCAATTGAAATATCTTATAAACAAAAATTAACACCATGTCTACTTCATCGAATGACTACGTACGGTCATGGACACACCAAAATTACAAAAAACACAATCTTTCCTTTATTAATCTTGTAATTCCTCCTTTCAACTCGAAACGACCGGCACTACAATCCTGACGTACACCCTGAACTAGTCTCTCAAACCAACTGACTCCATCGACGCCAGGCTTGCCACTGTCGTGCTCCAAAGTTGAAAATTTTTCCCAAATGGTCGTGACGCCAAATCGAGGGACAGACTTATTTTGTCATGGTAGTCAGTTTGCAATGACAATAAAATTATAATATGCTCCTTTTTTGTAAGTTTAATAACCATTGATGACACAAAAATATGGCTTTATATATTTCGGCATGAATAATTAGTCTAAAAACAGCGTGAAAGTTGGAAAATGTACCCTAGGGACACGTCATGGTCGTGAATTTTGAGACTTTAAAAATACGAAAAAAATACCTAGAACCTATTTAAAACCAAATAAATGTGTGTAACATGTTGCCCCCGTCCCAAAAAATATTAAAACACATAATAATAAACTACAAATCCAGTATCTACGAAGTAAAAGGCCAGGGACATGAAAACGTACGTTTTTAAATTTTCACTCTAATATCAAATTGTATAAATATCGATATTTATTGTTATTCATCTGATAACATATCACAGGTTCTATGTAAAACTGTACCCAATTGTTTGTGATAAGCTACAGGCTACAGAGTTTTTTGACAGATTCACCTACCAATAGACCTACTTAAATACTGTCGCCGCTGAAATTTAAGTTATTACCGCACAAATTAATTTTTTGTTGGCAGCATTTAGGATAAGCATTTCTAAATACCCGACCCACTGGGTATTTAGGACCCAGACCACATAAGTTAACTATAGGTCGACCGCTTAGAAAGTGTGCTGCGTGCTAATGTTTATTACCTTATTACCGGTTCTTCATCTTTTACCCCATGGGGGATTGATGGCGTAATTAAAACATGAAAACCCTTGACTAAATTGTATACATATTTACAAGTTTCAGAAAATATATTTTTAACACTGAGGCTGTGGACAGGCGTACTTCAGCCAAGGCCTGATATAGGATCATCAAAATATTCCTTCAAGGGATACTCGATGCTAACCAATACTAGAGGAGGTCGCTTTCTAAGCGTCTGACCTATAGTTAAACAGTAGGCCTATAGGCTGAAGCCGACAAAAGCATCAAACAAAACAATTAAAATAAGTTAGGCCTAATCATTATTAACATCAATGTTTTAATGATGGTGTACGTTGATGGTAGATGCTAATTTTACCATAGAAGGTGGACATTGATTGTTGAACACCCATTGATGTCCATTCCTACTAAAGCTTTGTCTACTCAGTTTTCAATGATATTAAAAAAAAAAAAACATATTTTCTTCTTTTGCAGTTGTTCTAGTGGAGAGGAGTGAACAACCATTAGGACAAGCTTTAGTCAACAGCTACGCTGTTCATAAAAGTTCATCCATAGACCTCCTAGAACTAGCCAAAGAAATTCAAAAAGTATGTTAGTATGTCTACCTGTAATGCCATGCTGTAGCTCCATTCAATTCAGATTCAACCATTAATTCTTTAGCGATTAACTTACTTTTTAATCATCGACACTATAGCAGTAAAATTATATGTTTACAGAGATGTGATTGTCAGCATCATTATAGATAGGCCCATATATTTTTTTCAAAATGTTTTACTCTACTAGATTTTAGTGGGTACTTTTTGATCAAATAACATTGTCATTATTTGTGTTGATTCCAAAATCTTAACATTGTGAATTACTTGTATGAAGTACACTGTATAACTCTTCAGGATATCCCACCTAGTGTCCGCCGTTTACTTGTTTCCTGTAGGTGTGGTAACTCCAAGCGTGATCGGTTAACCGAGAGGCCGATCGTTGATGTTGCCGTAATCGCGGCAGACGATCACTACTGTCGCCGATAACGGGTGTTGCCGCTGTCGCGAAAGACGATTACCGATTTGTGGAGACTGAAAGATACGTTCATGATTGTTGTTGTGGTCGCAGGAGACGATTACTGATAACGAGGAGACTGCAAGTTACGCTCACAGCTGTTGCTGTGGTCTCGGGAGACAATTGAAGTCGTAGAGACTGCAAGATATGGTCACGGGTGTTTTCGCGGTCACAGGTGACGATGACACATGTCTCAGAGACTGCAGGTTATGTTCCTCCCAATATCCCACCTTTTTGTCGTTCCGACTTTTCCTTGGTCCTGTCATGTTCAGATATGAGGGGTTCTACTATATAATAATGGCTGGCAATTGAGAACCTTTTTTGTAGGAAACTATTATTTTGTTACCATAGAACATAAATCTGTTGTTGGGAAGTACTAACTAATAATTAAGTAATACTGAAGTATAGACAATTCATCAACCTCAACTATATTGAGGATCAATTGTTCTCTGGCTCAACTCTAAACTCTCCTTTTGCTTATTAAAATGCTTGATAAGATGGAATTTTCAACTTATGTTAAACTTAGCACCTTAAAGTTATTGAATTTGATTAAATAGTCATAGCCTATAGACAGTTTAATTTTACCACCATTGTTCTCCATTAGTTTGTTTTGTATGGGACCCATTTTTTGTAGGCCTCTCATATTTTTATAATTTTCAGGCGGACAGCTTTGTGCAAGCAACAACATGCAACAAGTTGAAAGTGATTGCAGAACAGATGAAATTTTTGAAGCAGCAAGCAGAATCTGTCTTGTTGGAAGCTAAACGAGACGACCATCTACACCATGTTGCTTGTAATTTCCAAAAAGTGCCTGGAAAAGTGTATCACCTTTACAAGAGAGATTCTGGGCAGCAGTTTTTTTCAATTATTTCTCCTGAGGTTAGTTGATTATTTAAAACTGTTCTTAAGGTATTTCAAGCGGATTATCAATTACAATCTTTTTGTTACAGGTGTGTTACAGAGAAACCCCTTACTGTATTAATTGTACTAAAAATGCCAATATATGTGAAATTTGACATTTAAGGTTAGACTAGCTAATTGGACAGTTCTTATTCTTCAGTTTGCGTTTGCACAATTTAAGTGACGTGTTGGTGTTCCTCGCCTGTTTTTTTCCTAAAACTAGCAGTATAATCTTTTAAACAACATAAACTTTTAATAATGACATACTCTAAAAAAAGAAGTGGTTTATTTTACATGCCTAATCTTTTATTTACCCTACAGAAAATGATTCATTGAGTTTTTCATAGATTTATAGGAAATGTTTTAGTGTCGGTTTCACAATCAATGTTTCTTATATAAAACAACACTTAGGCCTAAGTAGCCTACCCATTTTAGTAATTACGTATTTAAGTAGAACCACAATTAATAATATCCAGTCACTTTGAAACCTAAGCTTGAGTATAGCTCAAGACATTAGTTTGTTGTATCTCACCTGCAAGAGCTAGTGTGCTTAAAATAGCGGTTCTTGACGCGTTCAGCCAACAGTGGCATGGTAGCTAAGTTGGCTAAGGCGTTACACTGACGATGACGATGATTCTACATGAGCAGGTTTGGATCCTGTACATGTGCAATCCATACTAAGCTCACAATAATGTGTTTGGATCAGCTGACGGGAGAGGTCCACCTTGAATAAGCGATGTGTGGCTTGGGTGGAAGTTGACAGCGTTATTGAGTTTAATAGAGATTGCACACAACACCAGTTTTGCTTTTACATTAGAGGAGGAGGACACAGCTTTTCTAATGCTATAATTTTAGTTAAAAATTAACGTACCGTATTGTGTTAGAAGAAATATACTATTAATGAAAAAAGACATGAACCTAAAAAAGATTTTAACAGAAAAATATACAAAAATGGGCTTAGGACTTAAAGATTTATACCTGACTGAAGCCTATTTTAATGTTTTAGGAATGGGGATCTTCACTACCTCATGAGCACCAAGGTTCTTATCGCCTGGAACACGACATGTCATGGACCCCTGCGGAGAAACTTCACTCGACAGAAACCAGAGACAATATGTTTCTATTGAAACAGGTGCTGCATTTAGAAAACAAAGTGTCCAAAGATATTCAGTCCGAACAAATGATGATAGACTTTGAATGAATGAGGTCATCTTTTGTACAGTATGACCTAAGAGAATTTATTTCACATTACAGTTTTATCGTTAATACTTTTTCCTTTAGAACACTTTTCCGTACAAACGTTGATTGTCTTTGAGTTTTTTCCAAGCATATTAGAGTTTAATAATTGGATGTTTGGAAAATAAACAGCCATAGGAAGATTTTAATATATTTAGTTTATGGTTTTTTATAAAAAATAGAACTACTGTATTAGGCCTAAGTGGTTTCCCATCCAAACCACAATGTATTGAAAACCAAAACACCTATTTTGTGTCAAAGTAGGTACTTTAAAAGATGCAAATTATGAAATGTTGGGTCCCTATTTTTATAAATACATGGGGAACTAAATGAAACATCTAAAATAGCCATTTATTTCTAAATGTCATAGAAAAAAAAAAAAAAAATAGGAACCTTGGTAAGAGTAACCTAATTTTTAGGATCCAGCTTAAGTCATGAATATGATAGAAGAGCAGTTACAAAATCACTCATTGATGTATGTGTTGACAATGACTGTAACTGCCTTTACAGATAAACTTCAAAACATTACAGTACAGCAAACACATCAAACTAACAAATCACTCATTATTGATAATTTTGTACATCTAAATACACAGTCTAAAGTCTAAACAGATAAAAATCATGTATCCCCAGAGCGTGTCTTAACCGTTTTTACATTGAGGTTTGACACTGAAGGGTTGAAGAAGGCTACCATGTCATAACTTACAAATGTGCGTTTCATATTTTTAAACTGGATAAAATAAACAGAATGTTGTGAATTGTATTATTTTTCCTCCTCAATGTATGGAAATGGTCACATTGCCACACCTGTAAACAGTACGGTACGTAAAATGGCTCATTTCCACTTGATTTATTCTTCCCGCTCGCAACCTTTATTCATTCTCAAAACCTCACAACCTGAAACTGTATAATTAAGGTTAGGGTCCTATTGTAATATACCTGATGTTTTTATTGTGATATTTGTTTGATTTAGGAATATTAAAATTTATTTTATTTACTTGTTAGTTTTCATTGGAACCTCTGAAGTTGCATTATTAAATTTTTATGTTGAATTAACAATACTCAATTAAACTATCTAAATCCATTCAGATAAACTGTTATTACATTATTATCAGTTAAGTGTAGTCATGAAAATCTGAAGAATTTTGCATCACTACTTAAATCATAGTAAAAAATTTCAATATTCCTTATGTTGATGTGAAACCTATTTACTTGGCTGCTAATTAATTATTGAAAGATAATTCATTTATTGATAGTAAAAACACGATTTTATTAGCCTACTAAAACATTTGTTTTGTATTCTTAAGAAAAAATAGTTTGATGTGATTTAATTAGTAATGATCACAGTCAGTAAATTCAGTTATTTTTTCAAAAACTAGGCCTATACCAACTGTTTCCACTTGTATGTTTTAGCAGAACATACTCATACGGATGTGACATCTTTTGAATCTGCTGAATTTTAAGATTTGTTAATATTTTTTGTAACACTTTCGAGTTTGTTGATTTTTTCCGTTTGTTTGCAAGTTATTTTAATAACTAAACAAATACGACCAACGACCAACTTGAACACTATGTTTGTAAACCACGGCTTGTTCTCTTGTACCATAGTCAACGAGTATAGTGCGTACTTTTAAAATTTGCTCTAAAATAAGAGACAATCATATAGTTGACAACAAAGCACTTTACTTAAAGATCCGAAATTAGTTTCATTATCATACTTTTTTTGTCCTAGGACGCTAGGCAAAAGCCTGTAATTGTTTTTCACATTACTTGAGGCTAGACCTAGGGGTTACGGCATTATCACTTAGAAAAAATCCATTGGCGATTTGGCGGCATTTGAACCCGGGACCCCAGGAACCGGAGTCCCGCGCTCTAACCACTAAACCAGCTCTCATTATCATACTACCAAGACATCAGTTAGCATACTAAGCCGAGCATGAATGTAAAATAGAAACAGATGCCTTGTGTAGTTTGGTTACTTGTGTAGTTACTGGCAGCTTAAGGGTGCACTCTACCTCAGCTCGGAACTCTCGGATCAGCCTTCAGTAGCTATGCTGCGCCATTGAACAGCGCCGTGAGAAGCTCTTGCAGATGTTTAAGTCCTCTCAAATTGAAGTTTCGTATGAAGTAGGTTTCTTACTCATTACATTTTAATCTTTGACTCTCTGGTTTTGATTACTACCAAAAAATTAATTCTCATGAGTAAAGTGTTTTAGAAAAAACTTATTTGAGGTATTTACCAGTCACTTCACACTAAAATTTCTACTATTAGCACAAAATTTCAACCGTAAGAGCCTACACTAATATGAAATGAATAAACTTAAATATATTTTCAATCGGTTAAGAACCAAGCTGACAATGACGGAGATCCTAAACCCTTGCATTTGCGCGTGGCAGACAGGTAGAGTGCACCCTTAACCATAAAAACATACTGTCTTTTTCACAATTACCTACTTGTACCAGCTATCCTCTGATTAAATCAGCTACTGTGCTAACTTATCTTTTTTTACAGTAATGTAAGAAGTATACTTGCAACATCAAAATTCAATGGTTTTACGTAGGTATTACCAACATCTATGGAGAGTAATTATTATGTAATGTTTGCTTAATTGTTAATAGTTTCATAACTGTACTAATTTTAGCGAATTTCCCTATAGGGAAGTAGCTATTACCGTAGGTGGCATGGTAAGACCTAAGCCCGGGAGCGATTTACTTTTTCATTTTGATGTCCCCAGAGGCCAAAAACACTATTCGTTCAAATTTTTATATATGTATATACATATATATATATAGATTTATATATATATATATGTGTCCGTGAACGCGGTAACTTGAGTAATTTTTGTCCGATTTTGATGAAATTTGGTTTAAAGGTGTAAAGCGGGATAAACTTTAATGAGTTCGCGAACCAGCATGATCGGACCATGGGAACAGGGCTTTACATGGGGTAAAAATTGGTTTTTCTCACTTTTGACCCTCAAAACACAAAGTTTCCCAATTTCTCTTTATACCTTATTAAAGAGCTTAAAAAAAACAAATAATTTAGTATATAAAAGTATTTTTGTACGGTTATTGGTAATGGAGAAAATTTAAAAAATTGTAAATTTAAAATTCCCATGTTATTCTTATGGAGAATATTGTAAAATGTTCTAGTTTGGTTGTTTATGGATATATTTTGATCAAACTTATTTATTTTGTACTAAGCTATTAATGTTTTACTAAAAAACACACTTTATTAGTTTACTTGTAGCAGCAAACTTAGGTACTCGACCTATAATGTTATTTAAATATATTTAATTGAAAATCAATTCAGACAAATGGAAATTCGCTTAGTTGTCAGGTTTGCTGCGACGGGGGTATTTTTTTTGTATACCGTATTTATTACACATAAATATTTACATTTTAATTCCACCATGTAAGAAACATGTATTAAATGATCAATTGAATTGCGGAACCTCACTCAAAACAAATAAACTAAGTATTAATAGTTTGTTACACATTGATGAGCGTGTCAATTAAAATTAAAATTTAAAGATAGAGGTGGATCAGAGAGCTTAAATCCCAAGTGTTATCATATGATTGACCTTCGAACATCGTATGACACTCCATAGAAGAGGCTGACTGAACTGGCCGGTCTGATAAAGTAGCGTCTTGGTTGTCAGTGACTGTTTACACATCCAACCTAACTTTTCAGGTAAAGTGTTTTTAGCTTTTTCTATGTTTTATAATTGATCAACCACAATTTAAAAAAACTTATTGTGTTCAAAACAATTTGTTTGAATAACAACTACACTTTTTTTGTTTATTGTTTATACATTTCTTTTGTTTCATATTTGTTTTTTTAATAGTTTTTTTTAAATTTGATTTAACATACTTTTTTCTCTTTGGGTTACTATGTAGTACGCTTAAATTTATGTATAAAAATACAATTGTTTCTTGCATTTTACCAGTTAGTTACTTTACTCAGAAATATTACAAATCTATTTAAATAGTTATTTTGAAATATTTTATATCATTTATTTAAAAATTCAGGATTTTTATAAACATGATTTTTTTTAAGTATTACCTGAGTAGGTGAGATGTTATGTGTTCCCAAAACTCTGTATGAAGCTTGACTGTAAGATTAGTCACGTCTAATTGCATTTCAATTGATCCCACATTAATGTCTTAAATTTAGTTAAAAATAACGGTATCAGCAATCTGACTCATACTTATTTATTTCATTAGCTTGTCAACAACCCTTATTGACATCACATTTTAGTGGTAAGTGATTGGATTAAAGATGACCGTTTTGGGAAAATCACCATAAAAAATCCAAAAAAATTAAATAAAACGCCTGGAAATACCATAGGTTAGTACCCACATATCAAATTTCATCTAAATCGGACCACACAGATACACACACACCAGCCAAAAAAATTATATTTTTTGGGGGGTATAAGGGGGCCCAAAACAGATAATTCCACTCAAACTGAAAAAAAAATTTCCATGTACACTCTATAGGGGGAGTTATCCCTCATATAACTCTGTATTGAGGGAGAAAGTAAAATAAAATAAACCTATACAGTCCATAATAACAGAATATTCCACAAATAGTTTCAAAATATTAAATTATCAACTAGTAATACTTGCAATACGAACCAGATTGTTTGATATTTCTTGTTTTTATGAAATACATGTTAACTTTTTATTTGCAGATCACCCCTATACAATGTCTACTCCGACAGTAGACATGTCTGATTATGACAAACTCGGCTGCCTTCACGATATGTTTACATCACAAGTAAAAAAAACTCCGAACAACATAGCTGTGGTTAACTGCGATGGCTCAAAGGTATGTCTTATCTAACAGTTAATAGTAAAATGTGTTCTACTTTGGAAGGTGTTTTTGAGACCTCAGATCATAGTTTGCTGAAGTGGAAATTGAAGAGTAGTGAAGTAAAATTGTGTGTATATCACAATCCTCCTCTTTTCCAAAATTTCTTAGTTTTTAGTAGCAAGTAGCAATGGTACAGCGACAGGTTTAGTCATGGACATTCATCTGACTTTTCTATAAGGGTGGCTGGGGGGAAGGGGTACGGAATAAAGCACAGTAGTAAAAGGGAAATCCTATGGGTACTCCTGGAAAGTGATTAAAATTTAGATCAAAATGTTTGACCTATTTAAAACCGAAATTTGCTTTGTCAATTTATATTTGTTGTTTTGTTTTTAACACGTTCGCTGCGGCACGTCAAATAGCGGGCGTATCCCCAGTGCGGCGCAGCCCTCAGCGTCGAGCAAACCCGATTGCCGCGTGTGATTGGTTTTCCAATTTTGGTCTGACGATTTACAAATAACGTGCGGGGATGTCCTGCTTTACAACGAGATTCGACGTAGTTCGCTAAACACCCACAGATAGCAGCACTGCTTGGAACGTAGCCGGTCCCATTGGAATTGTATTGCCAAATGGAGGGAAAAAGACAGGACAAAAAGAAGACTTTTGAAATTGCCAGACGGGGGTTTTACGGGGAAATTTACTACCAACCTACACCACAACAAAATGCAAGTCACATACTACACGCTAACGTGGTATGTGTCCGCTTTCGACCGACGCTAGAGCAAAAACGAAGATATACAAAAGGCATAGCCGAGCGTTCCCGATGGGGTACAGACGCACCGTACGGGGGCCAAGCGCCGTACCCGATCAGGAACGGCCGCACTCTACGTGTTAAAATTTGAATACTTACCAGTGTGCTACTGGCATATTGTAAATTTCTTAACTTTTATATTTCTTCTCAAAAATCCAAAAAAAATGTAGTTATTTTGGGCAGAGCTCCAAGGCATGATTCATTAATTACTATCAGATTTACTGACGGAAAAATCCAGTTTTTTCCTGGTCGTGATTCCTATAGTTGCCAAGTGTACCATACCTTTTACCAGTTGTCTGTGGGTATTCCATGCTTTTGGATCATGACTGACCAATGGTTGGCACGAGAGAACCGTACGCACAGAAAATTATAATCAGACCAATGTTGGATCAAGTGGAGCCGAGCTGAGCACTGACAGCAGAAAGCGTTTAGGAAAGATGCACGATCGAAGATCTAAGATTTTGCCTCCCTGATGGCGAAGGATGATGTCCCGTGTGCGCTAAAGATATTCTCAATCTTGCCGTGACCGCAGAAAATGTTTTGGATTTTGCCGTAACCACGGACGAACAACACAATTTCACTGTTACTGTAATATATTTCATATTGACACATTGATTTATGTTCTTTGCATTTATTTATTGTCATATGTTTTTTGTTATTAATTCCAATTATTGTGATTTTGTTTACCTTTTGTCTTGTCTTTATAAATTGAAAATACAGTCCCTTTCTATTTGTAATAGTCTGACATAATTTCTACAGTTACTGCAGGCTAATGCAGGAGCAATTTTAAAATTTTAACATTGTTCCTGATTTAACAAATTTATGCAAACTTCTCAAAATTCTCAGTCTCTATAGTCAAATGGTGGGGTCTCAGATGATGGCACCCATGGCCCATGGGTTTTGTGGTTAGTGAGCAGAACTTCAGTCTTGGAGGTCCATGTTCTAATCCCATCAACTGTAAGCTATAGCATTCTGTGACTGGCTCACATAACTATGTTCTCTTGAAATAAAAAATTGGCGACAGCTGTTCCGTATAGATGGGATGCTACTTCAGTATCCAATTGTCAACGGTATTATCAATGAGTACAAACCTCATAAGGAACAAAATGCCCATGTTAAAAATCCAGCCTGGAATTTTTGAATTTTGGCAAGTTTTAGCGGCGGCCGCTTGGTAGGTAAGGCTCTACTATCGATGACGTGCGGCGGCGTCAATGTGTCACCACAGCAGTGGGTGAAGTTCGAGTGAGACAAAGGATGTGTGGAGAGAGGGGAGAGGGGAAGAGGCTAACGCTTACTTAGTGGCGGCCGCGCAAAGCTTATTTCAGCATCAAAATCCAGTCTGACTATTCCCCATAAATATTTTGCTTCTTATAAGGTTTGTAATATTTTTTTTTATAATTTTAACTGAAGTAGCGATCACACGAAGGTAGGTATGTTAAGCCAAGTTTGAATGAAAATGTGTGTAGGATGAGTGGCACGATCTTGTAGTCTTATTACTGACTAAGGCCAACTTGTTCCTCAGACAGGACTGTTAATTAATAGCCCATACAGCCAATGGCAACTAAGAGATCTACAGTCTATAGTGGCATCCGAACCACATTTTTGTCTTGTAATTTACGAATTACTCTAATTATGAGGATAGTACTGCGGATAGTTGTGGTACTCATTAGTGCGGATGTTAATCCTAACCAAGGAGTATCGCATCCAAAGATCATGCCTATAAATATCCACAATTTGTGACTTCCAAGTTGCTACATTACAGGAAGATGCCATGTTCCCAGTCTTCATTGGTATTACTGAATCTTTAAAAGTGAACAATTCTAGAAGTAAATCAAACGCTAGTTGGGTGAAGTCCTAAAGGAAATCAAACCGTTACTGTTTAACCATTAAAACCGGTTGGCGGTTAGTAACCGTTAAAAATCTGAAAACGATTTTAAATTGTTTCAGACTACATACAAAGAACTCGATGATATGACCGACCTATTAGCCAACAAACTTCAAAATCTTGGATTGAAAAAGAACCAAGTTGTTGGAATTTTGATGGAGCGTTGTCTGGAATACACAGTGGCCTATATAAGCATTTTAAAGGCAGGTTAGTGATAATTAAAAGGTACTGCATCAGCAAAATGTTCAAATAAAAAAAAATCTACTAAGGATAAATTCTTATTATTGGTGTTTGGCATATGAATTACTACTATAGATATACCACGAACAAAACAACCTGCGCAGAAACGAAAAGATCACGTGGTTCGCGCAGGTAGGTGGGCCGTACCATTCAAACCTGCGCGGCTCGAAACGGCCGAGGGTTCTTTTGTTTCTGGTATTACTATAGTGTACATGTTGCTCGAATTCGAGCAATTGCAAAGTATTAGGCCTAAAGGAGTTATTTCTAAACTAATAACAGTCATATTTACATTGAGTTTAAAAGAGTCAACTCAAAGATTACCGGTGTGTAACTCATGGAGATACTCAAGATGTACAAAACAAAAACAGTAATCAAAATTCCCTGTAAATATTGTATCATATTTCATAACCTAAGATTGCTTTTTAATGTTTTATACAAACACTTCCTGACTTATAGCCATATAAGGTTGACCACGTTTATCTTCGTTATTGATAAACCTCAAGCATTCCGGTCGGTTTTCTCCTTCTCAAAATGCCTCGCTGTACAGGCAACACAGGTCATTGATAGAGGGCCAATTGAGAACGAAAAGTCGTTTTGTGGTAGTGTTAGGGCGCATTGTAACCTAATAGTTGAGATTGTCCAGGGTCAGGTGCTGACTGTGATGAGTTAAGTCTATTACGCGCCCCTGTTCTGTAGCTGCGGTCGTTATCACGATTACGCCTCCTGTCTATGTTTCGTTTTCGTCGCGTCGTAGGCATTTAACGAAATAACAAATAAACAAATTATAGATACACAAAACAACGATAAATGCACAAATTAAAGTTACAATCATGCTAACCCGATCCGTCATAGCGACACAAAACAACGATAAATACACAAATTTAGGATACAATCATACTAACACGATCCGTCTTGGGGGTTATGTTTACACAAACTCAAATGGTAAATAAATGTACTCGGTGCGCCGAAACGGCACACGGAAGATTTCTCAGGTGCCGTTTGACGTCACTAACTGCTGACGTCACTTTGAGGGAACACCAATACCGCAACGATACGGTTTCAGCCATCGGCCTCGATGGTGCAGTGGATAGCGTTGCGGGCTGATAAACGGAATCCGAATGATCCGGGTTCGAATACCGTCGGTGGCACTAACTTTTTATCTAACAATTTTTTCATATCAGCAAGTTTGGTTGGTTTGGTTAGGTTATGACAGTTTAATTTTATAATAAAAAAATTATAAAATTGAATTTTAGGCAATTACAATTTTATTTTATGAACAAAACTATTTTTTAGATTAGTAAACCTTTATTCGATTTTCCATTATCAGCACGTTTGGTTAGTTTGGTTAGGTTATGACAGTTTAATTTAATAATAGAAAATTATAAAATTGTCTGTTTCTTCAGACGCAGCAGTTAGTGACGTCAGCAGTTAGTGACGTCAAACGGCACCTGAGAAATCTCCCGTGTGCCCCACCGCTCAATGCGCTCGTTGAATTGAAAAATAAATAACAGCAATTAAATTATACATACAGCTGATCAAAATGTAAACAATTGTGTTCTCCATAAGGATAACATGGGAACTTTCAAAGCCACTGGGGCAGAGCCCAAGGGACTTTAAAAAAAATGTAAGGCCAGTTTGCAAATCTACGCGACACGCTCTTTCCAATGAGGCGTCAATGGATAAAATCGGTCAAGAAATGGCGGAGGAGTTCAACCGACAAAGTTTCATGTAGCGTATTAATTATATAGATTTGTATTAAGTTTTAAGTACTGTCATAATCAAGGATTGTTAGCTACTATCAGTTCCCTACAAATAACTATCGACAATGCTATAAACATTTTAGAGGATTTAATAATCTTATCTGTGGTATTTACAATCCTTATACTTTGGTTCAAAGTTTATTGCAACTTTTGTGATTTCTTACGAAGAATCTGTATTATAACATCAAGGTTTCTTGATATTAAAATCTGTAGTTTAACTTAAAAAATATAAATAATGTAAAATAAAACTTGTATGTATATTATTATTATTTATATGCACATTAAATACTGTTCTGATATGTACAAAAAAAAGGTTAAGGTAGTTTTTTGTTGGGCTAAAAGATATTTTGGGCATTTTTTGTGTAATTTTTAAGTAATAATCCTGATATAAGTTTTGAAGTAAAATAATAACTTTTTATATATTACACATTTTTATTGACCCACGCCGCAGCAAACTTGCAGACTATGGAATTTCCATTTACCTGGCTAGATTTCTACTAAAATATTCACATAAAATTGTCAGGTTTATTCTCTATTTAAATAATATTAATTTGAATGATTACCGGTACTTGGGTTTGCTGATACGGTGATGAGGTGCGTTATTTTTAATTGAAATGATGATAGCTTTGTATGAAGTACCTAAATAAAATTGCCAAATTTGAATAAAATAAATCCATGAATAAGCAAACCACAAAGATTTAGTTGTACAAAGATTTTTGAACTGAATTAATATATGTAAGAGTAGATTAGCCTTCAGTTTTTCAATAAAATTATTCTTATTTATTTTTCAGGAGGGGCGTATCTTCCCATAGAGGTATCTTGGCCTTTACCTTTGGTAGAGTCAGTGTTGAAAGATGCCACCCCTTCAGTGATTTGTGCAAAGGAAGCTTTCAGTGATAAAGTCAAAACGTCCAATGTCCCTGTCATACTTATGAATGGAGATTGGTTAGATAAGTTGAAAAAAGAACAGAAAGTTTCACCCTTGCTTCCCCCAGTGAAAACTTCATTGGATGACATCGCTTATGTGGTTTATTCTTCTGGAACTACAGGAACTCCTAAAGGTTGGTATTGAATTTTAGGTTGCATTATCAATATTTATTGAAGGATTTCAAAATGTAGGATTAGCGCTGATAAATCTGTATGATAAAAAAGGAAAAAAGTTTAATGAATTGGAACCAATTACATGAATTTGATAAATTATTAAGAAATTGGGTTACACGGCCCTTAATTACCATCCTCCATGGTCTTTATGTGTTAGCATGAAAATTTAAAATTGTTCATTTAAGAATAGAAAAAGTAGGTAGGATTAGGTAAAATAAATCTGGTTAACGAATGTAAAAAAGTTGAAGGAGTTGGAATCAGTCACATCACTTGAGCTGATTTATAAAAAAATTAAGTGACACAGCCATTATTGTCTGTTCTCCATAATCGTTTAATGTTAACTTAAAACATACTTTTTAATACTTTTAATTGAAATGGCCACCATACAAGTAGGTATTTTAAGCCAAGTATGAATGGAGATGAGTGTAGGATGAGTGGTGCGATCTTGTAGTCTTGTTTAGTGACTAAGTCCGACATATTCCTTAAACAGCTGTTAATTATTAGCTTAATAACATTAAAGTACTTGTTATACATCCACATTCAACATCATACTCCTATCTTAGCTTTGACTTGATATAACCATTTGTTTATAATTACTCAATTTTATAATTTGACTGTGTGTCGAGAGATACTGGAAGTTAGTAAACATATTGACACAATCAATTTCACTCTTCACAGGTATTCTCTGCCCTCATCGAGGCGCTGTGTTCTCCTACACTTGGAGGCATCGGGCTTATCCCTACGCAGACAACGACCACGAGGCTTGCAATGTCTTCTTCGTGTGGGAAATGTTCCGCCCCTTGGCCAAAGGTAAGGGTGCTGGCTGAGTGCGGTGCTGTCTACTGTAATTATTTATTACCTTAGAGTTTCTTCTAATTGAAACTCACACCACTTTTATTTAACTGGTTTCAAGGATTTTCATGTCATAATCAAGGCCTTTTGTTTTGACAGAATAGTGTACATCTCATGACACAATGCTGCATATTTTAAGATGTTATTAACGAGTGTACAGAGGAGTGGAGATGCCTTGTGTAGCTTTTAGTAACATTATGGGTGTTTCTTCATCCATGATGATTAATCTAAACAAAACTTCAATTAATAATTATAGCTGAAGCTGGGCTCGGTTTGCAACAGTAAAAAGCTTCTAATCTTCATCCACAAGCTTTTGTGGCTGGTGTCAGACAGACTTTTCGTGTAAATTGTGTTGTCTGATGCCTTAGTTTAGCCACTTAGACATCACTTTATATCTAGGACAAAATATCAGGCAGTTAACTGGCTTTTTCTGACATCCCAAAAAAATCAATGGGATAAAGCTTTCGACATTTAAAATGTTATTTGTCACTTTCAATGTAATAAAAACAAAAATATATATTTTAGAAAATAATGGACGTTTATGAGTAAATAATTACTTTTATATATTTCCCTGATATGAGCAAGTTACAAGAGTAACTTAAGAGTCATGCACATGAGTAGGCCCAGTGGCCAGAGCATAGGGCTTCTATCCCATCAACAATCATAGACTATATGATATATGATAAAGATAATGCCCTGACTATTTGACTAAGTGGTTTTGTGTCCACATTAAGCTGGCAGATAACTTATTAAAAAAAGTAACCTAGGTTTATTATCTTGAGAAAATCTCCCTGAAATCTAAAGATCTTCCTCACAGAAAAATGTAACACCCCCGCCGCAGTAAACCTGCAGACTTAGCGATTTTCTATTTGTCTGATTGGATTTTTACTTACATACCGTCAGTCGGGGCTACTTTGCTCCTGGGGGTATTACTTTGCCCCACTTCTGAGAAAAGATGTCAGTGCCATCTAGTGGCATTTTAATGTAACATAATGACTTAGTTACAGGTTTCCCCACTAGGTAGCATCACTGTTCACATTTAGATACCATCTTGTGCTCTTCGGCCATCTTGTTTAGTTGTTTTGGTGGTATAAAGTTGATGAGGCAAATGTTGATCTAAGTTTACCTCCAAAAAAGTGTTACCTGTACGAGATTTTTTTTCTTTTCAATAATTTACCTGTAAAATTTATTTTTGGTCTAATGATATGATCCATCTTGTTCAGAGATAAATTCTCTACAAAATCAGCATGTTTAACTTTGCCCCACTGCCATTTAAAATAATAATACTGAGGATTTATTTAGGTGGAGCAAAGTAACCCGCTCTTATGGGTTACTTTGCCCCACTTAAAAAAATAATAAAATCATAATAAACAGTTGATTTTCATGTTTTTTGAGGGTAGCACTACTCTTTCACATTAGTTTAGAGTACAAATCAATATTTATACCTGAATTTAAGTGACAAACAGTGGTGTTTTTATAAAATAATGAAATCAAGTACTCAAAAATGGAGCAAAGTAGCCCCGACTGACCCGGTATGTCCATAAACAAGACATATTTATTCACCACTTAAATAACACCAGGTAAAACCCGTTGAAATCGATTATTCCTCTTGAGGGTTGATGCAAATTCAGGTAGGCCCTAACTACTAAAGTTTAGGGTAACAGCTACTTCCCTATATAGAGAAATTTGCTAAGGAAAATTACTTTTTTGTAAGTTGGCAGACAAGCATAGCAAAGCAATTCTAATAACTAAATCTACTTTGACAGGCCTGCCAATGTACATAATCCCAGACGATGTTATATATGATCCTCCCAAGCTTGCAAACTTTATCCAGAAAAATGAAATAACCAGGATGTTATTCACACCTTCTTTGCTACAAGCTTTGTTGGAATACAGAGGAATTGACTTGCAGACTACATTGAAGTCGTTAAGGTAATATATTTGGAGATAAGAAACTTTTTACTTCCCACTTTAAAATGATTCAATTTTAGATATTTTAAAACATAGCATGTATCTAGTTTTTTAGTAATTTAAATTGTTAATATATGAAACCTGTTTGAAATCTAATTTACAAGGAAACCTTTTGTTTTTGTTCCAGAATTTTACAGTTTCATATTTCATTAGTGGCTCAAATACACTAAGTTATTTTTTATTCTAAAATTGGTTAAAGCTTTCATCTACTTGACAGTAGTGTATCCATAGACAAAGATGAACATTAATTTTTTTTTGAACTTGCATATTTTTATTTTGGTAATTATAATTAAAATTCTATTGTCCACAGAAAACATTAAGTGTTGTAAAAAAAATCCAAAAAGCATGTTATTGTAACTCCTAACATAGAATAATTGTCTGGACATTTTCCAAATACAACTTTCAGCTGATTGTCTAGGCAAATCATCTATTGTGGTGAAGTGGTGACGTCAGCTTTACGAGACAAGGTCGCCCAGCAGCTACCGAGGATTCAACAGCTCAACTTGTACAGCATCTCAGAGTGTCACGATGTGTCTAATGCAGGTACTAAAAGACAGTTGACTGTCCTAGAGGCAGTTAATTTGGTATATTTTACTAAGAAGTTTGATCATTCTTACCCTCTTTTAAGTTGAGAAGAGAATATGGAGACAAGTATCCAGGAATCAGGGCACTGATTGTATTATACAAATTTGTAAATTGTTACTCATGTAACATTAATTGTGGGTTTTAAGGATATAAAGATTATTTTCTGGGCCCTTCCATTGAATTTAGCCTGTTAAATTGATAAGACAACTTTAGAATGTTTTTCAACTCTTGTGCGTTGTGTGCGCTATGTTAAAAACTTGATTTTACCAGATTTTTAATTGGAAGATCATTTACTTGATTTCAGATTTGTCTGATATGCCCAGCGGCTGTGGAGGAAGACAGTTTTGCCCGGTTGGCAAGTTGTTTCCTGGAGTTCATGCTGTTGTTATGGATGAAAACCTTACAATGAAACCAGTTGGAGAGCCAGGAGAGGTAATTTTTACCCATTTTAGCTTATTGAAGTAGAGTCCTTCTTAATTGTATTTGGGGTTAAATAACATCCTTAACCACACAAATACATATTTATCTTTATTTTTTCTCAAATGCCCTTTGAATATCAATCTATATTTGTATGTTTTCCCTGCAAAACATTCTTGTGTACTATTTTTTCTCAAATAAGAAATGCAACTGAAATGTACTGAAACTCTAAAACTAAAAATAATAAATGTTGACGGTGACGGTATCAGTAAATTAAAAAGTCATGTTCTTAATTATTCACTACAGTAAGTAAAATTTTTCAAAATCCTTTGAAGCCTATGATCTGACAAAACACTTTTCCCCAGATTTACATTGGAGGCCCAGGACTTGCCATTGGTTACTTGAACCGACCTGAGTTGAACACCCTGAGGTTCATACCTCGACCGTCTCACGTCAGCAGTAGCGTGGGGGATCGTTTGTATCGGACGGGTGACTGGGGATATGTGCTCTCTGATGGGAGTCTGGAGATCTGTGGACGATGCGACTCCATGGTCAAGATCAGAGGGTACACCATCGAGATGGAGGTAGAGTATAGTTAAGTCTAGGTAACATAAACAGAGTTTTTAATTGAATTTATTGATTTTCAAAGGTGTAATAGTAATGAGCTAAACTGTTTAAGCTATTATTTTACATTATTGATTTGATTGCCAATATTTCATGTTGACTATGTCAGTTTCTGACTGCTGTATAGTGTGACTTTGTCAATGCTAATTGTTTTACGACCATAAAAGATTACTATTATCATCCAGAGTTTTCAAGCGGCAACGACAAACTTTATAAACTTAATAAAAAAATAAAAAAATAGCTTTAGTAGTTCAGAGCTTAAGGTTTATAGTTATACAAATTTAACGCTTGAAGCTTGAAAGGTAAAAAGAATGCCTTTATAATTATGATTTATCTGTAAAACACCTTCTCCCCCAAGCAACTATTATGTTCATACAATAAAAGTAATTTTATATTTATTTTGTTAAGAAAGTGTTTGGGTGATTAATTCTTTTATCCCTCATTTCCTAGCTATTTTACACATTAACCCAAAGTTTCACAAATAAATAAGTAGAATTTTCCACACTTTTTAATTAGTTAAACTTAATTTTGTCCACCTTTTCAGGCAGTAAGACTGAATCTTCTAGAACTACCAGGAGTATTATCCACTAGTGTTCAAGTTTATGGTTCGGAGGGAGAAGAGAAAACTTTGGTGGCCTTCCTAGTTCTCCAGGAAGGTATCCAGTTATCGCATCGTGACATTCGTGTACAGCTGAAGAAAAAGTTGCCTTTTTACATGATTCCTTCTCGATTCATAATTCTTGAAAGGTATATGACTTCAGACTATCTGTTAGACCACCATGTGTAATGCATGAGTCAAATGTGTATTTATCTTTAAAAATTAATTCTTCAGGGGCCCAGTGAAATAAATGAAGCAACTTAGTTGGAAGCTAAAATTGGAATATTTTCTTTCAGAATCGATTCGGGCAGACTGATAATTGTTTTGTCTATTTAGAGCAAGAAGGAGTAATATTATGTATTACTAGCAGAGTACCGTCCTTCGTACGGGGTTAGCATATAAGCTTTGACTATTAATACAATAGTATTAATACAAGACTTCTGTATCCAATAGTCAATGATATAAGTATAAAATGCTTATTAAAGTTATGAGAGAGGACACAGTTGAAGAAAATTTGGTCTTTTAATTTATAAGGTATCCTATAGTGTAGCACACATCTACCATAGCCCTAATGCTCTACCACTGCACATAAACCATAGAAAAAAGTTCTCATTGTGTACCACAACTTTTTGGCCCGACAGACGTTGTCCTGTCCTAATGTGGTTTTATGCCAAATGCTTGTTCATTTTCAAGATGAGCTCGTTCGCATCGCTCAATCACGTCCTGGTTGAAGTTCGTTTGCTACACTTACTCACCTTTAGGTTGGAGCTTGTTCGCTGCGCTCACTTGCCTTCAGGTTTAGCTCGTTCACTACGCTAACTCGCCTCCAGGTTGAAGTTCGTTCGCTACGCTCATTCACCTTTGGTTGCAAATTAGCTGTTTTTATAAATAAAAAAAAATAATAGTGCTGCACCCTATTGGTAAACCTCTTAACTTTTTAATGCTATTGAACATCACCGAATCAAATTGTTTAGTTGAACCAGCTGTTAAGATTCATTAATTCCATTTAAATATAAGTACTCATAAGGTTAACATGGGGAACTACAGAGCCACTGGGGTGGAGCCCGAAAGGATTTTTTAGATAAGAATATGCCTAAATGTTAATCGGGAATGTGAGCTATTATCATAACAAATTTCAGCCCAATCCGTCCAGTAGTTTATGCGTGATTGAGCAACACACAAACTTTCAGATTTATAATATTAGTAAGATTTATTGTTTCTGATATGAGATATTAAAGTTCATCAAATCAAGATAATTAAGAAACATAAGTCCAAATGTGTGTGAGTGTTGACATTTTCAAAAGGATTAATACAATCTTGATTGTGATTAAATGATAACCATATTTTCTGATCATATCTGATCATAGACGTATTTTTATTGAATTTTCAGGTTATTCTCTTTTAATACCCTCGCAAGATGCAAAATCATATTTTAAGAAAAGAATTTTCTCAAAAATTAAATTGTGGGTCCCGCAAGGATTAATTATAGGCCAACTCTTATTCTTGGTTTATGTTTATACTAGCTGTACCCGAGGGCTTTGCCCCGTTTAACTTCTTAATTTTCAAGATGATCTCGTTCGCATGGCTCAATCACGTCCTGGTTGAAGTTCGTTCGCTACGCTCACTCACCTTTAGGTTGGAGCTCGTTCGCTGCGCTCACTTGCCTTCAGGTTAGCTCGTTCGCTACGCTAACTCGTCTCCAGGTTGAAGTTCGTTCGCTACGCTCACTCACCTTTTGGTTGCAAATTAGCTGTTGTCATAAATTAAAATAAATAATAGTGCTGCACCCTGTTAGTAATCATTGTAACTTTAATGCTATTGAACATCATAGAACAGAACCAACTTGTTTAATTGAAACAGCTGTTAAGATTCATTTATTCCTTTCATAAGGCTAACATGGGAAACTCCAGAGCCACTGGGGCGGAGCCCGAGAGTCCGATCAGAATAAAAACAACTTAGTTTTCCTATTTAATGCCTAAAGAATCAATGTACCAAATTTCAGCCTCCTAGGTAAATGGGAAGTGGGAGAATTAGTGATGAGTGAGTGTGTCAGTGAGTCAGTGAGTCAGTGAGGGCTTTGCCTTTTATAAGTATAGATGAATGACATTCCAAAAAACTCATAATCTAACCTCTTACTATACGATGATGATACCACGGCTATAATCCAGGCTAAAGACTCCTTAACTTTATCACTGTCCTAAAATTGCAACTGTCTGATGCAGCATACCTGTGGTGGAGGCTACAGGTAAGCTGGACTCCAAGGCTCTAGCCTCTCTACACTCTCAGCTGAGAGAACAGTCAGCAGCTGTGGATGTGGTGAAGGTGGTAGAGGGGAGAGAAGTAGCAGTCAGCACAGAGGAGCTGAGAATAGCTCAAGTCTGGAGTCAGCTGCTAAATCTCTACGTGCTTGATACTGAGGAGAGCTTCTTTGATGTTGGAGGGTAAGATTTGACAAGCTGTGCAATGGTAGTTTTTGTTTTGTTCACCATTTGCATTTTTGGGGGTTTTTTTAGGAACGATCCAAGCCCTGTACTTGCTACTATCTTATGTTCTCCTATCATTAACGTGAATAATTGATAACTCTGTGATGAATGGAGTCTCTGGGAATTGATATCAATTTTGATTGGAATCGAAGCGTTATATACCCAGACAAATAAGTGTAGCAGACAGTCCAAGGAAGAAGTTAGACAGTCCAGTATGGTCGAAATGTAAAAATCAAGCACCAAAATTACCAGACTGAATTTTTTTAGTTGAGAATGCCTTCACTGACTTTATAGAGCCTTAGTTTCAGCACCAAACAGTAAAGGTATTTTTGACATGTTAAACATTTTTCAGCTGTTCTTACTTCATTTAGCTACCTAGGTGTTGAATAGCTGGCCACCATCAGGGTTGAATATAGTAGAAAAAATTAACTTCAGAATTAATTACGATGATAGGTTCATTTTTTGGATCAGAAAACAATAATTTTTTGGATCAGAAAACAATAATATGGTTAACAGTTTTAATAAGACACCAAGCTTAAGAGGTTGTATATGCTTCTCAACAATTTAAACCAGATAAAGTGATAAAGTCATCCATATACAAGATCACGATATTGGGTGATTTTAAGGCAATGATCTTACATTTTAAAATTTGACTTTTAAACATTGTATCCATCCATCTTGGTTCGTTTACTTTATAGCGTGAGTGAATATAAACTATTTTTGATTTACTCATTTTTTGATAATTTTCAGACACTCACTGCTAGCTGCTGCATTAGCGAGCCGACTGAGTGAAGAATTCAAAGCCAACCTTACAACAGCAGATATTTTCAAAAACCCCACAATATCATCTCAAGCATTACTGATGAGTAATTCAAACTGTGCAAACCCCTTGGAAAAAATAGACCTTAAAAAAGAACTCAGAAACTTGAAGATTGAATTTGGTGGGTAAGTAAATTGATAAGTCAATATCATGGATAAAACATACTCCCTAAGTAGATTTCTCATCCTTATGGAACAGCTGAAGACAATTTTATTGTTAGTTCATGTACGGTTTATGTAGAGGTCGTGTTTTGTTTACAATTTGTTTCCCGTTATTACAGCCATTTAAAACCTCGTTTAACCAAATAATACGATCTAATCATAAACAATAACTTGTCCCCTAGTTATATAACCAAACAGTAAAGCACAAATCAAGAAATTAACCCTAAAAAAATGGAAACAAAGTTTCGTCGACACTAGCGCCTTTGTGTCACGTACATGAACTAGACACGAAAAACGTGCTTCAAAATTTAAAATGGGATGAGAAGTCTACTTGTGTTGGTTAGTCTATGTCAATATTCAATGGTGTATCTCCTCTTAAAAAAATACACTTCAAGCCAGCAAAGCTGGATAAACAGATGGGAAATGTCAAGGTTTACATCAAACTCTAAAACCAACTCACTAACACTCAAACTATTACTGATCAAGTCAATAACTTGGATGGAACAAACTAAATATTATTGTTGACATGGACTGTGTCCAGATGAGAATCTATTATATTATTAAAGTGATACAATCAAATTTTATGTAAACGGTTAAGGCCATTTACCAAATAAAAATATAGGCATATGTCACATCAAAATGAAGCTTAGAGTGTGTAGATTTGCCGAAAAGTATTGATATGGATGAATTTCCTAAGGGCTCTGCCCCACAGGCTGATTTCCAAAGGGCTACGCCTGGCATGCTTCCAAAGTTGAATTTTTAGTTAATGAAACAGCTGGTCAGTACAATGACTGATGTTTGTTTATTTACTCGAAAAAGTGTAATGCTTTATGTAGATTTAGGAGGGTTATGTTTGGTTTTAACCCTTAGAGTGCCAGGCGAGAAATAAAAGTAACGCTCAAAAAATGCCGATGATTTTTCCCGAAGGTCGCGCTAAAAATGCCGAGCGCAATCTGGCGATTTTTAGGTTAAAATTTCGTAAAAATCGAATTTTCGATATTTCGACCAACGAAAATTGATGTATCGCATCTAGTAACTTTCGACTCAATGTTAATATATGGGTTAAAAGAATCCGAGTACACATTCGGTTGTTATGACAACTGTTCGATCATTACGAAACGTCCGGTCAGCCGGACGTTGGCACTTTTGGCTCGTTCTAAAAACGTCCGGTCGGCCGGACGTCGGCACTTTTGGCTCGTTTTAAAAACGTCCGGTTCCCCGGACGTTGGCACTCAAAGGGTTAAAGAAATGTTGTATACGTTTTGTAAAGTGTTGCTCAAAGTTTCATTTTGTAATTTATATAGTAAGCTACATGTAAAGAGGCTTGACTAAAGTTGAAGAATTATGGTAAAACATGTCATTCGTGAAGCATCAATATTAATAAATTGATGCTGTTGCTACACTAAGGTGTTGTCATATACTTTTCAATCTATTAACATAAAAAGTAGGAGTTTGAAAGTAAGTAGGTTTACACTTTTAAATCAGTTTATATTTTCAAACTAAATCATAGACTTGCCGTATTAAAGCACACATCAGAATTACTTTAATAGCTCTCTAGGTCACATTTTCTTCCCGTTGCAAAGCACGGGTATAAGCAGCTTGTCTATATATAAAGCCAAAAGTACCCATGAACTTTTGAGAAAACTACAAGTCACACCCCCCATAAACCATATACTTAAAATGTTCGTCATGACGAGAAACCTTGCGCAAAATTATCCATTATTTCATAAATTGCCCTATAAGGTCGTAATTGCTTTCCAAAGGGAACTTTCCATTTACCTAATGTTAAAAATACCTCAGCTGTTATTATTTGTTTGTATTACCATTACTGTATTCTGTTTTGTTTATTTCATCTTAACTTAACCAATCAATAGTTTTATTAATACTAATGTAGTAAAACGGGGTGGAGCCCGTGGGTAACAGCTAGTTTAAATTAATTAATGGATCACGTGTTTTTATTTACATTTGCAATTTACTGTTTTCTTTATATTTGATTATTAAAGTCGCCCTTGTTTGATTTAAATGTAAAGAATAATTGTTCTATGTTTTGTGGGTTTATTTAAAGTCTATCCCTTTTTTAGATGAGTCAGCCTCGCGTTTTAACAATCATACATATGAATGTTTGGAGTATGTCAATAACGTGAAAACTACTTGTCCAATTGAGCTGATTTTTTCCATGAGTAGAGCCAATATAACCACAGGCTTAAAGGACATAGTCAAGAATCTTTTATTTTTATAAAACTCTACGAGGGCTCTGACCTGACAGCTTATTAAGTTCCGTGAAAAGTCTTTCGTAATGCCACAAAAACAGGTATGGCAATACTTACTTATTATGTTGGCGCTAAGTTGATTCTTTTTTAATCTATAAATAAAGATTTACTGTCATTAATTGGTGATCTCAATTTATTTATGAAAATATTAAACATTGGCAATCATACTTTGACTAGGATGGATGCAGACATTCGAGCGTTCTGGCAGATTGTGAGTTTATCCCCAGGAAAGTTTACCAGAGGAAGTGTGCTTCTCACAGGGGCTACTGGCTACGTTGGCTGTTTTCTGCTGGAGGAGCTGTTACAACATACACAGGTCATTAACTATCTTTTTGAATTGAAAAACCTATTTTAGAAACAAGTACTTTCTCCATCTCAGTTTGAAACCAAGATACCGTTAGTAGTTTTTGCCGTAGTAATTTTTTGTATATTATATTTGTGTAAATATTAGGCTAGTTTAGTAGGCTACCGGTACTATTTATGCATTTGAATAAAACACAGTTTCCTCAAAAGTTTTTTTAACTTGGAATTAAATTAAATGAGTATTGATAGACCTACATGAATGTACTTTTTTATGACTCTTCATGACAAATATGGAACCTGAAAACGTATTTTTAAGGACACAAATAAATGTCACCTTGTTTAGTAGTTCAAGGATGAACAGTATTGATGAAATAATGTCAGCACCAAGTCATCACAGCCTTGGTTTCACAGTCTGTTGCAGTACCAACCCACAATGCTACTCTTATGGCATGTATATTCCAGTTCTTGGAATTGACTGCATATTATATGCTCCATTTCATCATACTTGGGAAAGAGGACGAAAAGAAGGCTTGGAAATAAAGCTCCAACCTATAAAAGACAATTATCACTTTTTTAAGACGGCAGTTATTGATCACCATTCACCTTAAACTCAAATTAACAATGAATAGGTCTTGTTTGATAGTTCATCTTCTTTACAATATTTTGCCATCTCACACGACATACATTAGACATTAAATGTGGATTTTTCACTCTAAATTTTGTATTATGTCTACAGACAACAGTCTACTGCTTAGTGAGGGAAAGTCCTGACGTCAGCCCCTTGGACAGACTCATCAGAGTAAGGACACAGAACGGCCTACGAGGATACCTTCCTGCTGACAGGGTGATTCCCATCAAAGGTATACTCTGTCACTGTAACAGAAACAGATTGCTTGACTGTAGGTAGTAAGTTACTTTGATAAAAAAAACTTTTTTACCCGATTTTCACAGTTACCTAATTACCTACTTTTAACAAAATCTTCTTACGCAGGTGATGTGTCCCTGACTAACCTGGGACTCAGCAAGGATGTCTACTCAGCTCTCACAGTCGAGGTTGATGTTGTGATACATGCTGCTGCTCAGGTCAATCTTATCCTTCCGTTTTCTGCTCTTTACAATTCCAATGTACTTGGAACGTACAATGCACTTACATTCGCCTTCAGTGGGAAAATCAAACCAGTTCATTACATAAGGTAATCTTTTAATTTAAACATTTTTAATGCTCATTGTGCGAATTCACAATGTTTGTTTTTCAATATCTCGATCGTGAAACTTCCCAGTAGCTATATGGAACGTCAACATGATTCATGCATTCTGACACACCTTCATACAAAAATCACCACCAATGTCGTTAAAGAGTTGTGGTTCTTGGTTTGTTGTTGCTCTGGCATTACTTAAGTAAATATTAATTTAGCTATGATTTAAAAGTAAAGTAATTCTGATAATTCCTCAAATCTTGTTCATGATTTTCATCTTTCAAGCACAAACGCAGTATTTCCTGACGGGGTGAAAGACGTAGAAGAGAATGTGGACATGTCACTGTACGCAGATGTTCTGCAGAACGGGTACGGACAGACCAAGTGGGTGGCAGAACAGTTGGTTTTGGAAGCGTCTCGGAAAGGATTTCCAACTGCTGTTTACAGGTAGTTCTTGTAAACATATTAACATGTTGTGACATGTAGACCAGGTCAGACTTATGTCAAATACAGACATCTATAAAATAATGATAAATAATCTGACTCACTTGGGTGGCAGAGCATCTGGTTTTGGGAGTTGTTTAGAAGGATTTTCAACAGTTTTATCCCTGTACAGGTAGGTTTAAACAACATATGTACCTAAAAGATACTATAATACCACTGGTGTAGTTGCGTGCCGGAACGCTCACCGTTCAGAAACTACAGGGTCCTACCAATTAGAGGATTTATTTTTTGGAAAAGCAGAGTGGGACCGGCGTTTCTGCTCCACACTACTGTATACTACCACCACGGTACTTGTGTTGTGGACCAGGACAGACTGATGTGAGTCAAGACGATGAGATTATCCATAAAAGAATGATAAATTGAAACCGGTAAATGTTCTGATTCGCTTGAATGGTAGAGCAGCCGGTTCTGCTCAGAAAGTATTTCCGACATTTATATACAGTAGTAGGTACGGTATAAAAAATTGATCCTGAAAGGACCATTGTAACAATAGAGTCAACTAACCAAAATGATCCAATGAAAGTCTACAAAAATAATATATGTATAACTAGGTTGTGAGTTAGACCAAATGTATATGAGCTGAGCACATGTAAAAAAAGCACAAGTCAAATTTGTATTTACAATTCAATTTAGACTATAGACTGTGATCATTACAGGTGTGGCAATGTCGGAGGGTCACGACTTGTGCCAGGCTGGAACTCCGCTGACTTCAATCTTCACATGCTAAAAGGAGTTTTTCTAACAAGTTACGCGCCTGACTTGGATTGGCAGGTACATTGCTCTTCCTTTTCATCCATAGAGTTTGTAACCATAGTAAATGTTGTTATTACACTTTGTGTATCTCTTGAATAGTGTTTTTTTTTTACCAATTAAAATAGCAAATCTACAGATTAAAAAATCATTTACGGAAATATTACTACTACTGTAGCATGCAATTTGGCAAATTATTTTACAGCTTATAGTGAAGGTTACCTAAACAGAGTAAGTATAGGACAGCTCTTTCTCATCTGAGAGACATATCTTTTTGTTCTCTGAAATGATGATCTTGTATTTTGAAATCCCTCTAATTAAAAATCTTTAAAACATGTTTTGGGCTTTCTCTCGTAAGTACTGTTATTTAACTCTGTTTTACGCTTACAGATTGAGCTCACCCCAGTTGACTTTGTAAGCAAACTAATTATACATTCGGTTGGCAATCTCAATGATTCAGTTGGGAAAGTATTTCACTTAATCAACAACAACACATTCTCTTGCAAGTAAGTATAGAAATAGTTATTTGAGTAACTATTGCGGCTCGTGTGGAAAGTTTCTCAAGTGCAGCAAAGGCACTTTGCTCTAGCGTCACACATTATATTTTTCCTACAGTTACTTAAAGCATAAAAATAACTAGTCAAACACTATACAACACTTTTAGGTTAGGTTAAATCCATGTTGAACAATATGGGAAACACTGCACCAGCTGTAGTCTTTAAGTGTTGCCAACTTATTTTCAAGCATACATGTATTACGTGGCTCATAAAATTACACTGTTTTGTGTTGTTTGGTTGGAATACTGTAGTAGTGGGGCAAATAAAAGAGTGTGGAAAGTAAGTAAATGCATCAATTAGCTACTTGGCATGCTATAATCAGTGCAAGGAAGCACACTTTGTCAGGTAACTGTAGGAAAAAATAATTAATCTAAGAACAGCCACTTGATTTAAAGATGTGTCAGATATCTTACATATAAATCAAATCACATATGCTTTGACAGTGGTATAAAATTCACATTATACTAATTCATATTATCAATTATCATATTGAAATTTTTGCTTTGATACTCTTAATTAATTGTTGGCTTATCAGGCTATATTATTTTAGTTTTTTTAGTTCTGACCACACCAGATATGAGGGTTCCTACCCAAGGCCCCACTAGAAAAACAGTCCATGCTGCAGGATCCATGACGTCACACTAGTGGATTTCATTGATAAATTCATTGCCATCACCATTCCCATATGTTTTAGGTAAATAAACAAGCTGGTTGTTTGTAGATTTTAATGGTAAGAGTTTAGTACAACTATCCACCACCGTGACTTAGTGTTGCGCTGCTCGTGCTGCAGCATGGCCTGTTTTTTCTAGTGGGGCCTTGTCCTACTACGCTTTGGGTGGTTTTCAAACATTGACTATTACACACAAAGGAGGTTTTTTGCTTGGTCTCATTTCCATTGACTAGATAATATCAAACTAGTTGTTGTAATAGTCTAATATTGTTAATAGTGAACTTGTTGAAATGATTCTTGTGTTGTAGTATTCTTTTTAATCTTTGATCAAGTGAAACCTTTTGATTTCAGGAAGCTTTGGGCGTTATTGGAGGACCTTGGTTATAAGGCTAAGATAATCCCTTTTTCTGATTGGAAAAAAATTATCCTGGAAAACTCCAATGAACTGCTTGCTCAGCTTCGTCCGCTTCTTGTTAATTACGCTTCGTAAGTTTTGCATTTGTTTTAACAATATTGTCAGAAAATGTTTAAAACAGTGGTGTTGTCTAATATGAATATGATAACAGAATTTGAAGGATGTCATGTAAGTAAAAGAAATAAAGGAATAATTTTATGGGTTGAAATAAAATGAAAATCTAGAAGATAAAAAAAAAAAAAAAAACACCTTGTAAATGAGATAGCACCCATTTTTTTCATTTAAATTTTTAATGTGTCTATTATAACAGTTATCTTTAAATTATGACATAAATTGTAGTTTTCAATGTCTATCAAAAATTATATTTTGGGTTATTTTTGGGAACACATTCACTGCCCATGAAGAGCTATCTCGGTCACTGCTAGCCCTTTCCATTGGCGTGCGACGAGTTTACTTGTCAAAGTGTCGTTTACAAACTATTTTGTTCCAATGCAAGGTTAGCCACTACCATGAAATGTTGTTTCGCTTGCCGCTTATTTCTGGTATAATTCTTTTTAAGATCGGACTATTTTATCGGTGGTAGGGATTGTTACAAATTTATTACTAGTGTGGGTTTAAGCTTGGACCTAATGACATGCAATAGAATAACGATAATGAATGACTGTAGCATTGTAGAAGGAGCCTAACCTCAAAATTGTGCTTGACAGCTATTTTGCGGTATTTTTTGATAGTGTATCCGGGTACTTCACCCCTGCTTTTCCTTCCATTTAGCAGTACTGAGGGCCGGCTAGCAGTATTGTTTAGTGCTGCTATCTGTTGGGTTCTTGTAAAACTACGTCCATCTATGACTGGGGTGCAGTATGTGCCTCCCATTTGGATAAAACTAAATTTAAACGATTTCGCGCACTCATCCACGCAGCGCACATTCACTATACACATGAGTATAAAATTAGCTGTCTCGCGCCACCGGCCGCGGCCTGCCATCTCACAACCGCATTGAACGTGTTAAGCTACTAATTATTATAAACAATGTTTATTTGTTGTTATTTGAATAATAAAACACTAATACAATTTTCTAGTGAAGAAAATTCCTTCTTGACGTCAAGTTCTTATAGACAAGACAATATGAGTGCTCTCCTCAAGAAAATGAATTTGAACTACCCTCAATTGACTAATGAGCTTTTCCAAGCTTATTTCAAGGATCTGTCAAATATTGGAGCTATCCCTAGACCTACAGTAGTGAAAGGTAAGAATGTAGTTGTATTTTTTAGTTGAGGTTTTAAAATGAAACAATAAATTTTTCTCTAACAAAAACATATATATTTTTAAATGGTGTGGTTGGGTTACAATACAATACAAGCACACGCAAACACACATTTACACAATAAAAAAAACTAGTGGTCATCCAGTGGTCGAAAACCCGACCAAAAACATGTAATGTACATGTATTGACTATTGGATACTGAAGTAGACATCCCATCTATATGGACCAGCTGTCGCCATATTTTTATAAAAAAATATGTAGTTGTGTGAGCCAGTCACCGAATGTGTGTCTTAAATAATTGTATTTTCTACCTTATTTTTGTAGCTGACAAAGTTGATGGGTCTTAAAAGTTGCTATAGCTCATAATAAGTCATTCAAAAAGCTTGAGTTGGTAAAAAACATTGTGTATTCAACAGAATTTAGTCATTTAGATCCATTATTAATAGGCAAGCATGATTCTTTAAAACCTTTTTCCTCGGCTCATGTGCATCGCAGGGAAAATCTACGCATACCGTTAGAAATATATTTTCTTGTAGAAGTGCAGAATCCCTTTAAAAGTCCAAATAGGCTCAAATATAAGCACGAAAATGAATTTGAAATTTTAAAAAATTAACATGGGCTTTATGGGTTTCCATGCTGGTGACGAATTAACAACAAAATATAAACAGAAAATCAAAACAAATGGAATAAATTACATCACATGTTTTATTTACAGCGTGGGGTGAAAATAGAGAAACCTGTACCTTTACATTCCATCCCAATGTTAAAGTTGTCATAAGTTTTTTAATTAAATTTGTCGTAGTTGATGTGAGCCACCAACAGACTGCGCTGATCTAAATTAATTAATTCTGTTGAATACACACATTGGACATGTGTCAGCGCCATATAAATCTAATCTAATAAGAAGTCTTTTCTCTCTTTGCCCAAGCAAATTAAACAAAATATTTTTTAACTTTTTCAAAGGTGTAACACGAGACAATCGTCTGAACAGCAAAGTAGTCTTGGTAACAGGTGCGTCATCTGGTATTGGTGAAGGCATCGCACGCACACTTGCGCACGCAGGGGCAACAGTTGTACTGGCTGCAAGACGAGTGGATAAACTGCGCAGTATAGCTACAGAGCTACGGCAGGCTGGTGGCAATGCACATGCAGTAGAAATGGACGTGTGCAATGCTCAACAGGTGAACAAGGGGCTGTTTTAATTATAAGATTTGAGAATAACAGTTGAATTCCCCTCCGTGGGACACAAAAATCTTAACACCAAACATAAAATTAGAATATTTTACCGTCACTGAAAGTCAACTAACGTTTCAGTTGGGAAGAGAGGATATGTTGTTTGGGGTTGATGATGACAACCGGTGAACGAAGTTTTCAGTGACATAAAAATAATCTAGTTTCAGTTTGTGTGTATCGTGTGAAGCTTTTTTTGCTTCCTTATGCCAGAATTACTTTCTCCCATCTGATAAACAGAAATCCATAAAATCTTTATGATCACGTCAAATCTATGAATGTATATTGAACATAGAATGTATGTTTACTCGTAGGTAACCAACTGTATCCAAGATATTGAAGAGAGGATTGGCCCTATTGACGTGCTGGTGAACAATGCAGGAGTAATGTTCTATCAGATGATCACTAAATGTGACTTGCCACGGTGGCAACACATGGTGGACGTCAACGTGAAGGGAGTGCTCAACTGTCTGGCCGCAGTGCTGGGTCATATGGTTGACAGAGGCAGCGGCCATATTGTCAACATATCCTCTGATGCTGCTAGAAAGGTAGGTTCTTAGTAATATTCTGAACTGTAGTAGATTAATGTTTGAAATTTTGGTATTTTTCAACTATCTGGACCCTACTAATTTATGTACATTACCAACCTCCCGGAAACAAAACATCCCCGTTGTTCCAACTGAGTCCTGGATGCCAGAAACTTTGTTGGATCCAGCTGTCTATGATCTTAGGCACATGGATATATGATCCTAGCTAAAAAAAAGTACCCCCGCCGCAGTAAACCTACAGACTAGGCCAATTCCCATTTGCCTGAATTGATTTTAAATTATATCTATTTAAAACAAAAATGGGTTTAACGAGTACCTAGGTTTGCTGCTACAGGGACGCTAATAAAGTGTGTTTTTATTCAAATATTAGGAGCTTAGAATAAAATTAATAAATTTCCTAAGTTTGATAAAAATTTTGCCATAAACAAGCAAACTACAACATCTATCTTTATACATGAAGCGGTTTTTTGTGAACACTACTTCTTCCTTATTTGTGGACCAATATCAATGTTTTAGGTGTTACAAATTTGTCTCAACTTGTAGTTTTGCAATAAGGTTTAAGAATTTAAATATTCTTACCCTTAAGGGCGTGAGGCGCTCTCAAAGGTTGATTTTTTCTCATAAGAGTTACATAGAAGAAATAAAAAAAAAAAAAAAAAAAAAAAAAAAAAAAAAAGCTGCTGTGAACAGAAAGGAACTCAGCAGATTTTTGGAACAAATTTATTGATGTTTGTAATATTCAAGAGGTTACAGACCCATGTAAACAGTCGATCAGTTTTGCTGGAAGAAATTATTAGAAAATTTTGAGAGTCAAAAATGAGAAAAACTCATTTTTATCCCATAAAATCCCCCGTAAAACCTTGTTCCCATGGACATCAAATGAAAAAGTATATCGGTCCCGGATCCAGGTGGTCTTACCGTGCCACCTCTTTCCTATAGCTACTTCCCTAAAATTTGCTAAAAACAGTTGGTTTTAGTAAGTACCAAAGCTACTACACAAGGCATCATACACTCATTCTTGACTTGTATTTAAGTTCAAATATACCCAATGGGATATTAAAATTTAAAGTACCCCCAATTGGTTACGCTTATTGTAAATGATTTAACCTATTAACCAAAAAGGAATAGGTAATTCATTTTCTGAACCTTTAGATATTTTTATTCTGTCTGCGTAGTTTTTTTTTTCAATTTGTTTTACTATATGTGAGGTAACTGAGATGTGTGAGATGGCAGATATAATTGTGGATGTACACAAAGTGGAGTATTTATTACATTTTATTTTTCAGCCATTCCCTGGTTTGGCAGTTTACAGCGGCACAAAATACTTCGTCCACTGTTTGTCCGGAGCGTTGAGATCCGAGGTCGCGTCAAGTGGTGTAAAAGTTACTGATATCCAACCTGGAGACGTAACATCTGAACTTCATAACTACGTGTCCGATCCAGAGGTGGGTTATTTTATTACAGATAAATTTTTGTTTCAGAATTAGAAGGTTTTGGATAATTTAATAAACTAATTACTTTCAGCACAGAAAACAGGAAGTGGATTTAGTAGTTTATTGTTTTTAAGCTAAATAATGTTCCAGTGTATTCAACTTTAAAATGTTTCCATTTGAGGCAAACCTTAGTACTAGTACTGCTATTTATCTAGCCCAGGGAAAAAACTAGATTCAAATGTTCTCTTAGTTATGAATGTAACTTATACCTATAAAAATTGAAAACCTGTTTAACTAAAAGACCTTTGGGACGCCAACTTAAAAAAATTGTTAGGTACTTTGCGTTACCGGAGATATCACTTAACTGGAACCCAGATTAAACACAAAAAATATGACAGTATAAGCTGCTGTAATGGCCACCTACCATTTATAGGAGTGGTTTTGACAACCTGACCAGCATTTAATATTATTCATTCTGATAGCCCCTGGACTACGGATAATGACTTTATAGGCTTACCTCCGTCAGTAGTCCAAAATTGTGTTTTCAATTTCAACTAATGTTGATCAAAGCTAACATGTTTCGTTGCACTGCAACATCCTCGGAGCTTTACGTCAAAAACATCAAATATCAAATTACAACACGGGACACGGAACATTTAAAACACGAAATAACACGATAGCGCTATCATGACACGGCACGGCAGCGGTTGTAGGTAGACTGGACACGGGTTATGTAACTTCGTCTCGTCCTTCTCTGTTATTAGCTCGGTGGTCAGCTGTTCCAGATGAGATAACAGCGTTGAAGAGGGATGACCGGGTCTGAAGTTTTACATTATTGCGGGAAAGGTAATAAGTTGGACACACTTGAGGAGTAGGAAATATATAAAATGAACATAGACGAAGAACACAAGGAATACATCCTCAATGTTAAACTACAGTTCAAGTCCCACTCCCTCTTCAACACTGTTATCTCATCTGGAACAGCTGACCACCGAGCTGATAACAGAGAAGGACGAGACGAAGTTACATAACCAGTGTCCAGTCTACCTACAACCGCTGCCGTGCCGTGTCATGAGCGCTATGTCATAGCGCTATCGTGTTATTTCGTGTTTTAAATGTTCCGTGTCCCGTGTTGTATTTTATGTAAATGATTTGATGTTCTTGACGTAAAGCTCTGACGATGTTGCAGTGCAACGAAACATGTTAGCTTTGATCAAAATTAGTTGAAATAGAAAACACAATTTTGGACTACTGACCTGTCAGCCTATAAAGCATTTAATACCCAACTTCAAAGAGTAAAGAGGGTACTTTCTCCCAAAATTAAACGTTTAAACACATCAGGAAAAATATCTTGCCCTGATCATTCCAGTAAGTAATTTTCTGTACATTATATCCATACAGAAATTTCTATAATTTAAAATATAAGTAGTAACAATTATTTAATTAAAGGCGGAGTTGGCCTATGACTGGAGTGCCAAGGTGCCCATCTTGAAGCCAGCTGATGTGGGCGAGGCTGTACTCTACGCTCTGTCACAACCTTCGCACTGTGCCATCAACGAGATCCTACTAGAGCCTCAGCTGCTACCACTGTAGAGAGTAAAATAAGATATAGAGAATATATTTCATATATATACTTTCCTGTTGTATCACAATGTAACAAGTTTGACTCAGTTTGTGCTTGTGAAAACCCCAATAATTAACATTTTAATAAACTTTTTTCCATTTAATTTCGGTTTATCTCTGGACAACCTGTGCTATTTTCATGTATTTTACCTAGAATTACTTACCTTGGAGGGTTGCCAGTTTGATTCTGAGAGGAGTCAGTAGATTTTGTTAGTTCACAACTGGGCCCAGATGACCTTGATAATTAATTATTGGGCTATTATAAATAGTCCTGGCTAAAGATACATCACATCCTAGTCAGTTACAGGAGTTCTCACTCATGTTAAGGTTAAAATTATATCATGAACATAAAAAACTCAAATCTTTAACTGAAACCATCACCTTGTTACTTCACCTTGTTGTTTCACCTTGTTACCTTGTCACCTTGTTGGTCAATCTACAATACTGACTTACACAACTGGTTTAGACTTATATTAGAGCAATCATTATATCTATCATTGTTATCAAGGTTCTACTGTAGTTCATACTCGACTATTTCATTAAAAGAGAACCAGAGACTATTCGTTGAAATATACAAACTAAACAGCAAGATATTATTTCTTGACTAGCAGAGTACCCGTCCTTCGTATGGGGTTGGCATTTAAGTTTAAAATGCTTAATGCAGTTATACTCAAGCTTTCCGTTTGCAAGGGGGGAGGACAAAGTTTGATAAAATTTGCTTCTTTAAATTGACGGTATACTAATGGTATTACCATTGACTATTGGATACAGAAGTTTTAATAGTATTAATAGTCAAAGGTATTAAACATCTAACAATCTAACATAGCCATAATGTTCTACCACTTCAACTAAACAATAAAGAAAAGTAAATTATTACAAATTCACAAAAAATCAAAAATTACTCATGACATTAAAAACATAAACATAACTGTAAACAATCCTAATTTGACAGTTCTCATTGCGTATCACAGTTATTTGTTGATGCTTAGTTCAAATTAGCTGTTTACATAAAAGCAAAAGAAAAAAAAAATATATAGTGCTGCACCCTGTTGGTAAATCTTATAACTTTTTAATGCTTTTGTATATCATAGAACCAACTTTTTAGTTGAAACAGTTGACTAAATTTTTCAATTCCCTTTAATATGAATACACATAAGGTTAACATAGAAATTTCCAGAGCCACTGGGGCGGAGCCCTCGGAAAGGATTTTTGAGATAACAATATGCCTATATGTTAATCGGGAATGTGAGCTATCGTCATGCCAAATTTCAGCCCAACCCGTCCAGTGGTTTATGCTTGATTGAACTTCAAACAAACAAACTTTCACATTTATAATATTAGTAAGATAGACTAGTAGCTTTGACTATTAATCCAATAGTCAGTGCTAGTAGTCAAGCTAAGCAAATCATATTCTTTTGTGTGATGACTTTTGATTTTGATTCAAAAGAAATTTTCAACCCATATTTAATTTGTAAACCATACTACGGTTGTATCTCTAAGTCGGACACTAAACCACTTTTGCTAAAATTTATGTTGTAACAGGATCCTTTGTGAATCTTTGATGGATTATGACTCAACCCTACATACAGCATGCCACAAAGGGTATCATTATGTAAATTTCACATACATAGGAATTGTATACAGTAAGCTATCGTCGATACAGCATGACGCTAAGGGTATCAATGTATCAATACGTAAATTTGACGTACTGCCGGCAATTTCACTATACATAAAAGGTATTGACACGTAAGTTTGACGGATGCGTTCCAAGAAACCAACTAGCAAGGACATAAAGAAACACACTATACGACCCAACCAAGGCAGCCATCACAAGGCAAATTACTGCTGAGAACACTGCTGGAAGGAGGGTAGCGTCGGTTGAGGGGGTGGGTTGTGGGACACTAAAAATTACTCGCCCTACGTCAAATTTACGTGCGATACCCATATAGGGTTGACAGCAATTTGATTATAGTCTTTATGACAAGAACCGGTACATCTTTTGATTTCCAGTGTGAATCTTTAAGCTTTCTTTGACTGTGTAAGGTTGCCCTTCTGTTTTTTCACACATATTCATTCACACCTTTTACTGAGACCTTAACATTTGATGTACTGGTGGCATTTGATGTACATATTGGCTTGAAAAAGGCATCTAACTCCATTCTACATCATTGATACCCCTGCCAATTCACCAATGGATTACTACATATTGGCTTGGTAAAGACATCTAACTCCATTCTAAATCATTGGTCACCCCGCCAAATCACCAATGGATTTTTATAAATACACAGGTAGTTGACATCTCTAAATTCGCTAACGTATGTTGGCATAATTAACTGTCCTCAAGTTACTTTTTATGCATTAGGAATAAGTCAGATTCAAGCAAATAAAAAGATCACGTTTAAAAATAATACACATATTTTATTCAAAGGCCTACAAAGGTTTTTATTAGACACATAACACAATCAACATGCACCGAGTTAAATATTTTCAAAAAATAAACTATAAAACGATTCACTTGAAATTATGTTTAAAAACATAAAATTCAAATTTTAAGATACATTACTAGTAAACCATGTTTTACAAAAACATTTCTGGGAATTATATATAAATATATTTATTTATATATATATGCTTTTATGTTCTGCAATAGTAAATTTACAAGTTAAACTTTAAAGTACACTAACAATCAAGGACAAGCAACAAAATAAATACAAAGAATAATTACAAATTGACAGTCTAAATTTTTACAAATTATTATCTGTTGATTGTTGGTAGAGTCTTCGCCATCTGACACTTTGGCAGTCTAGCCTAATACTATTGTACATTTGATCACATAAATGTACTGTACTACTATTTCAATATCGTCGATAAAAATATAAATTATGTACACTTTATGTTATAATTCAACTGTTGTTACCATGTAGCCTACTCACGATCAGTCATAATTTAACGCTCATTTAATATTTATAATTTTACACTGTGATTAGGTCATGTGTCAGAGCAGCGTTACTCTAGAATTTCAAGTGAATTACTACCAAATTGGAAGAATTAAATAAAACTAGGCCTTACCATGGAGACCTACGGAGTATAGGGAATAGTTTTTTCCCTAAATGGGAAATTTGCTCATAAAAAATACAGTTATTTTAAGACTTCTCCTCCTTCTCTTTGTTATATCTTTCAAGCTCCTTTAGAAACTGGGCCTTGGGTTTCATGATGGTGGACCGATCACCGCGGCACTTGGGGCAAAACCACTTGCCCTTAGGTTTTGTCGCGAGAGCCACACAAGAGAAATGAAACCACTCGATCGGACACAAGTCATTGTCACACAGGATCATCTCTCCGTACGAGATCTGATCGCACAGACAATAAGTTGGCTCGTCCGGGTCGATTGCCAACTCTTCTTCTCTCGGAGGCGACTCTTCTCGCTGCACTTGTCGAGACTTCCTCTTCTTCTTCTTCCCGGTGCTCGTTGTCTTCTTGTTGGCCGTAGCGGTGGCGTTGGCTCTTGGTAGTGGTGTTATAGGCTCTGGCGGGGGAGTCGGTTCCGATACTGGAGTGGAGTCCACCACCAGAGATGTCTCTTGACGGCTGCGTCGCGACCGCTTGCTCTGCCTCTCCCCTCCCGCTCCCCCACTGTTGTTCTCCCTCACTCCCACCACAGACAGTTGCGGCAGCGACCCTTGTACATCTCTTGTTTGTAGAATGGCTCTCTCTACGCTTGCCTCGATGGGGTCTGGGTCTTTGCAGAACGACTTGGGATCTGTAATTTTTAAAGGAGAAATCAATTTATATCACAGAAATCCTGCTGAATATACAAAATATTATTTGCCTAGTTAAATTTTCACTAAAATATTTCTAAAAAATTTCAAGAATTATTCCCTATTGAAATAACATTAGTTTTAATTAGAATTTCTATGAAATAACCTAAATAAATTTGCCAAATTTGATCAATAAGTCATAAACAAGCAAGAAACAATAACAATTTACTTAGCATTTTTACGTAAAAATAACATAGGAATTTCAAATTCATTTTTTGGATTTTTTCTGTAACTATCAAGCAGACAACAATACTTTAATATACTGTACTAAGTTAAAGTTTGACCTTTTATGTTGTTCAATCTCTATATTTAATAGTTTGAAAAAAAGTTCAAAAATATTATCTTCTGAGAGTATAAAATACCCCCACCGCAGCAAACCTGCCGTTAGAAAAAGCCATTAGAATTATGTTCCACCTTAAAAAAGATGAATCAATTAAAGCTCACTTCAAAATCTAAATATTTTAACAGGTTTTGCAGCTTAAATACTTTTGAAAATAGACAGCATAAAATATGAGCCAGTTGTGACACATAGTTACAATACAAGACATGAAAAGGAATTGTAACTTAAACCTATAAGCTGGAATTCTCCAAAAATAAACCGACGCTAATTCTAAGGAAATTGCCTGCCTCTATAAAGAAGGAATCAAGTTATAAATCATTTAAAGCTAAATAAAAAAAATAAAAAAATAATAGGAAAGGTGCCTTACAATTGAGGAACTCATTGAATTAATAATAATCATTAACAATTCGGTATGGTACCTACTTAAAATGTATCTAGGCCTAGGCTAGTTTAGTACTTATATGTGAAACTATATTTGTACCCATGTACATGTAAGGAAAATGAAGATGTTTTGAATTTGAATTCGATACAGTCGTATTTTAAACGTTTGGTGTTTATTTCTCACTCTAGCAGAAAGAAAATGATATAAACCATAGGTAATTTAAAAACCGATGGTTGATACCATGGAGTTGTCTTTTTGGATCTCGTTAGAATTGCTTTAACGTGTAGCAAAAATAATTTTATTTTGGATCTAAATAGTCTATGTTAGATATTAGCCAATGGAAGATCCAAATAGATGCCTCTATAAAATATCTTCCCTTTCCGGATTTACCATGAGGATTTTGGCCAGTTAAATCAATAAAATAATAATTTCGCTGATACATTGTTGCTTTGTTTGCCGTAGCTTTTTTAATTTCATACTCAATAAGAGACGAATTTAACTCAATTGGAGCTGTTTGTCTGTTATGGGTGTGATTGTTTTTTTAATATGTATCTTATTTGCTACCCACTGTTAAAAACAAGTGTACAATTGTAAATCAAAATGTTTAATGGTATAGTATGCCTACCTATGAAATGGTGAGGTAGTATTAAGCCATTTTTAACTAGGGTGGAAAGGAGCCCCCAATTAAAAAAATAGTTTTTCTGCATGTTAAGTGGTCTGGAGATTCTTTATTTATTTCGACGTTTAAATTTGTTTCATAAGGCCAACGAGTCTTAATTAACTTTTGTCCCTACGGTTCGTTCCACATGACGTATAGGCCTATTACAAAACCATTTGTAACGTGAAAGCCTTTTTTTTAAAAAACTGAACTTTTGGGCTGACACATATGTCGTCAAATTGTCGTTAAAATCAGTTAAAAACTTTTTTTTTATATACTATTTTACCTCGGTGTTTGTAGCTAAACCAGCATAGACATTGAATTAAATCCACCTAATACATTCTGGAGCTCAGGTCCTTCTTGGAAGTAACTAATCCTATTCATAGTTTTTGCCCCAGCTTGCTGTGTCACACACCCCTATCTCCCCTTCCCTACTTTCCCTCTTACCCACAACACCTTTTAAATTAACCTATAGGGAATCTTTTGGGGGACAACATACTCAGAGCTACCCATGTCACCCATGTTCCCTATTGTTTGTTGCGGAGGGTAAGTTTCTCATAATCACCCCAGGCCGAGTGTCCTACACTCCCTTAGAAGTTATGTGTAGCCTAGAGGCCACATCTCTAAAATGGTCAATTTAACATAGGGTGAGATATGGAGTACAGTGTTAGATAAGCTAATTTTATTGCCTTTTTATGATAAAAATTGGCTCTGTAAAAACTTACCGAGAAACTTAAAGTCTAGCTCTAGTTGCCTTGCTTTGTTCTCAATCAGGTCACAAACTTGTTGCGCAATCTGTAGTTTTTCATCTCCAACTTCTTGTGCTTGTATGAGAGTTTGTTGAAGACGCACTACTGCTCGCTTCCGCACATGTGACTCAGGATCTTTACGTAGAATTATGTCTTTTTGGTGGTCAATATCTTTTAGAAATGCTGAAATGAAGGAGAAAGCGGTTAAAATATTAAACAGGTCATTTATTTCAACAGGTACCGGTAAGTTTAAGTCAAATAGGCCTAAGTATATTAAGTTAACTACTAGGCCTAACTTACGACCTAACTTGGCCTAGGCTACTTGCTTGGAGTTTTATCTAAGTTAACAGGACATAACTTATGAGGATGAAAATTAATTCAGTCTTGTTTATGTAAGTGTTGTTTGTTGGGTTCGTTTCATCCATTTAAAGCCCCGTTAGGGCCTAGTTAAGTTAATTAATAATTTGACGTTAGAAACTCAAAAGTTAATTCTATCACTTCGCTAAGATTGAATTGACCTAACTTAGCTACTTAAATAAAACAAAAATAATAAAGGAGATTAGATTTGATTCATTTATGTGTAGGCATACCCCATCTTTAGAGTTAATATTATTTTGAATTAACTTAGGGATACAACTGTAACTTAGTTGCAATTGTTTTAATGCATAACTTAGCTCAAGCTGTTCAAATGAATTCATTGATTTCATTTGAAAATTTGCTTAGCCTACTTATGGTACAAAACAGTTTCAATGGTCAAATCAAGTCAAAAGATCTTTACCTATTCATGTCTCTGTGCGGATATGGTATGGTGGAGACAAGGCGGACTTGTGGTCCAAAGATATTGAAGGAGGAAAATAGAACTTAGCCTAGGCCTTAATTATTTTTGCATGGGACCTGGAGGGTCTTGGCTAAAAGACTTCAATGTTAAGTAAAGTAGATCCATGCCTAACGGTACACCCAGATTCAGATTTTCGGCGCTTGGTTAATCTGAGTCAGATATTTTGTTAGTTTGGTGGCCACAGTGGAAGCAGGATAAAAACGCCACCGATACTGACTCGGTTAGCAAAGAAGCAAGTCATTCGTTGTTACAGTATGAAATTGTCGGATAATGAATTAATGTGTAAAATTATGACGTCTGAAAATTTTTTGAAGTTACAGCCAGTGAAAATAGGTGTCCATAATATTATATAGGTACCTAACTTATTTTCCTTTAGCTAGAAATGATAGAGATTCTTTCTATATTGCGATGAATGGAGCCCGAAACTTAATATTAGAATTGAAAGATTGTATGGGTATTGTATTGTTGATTGATTGATTAATATATAGGGTAAAAATATATTGTGTAACTTAAAATGTATTGTAAGAAACTGGTGTATAACCTAGCCTACATATAAACTTAAACAAAAAATCCTGAAGACTGTTTAGTGGTAGGCCTAACCCTAAAAGTAAGAGTGAAAAAAATTAAATATTTTACTAACTTATAAAACCATAATTTATTTAACTAGATAACTTAGTATAGTATGCGTACAAGCAAAATCTGAATCGGCATGCACTCTGTACGTACCGCGGCTGCACTTTACTTTAGGTCCTACACTCATTCGAATTAAAATATCGATCGATATATCGATAAGTTATAGGCTATTGTTTGGTTAGTTAGGTGAGGTTAACCTAACCTAACTATCCAAACGATATATCGAATAATCAATATTTTCATTCGAATGAGTGTGGGACCTAAAGTAAAGTGCAGCCCATACCGCATGTCTACAAACTTTCTCTCATCGAGCCACTTTAATTGTAGGCTAGGCCTAGCATAGTGCTGTAATTAAAAAATTCTCTAGGTATATGATTAAAATATTATCAAGGAAATCAACTAGATCCATATGTAACAAGATTACAAAATTAGCCTAGGCCTACTTCCATCTTCTAACTTAGACTAGGCCTAGGCCTAACTTATGTTAGGGTTTTTTACTTACTTTGATAAGTTAAATCCAATTCCCGTATCCTAGATAGCTGGCGAGCGACATCATCTGGTAGATTATCCAACGAATCTAAGTAGTTTTGAATGTATGTAGTAATATAAATAGAATCCACGTCTGAATGGTTTAACATAACTTAAAATTTGATAGTGCCTTGTTAATTCATTAGCTGTATTTAACCTCTTTTCTAATGGAAACCTCGTCACCTGATGAGAAAGTAATTTAAGTGAAACAAACGAAGATTATTAAGATGCTCATTTTACTAATCAGCCAAATAAATTTTTATGAACACCGGTAATCTGAACAATTGCTTCACCTACAAAGCAATGCACCCACTAACCTCAAGCTAAGCATCCCCCTTACCATACCAAGCCAAATGCCAAGATCGAGACCGAGAGCTGAGCCGAACTCCGAACAGCCGAGACGTTTACAAATTTTTTAGATGCATGATGCATGCAAGCAAAGCAAAACAACAAAACAAAACTCAGCTGCTGCCGCTGCTGCAGTGCTGCTGCTAGCTGCTAGCTAGGTCGGCCTCGGCCATCTGAAACTCTGACAAAATTATTCCCTGTGATGTTTGAACATTCCCTTTCTTTTCATGAGTTTTTGATTATGACAAATTATTGGTAGTTAGAAAGTAAAATGCCCTTTTAATCAAACTATTATGATGTGAAATCTTCGATTATATTTGATTTATAACTTAAATGAGAAATTTTAATCGTTCGACAAAACACTATGATAACATTTAGGGACAGGGAGGGAAACTTTATTTTATCACCATAACTAACCTCTTTTAGAAAGTAATTGTTAATTTTTAGTAAGAAAGTAAGTAAATTTAGTAATGGATATTAAAAAAAATGTAGATCTTCATACACAAGGATTATAAAATAAATTAGCTCATTTGACTTTTAGAAATGATTAAAAATATTCTGTATGAAAATTTTATTTCCGCTGTGGGAATTCTTTGCTTCTGGCGGTCCAGCCTGCATGCAACCCTGGACCTACACCCGACGTGACGTCAACCGACAACCGTCAACGTTCAAACGGTTGCTTCAAATGCTTCAAGACTGGCGCGTATTTTCACACGTTTTTGTTGTTCTCTGAGTCATTTTGTCAATCAACAGTGCGTAATCCATTTTTATTCTTCACGTTTCAGATATATTTTTGTGTTAGTCTAGACAATATTAAACAAGAATGACTTCAACAAAGTTTAATGTCGGGTTGGGTTCAGCTTCACGCAATTCTAGCAAGTAAGTTATTATTTTTCGTTACACCGTAATTTAACCTTTCAGTATGGACATTCAGAAGTTTAATTTTTTGTCAAATTCTGGAAGACCAAATTTGTTTAAAAGCTATTTGTCGTTGTTAAAAATACGTTATGCCACAGTTATAACGTTTATTTTTTGAAAATGTGGATGGACACCGCGGATTTGATCATCGAATTGAGGCTGAGGCCTATCTTAGACGTGTTAACCATAAAACTTAAAACATTTGAAAGTTCTTTGTCTTCTAATATTTTCTTTTAACTGTGAACGTGTTTTAGGGGAGCCATGAAGTATTGTCAAGCAATATTTTTCAAAATCTGACTTAAAGAATTGCAGGCAATGAATGGGATAAGTTAAGTTAGTTGGGTTTGAACTGGTTCATACTGGTTATAGTCAGTTTGCTCTGGATCTTAAAAACAAGGATCCTATAACTTATTGGTTTTTTAAACTATAATGGACAATTGTACCCAACTGATTTACAATCAAGACACTTCTAAATAGGCCTAGGCTACTCTAGTCTAAATATTATAGCATTGTAAGTTTAGATGTGTTCTTATTTTCATATTTAAACATAGGCCCTAACTCATTCCATGTTGTTGGGGTAAGTAGGCCTACACTTCCATAAATGTTCTCACAAACAACCGAATGAGTAAAATTGTTTATTGGATTGTTTATTTTGATATATCGTTTGGTTAGTTAGGTTAGGTTAACCTTAACTAACCAAACGATATATCGATCGATATTTTCTTTTGGTTGTTTGTGCCAACAGATATGGAAGTGTACCCCATGTTGGTCTTTAAATATATGAATGGGCATAGGCTATCTGAACATTCATTAGGAGAATAAGTTCTTGTTAGTGTTAATACAGCATGTTGAATGGAGTGTGTTTAGGCAGTGTTATATCCACCTCTGAATTATGAACTCACCTTAATTTTTGTCCCAAATGTAGGCTATTTGGATCAGTTGATCAATCTATGTAGCCAATTAACTTAGCCTAACTTGATTTAAATCAATTAATTAAGTTGGGCTAACTTATTATGAAACAAAATGAATAAGGTAACATTTAAGTAAGCTAAGTGGTAAGTTCCTATAAGGTGTGTAAAACAAAATACGGAAAAAACTACATTTTTAATTAGTTTAGGCCTACTTAACTTATTGATTAGGCCTAAGCTATGCGACCTTTGAAATAGTCCCACTTAAGTTAAAGATTCTGACTTGGAGACTTTTAAATCCCTGGGGAAACAATTCTCAAACTCGATGTTTGAGATAGAGGTAATTTATTTCTGGTATTTCATGTCATCTGTGACGAGCCAGAATGACCCCACTTCGAACAATGATTGAACCTCAGTTTTGACTCTAGGCTATAGGCTTATCCATTTAAAACATTTCTTCACCTGTTATTTTATGTTTGAGTACCGGTACCTAAGTTAATTCTGCATCATTGTTGACTTCATTTATAGTGACTCCTGATCAACTACCATTTGGCGAGCTGTTTTAGTTGAAAATCAACAAATTTTGCTGCACCGCATTTCATTCCCAAACATAGGACAGATTTTCATGACATGATCTGGAAACTCGCCATACTAATCCTATACTAACATTTCACATCAGACCTCCCTACATTGTTGCAATTTCATTCAATATTCCACACAAAATTTGATTAAGATTCTTTGATATATTTTTATTAACAAACAAAATAGCAGTGTTTTTGCTCTTATAACTTTTTTAAGCGTCTCACCTCATTGGCTGATACAAACAAAGCCAACAATTAAAACATCTTAAGTTTTACTACGGTATTATATCAGGGTGGAAACCAACTTAGTTTCATGTAAAATCAGGCTCTCCAAGTAGTGATGTAAAATACCCGGGTATTTAAAACTCGGGGTAAATACCCTGGGTATTTACCCGGGTAAATACCCAAAATCCATAAATACCCGGGTATTTTGGGTATTTATGAAATCGATTGAAATTCATATATATTTACCCTTAAATATGTTATTGTAATCATTACATGATAAATTAGGATAGTCTATAACACCTTTTACAGTAACTTGAAGCTTTGCTAGTACCTTTTATTTTATGATTTAGCACTTTTTTTAATAATACATAAAGTTTCTAAATAAGCATGGGGTTTTGTGTCTTAAATCGAGTAACATTAGTTAAATTTAACTTACTAAAAAATAGTATATTAAAAAAGGCTGTGGCTATTTCAATTTTTATCATTGAGAATGCTAGATAGAGAATGCTAGAAACTAAACACTCCCTATGAAATGAAATCAAGACAACACCTCATCAGAGAAATAGTGAACCTAAACCTACTTTTACTGTTATTGAAATGAAATGAAATGTGTTTATTGTCTTGTGAATTTATACAAATTATTGACAATGTCCGAGAAACTGCTAAAACTAGCATAGTCAGTTAATGAATACAATATACAATATTTACAAGAATACTACACACAAGGAGACATGTTACAATACATACTTTAATATTACAACCAAATAATCTTATTGTTCAGAAAAATGCAAGGCATTTAGAATAATTTATGCTATTAAATTATGATAGTTAAAATTTTTATTGTATAAATGGCTTGGAAGGCTAGACAGACCTAAGGCCTGATTGACATAGGCAGAATGGCAGAATACTAAAAGTACCTAATTAAACTTTTCTGTGTTACCACTTAGTTGGAAACAATAATATAGGCCTATTTGGATAAACCTACTAAAAAAATGTATCTCCTTTTTGAATGATTTATTGTGCTATAGAATCAAATGTTTTGTATCACAAGTTTATGAAATTAGTTTTTTTTTTATTTTGATACCACTGATACCAACAAAAGATCTAGAACAAAAATACCTATTATTAAAACCTGCCATCCTACAGATTGAATTTTAATTTTTCCTAAGTTGTTGAAACATAGGCCACTACTAGGTTAAATTTTCCTGTTTTTCTAAATAATAATTACAGGGTGTCCACATTCTGGAAAGTCAGGGATAGTCATGGAAAGTCATGGAAAAAATTTTTGGTCATTGAAAGTCAGGGAAATAGGCAAGAAGTCATGGAAAGTAATGGAAATTTCCAATTATGGATGGATTTGAGGGGACCATTCAATGCTCTAGTCAGCCGTAACCCGGACTGTTGTAGCATTTTTCAGGATTTTTCACAAATGTTCGACAATTCAATTTATTACAGTTGTATTATTTTATGAGTTTTCGGTTTCTTTTAGTTCATTGTTGTATCTATTGTACTCCATTGTTATCTGTTATTACATATTTCAGTATTTTCTGCAAAATAACATATCCAGGCAGTATTATTTTTGTGTGTATGTTATATTATAATTTGCGTGTAAAGTTCGTGAGTCATGGAAATCAATGGTAAATGGTCATGGATAGTCATGGAAAGTCATGGAAATGAATGACAAATTTTTTGTGGACACCCTGAATTATTACTTTGCAAATTATTTTTCTTCACTTTCAATAAAATAAATTCATCTATCTATCATAGAAAATAAAAAATCATAAGTAGTCAGGACCAGTGCAACCATGCGACCTGGGTATTTATGGCGATTATACCCAGAAGTAAAGTGCTAGTAGTGACCATATGAAATTTTGTTTAACACATTTTATCATCATTTTACTATCCTTACAGGGTAATAATTAAAAAAAAACATCTCAATCTTCTCTAACTTTAATAAAAATTATAAATACCCAGTTTTTGGGTATTTACCCGGGCCTGGGGTAAATACCCGGGTAAAAACCCAATTTATATTTACCTACCCACTGGGTATTTACCCGGCCCACATCACTATCTCCAAGCCCTAAAAATTAAAATATAGGCCTCATAGTTGTTTATTTTTTATTAGTAGGCTACACCTTGTGTAGTGCTTGCCTTATAACTTAATCAAAAGATTGCCAGATCGATCGTCAGAAAAGTCAATGCAGTTGTAGCTTTTTGATGCACTTGAATCTGGACCCAGCTGCCCCTGATCTCGTTGGGCTTTAAATAAATGATTTTGGCTAAACAACAGCTGACCTTACTCAGTAACAAAGCTACACAGATCATCTAAGCCCATCCTTAACTCATCTTTGGGTGAAAATATGTACCTGCCTAGATTGCGCCCCCATCTCAACTATTAATGAATAGCCTAATAATAACTAACTTAATCTCTGTTTTAATAAGCAACCTCAAAGTCTGTTTCCTTGTCCTGTGTAACTGGGTTTCTTTGTTTTATATGATCAACTTTGTAGGCCTAGATCATTATGGGTCTTTATTTATCTTCCCGTCATCATGTCAAGGTCTATGATTCATTTGCATACGCATAGCCTACCTTTTGAGCTCAAAGGGAGGAGACACAAAAGTAATAAGGAAACTTCCACTTACAATTTACAGTCTACAGTCCATACAAGTAGGCCCTAAGTAACAAGTCTAGACTGTGGCACTAGACAGGAGTCACGACCACAACAGAGGAGTCGAGCTTAGAAACTACTGCGCTTGGGCTAGTGCAGTAGACAGCGGTCAGTCTTCAGATTAAATTTGATGCTTTGATATTTTTTAGTTGTGGCTCTGTAACCATGAGAAAATATATCTATATTTCGGTTGATCTCACTGGAGGCAGCACCTTAGATTGAGGGTTTGAATCCTCTCATGGTCAGGTGTTTTAAAACTTGTTAGGAGAGGCCCGTCTAAGTAAAATGTGGAGCCCAGGTAGGCCTAATATTTTATTAAAATATTTCCATAAACAAGACATGTTTATCATCCATTTAATTAAATACAGGGTGAGTTTTAATTGTCCCCCCCCAACTTTTTTCTACATTTTTTAAAATATCAATCCCAGACTACTTCCAAACATTGTTGGGTACTAAGTACTTCATTTTGACAAGGTGGTCAGTTCCGGCCGCCATCTTGGATCCGCCATATTGGATGCAAAATATTTTTTTCAAATGTAAAGGTGGGTATGTGACCCATTATTTCGAACTAGATTTTT